TTAGTGTGTGTGTGTGTGTGTGTGTGTGTGTGTATGTGTGTCTTTGAGCCAAGCCCATCTACGCCTTTGCATTTGTCTCCAACTGTCACCTTATCTCATCATAACCTGGTAACCTGGAGCAAGAGGAACCCTGGCCGCCACCAAATACGATGAATTCCAAATGCCCCCCATCTATTACCAAGTTACGGCCCCCTCGTCATTCTTTGCAGAACCCCCCCCCCCCTCTCTGGCACGAAGGCGACGACAGACAACAACTCGCCTTTTTTTGGGGGCGTTCTCGGGGGGCTTGCTTCCGTGCTGCTGCTCTGCAGGCGGCGCCCCCTCTCCGGAAGGTCAGGCGGAATTGGTCCTCCAAACAAATCGTTTTCTGGTGTGGCCACACACACAGCCTGCTTAATCTGTGTGTGATGCTCCAAACTGTAATGCAGCCTGCCGGACGCGCCTGCGGTGCCAACGAGTATTACAGAGAGAGTACAGGAAGAGGGTGTATGTACTTGCTCCGAAAGAAAAAAAAAAGAAAAAAGAAAAAGACGAGATTCCACCATGTTGCGATTGCCGACATGGTTTAGCTGGGGCGAGTCCGCTCTCATGGCGCCATCCATCTAACACTTGGCGCGCGCAAGGTTCGTTAGTTGGTCTCTCGCCTGCTCCGTTGGTTCCCTCTGGGGTTCACGTCTTTTTTTTCTCTCACCAGATCTGTGGGACGAACAAGCAAGACCCCCAAGAGCCGCCGTCAAAGACTGACCGCGGTTCGGTTAAACGAGAAGAAAGGGCCTGTACTGTACCACGGCATCCGGGGACGCTGCGGGCGCTGCGCTGTGGCTTCTGCAAGGTCTGCTGATCTCGGGATTAACACCACCTGCATACAACCTACCTAACTGAATGCTTCCCAAGTCCCCCTCATGGTCGGTAGTTGATGGGGGGGTACGGATACTCTAAGCTCATCTTGAGCCCTCTCGAAATCACCAATGCGGGCCGCAATCTCGAACTTGTTGCTGCTTGTCACAATCGGCACAGACGAAAAAGAAGAGCTGCCAGCTGTGGCTTGAAAGTAGTGGAGAAGAGAGCGACTGGTAAAATTCGAGTGTAATTTCGCTCGCATTCTGCGGCTCAAGGCTCCTAGTTGGGTGTGCACGGTTTCTTTTTTTTATTGAATTTTTTTTTTTCCTTTCTTTTTCTCAATGGTCCGTCTCCTTATTGCCCATTTCAGAGGACAGAAAAAGAAAAAGAAAGAAAAAAAGTGCAGCTCTGTAAGATTACAATCTTCTACAGATCGCCAAAAGCTCGCGCTACTCTTCAGGTTGCTCTCATCAAACCCCTTCTTCTCCACGTTCTTACAAGCAACAATGATTCAGTCTCTTTCTTGGGGTAACAAACTACTGGCCCACACAACTGGAAATCCCCGGGCGGGCGGACAGATGAGCCGTGGCGGCAACCAAGTGGCTACCTTGCTCACTTACAAGCCCGTCCGTCACTTTGCTGCGAATCGGCGGCAAGGATAGACAAGCAGACGCTGTGATTTGAGCATCTTGCACCGGGGAGCTGGTTCAGCTCTCTACTGGTGCCGAATTATTGCGGTCCTGGTATCTTATACCAGTAGGGCTTGGAGGACATGGGGCATGGGCATGGTTCATTTCCAAATGTCACTGCACGCCACCACGGCAAGAAAAAAACCCAAACCCCAAATCAAGCTGGCATCCAATTCGGACACTCACACCTGGCGCACCACCGCTTCCTCTGGTGGATGGTGGAGGGGGATGGGATGCTCGGTGGAGCATGTCGAACCCCGGTCGCGGTACGGCGAATTCCCTGCTGTGGCACTTGTTGCTTGTTCTCCATGGTGGGCAAGGTGCTCCATTTGTCCAGGTACGGAATACATATTCGTACAAGCTGCGCTCTGGTGGAAAACGCCACGGCTACGTTACTGAGTTGCGTGGCTTTCACATCCAATACCGTACTCCAGACGAGAGAGTTCCAGCGCAACAAGTTCGTTTAGTTGGCCAGAAACCAGAAGCAAGTGCCCACCGACGCCGACGGCTTGGACCGGTACGCCCCCCCGCTAGCCACTTTTTTCCTTTCTGGCGGGAGAATGGAGAGCAGGGCAGATCAGGCAGGCCCCCCGTTGAGCTAGCCTAGCGATCGTCCCACGCCATCTACCAGTAGTTGGTGACTAGTTATGTTACTGGTTACCGGTTACTGGTTGGTCCTTGACATGACGAGAAGTGAGGGCTCCATCGCCCATCAGATGAAGCCACGGCACCGTTGTCGCAGGACCTTGTACGGACCATGGGGTCGCTTGCAGCCCTTCTACTAGACATGAACACATGAACCCCCAAACAGCCAGAGGCAGAATGATAGGGAGGGAAGGACAAGGTCCCAGAGAGGGGTGATCCTTGTGATGCCCACCTCTCCACCCCAATTGCTACGCCAGGTGCGGCCAGCCTGGAGCATCCCTGTCTGGTGCCCGCCTGTCAACCCTTGCTACCCTTGCATCATCCCTCTGGTGAGCTACTCTGGGTGTAAAAAAGCCATCTCGCATCTCAACGGTGGCCCGCGCCAGCGGGAACACGGCTACAACATTGGTCCATCAGAGAGAGTAAGAAGAAAGGCCCAGCCAGGGCGGCGTATCCGCACTGGGCCCCAAGCCATCATCGGCAAGCCCATTTCGATGTACATGGTAATAACACTGGTCCTGTTTTTTTTCTTTTCTTTTCTTCTTCTTCGTCTTGGTCTTGCGCCCGGTCTTGGCCGGTCAAGGGGGGAGCAGGAGGCGTGGGATGTGCGACTCCAACGAAAGGAGAAGGGAAAAAAAAAAAAAAAAAAAAAAAAAACAGCAAGTGAATAAAAGGCAAGATCGTTTTAGCCTCGCAATGAGTCGGACAACGGGCAAAGCAACCTTGTCCCCTCCCAACGAAGCGGTGGTGGCGTCCGCTTTTTCGCATCGGCGCCCTAATAACTCGTTCGTTGGATGGGCTGGATCAACCCTTGTCCCTTTTTTTGCCTCTCTGCTTTTTCCTGCAGTATGGTTTGTGCTCAAGATTAGGCTATGAGGCACCCGGCTGCTCTCTCTCTTGTCATTTAAAAACCAACCGTCTTGTTCATCACCAGCTCGTTCCTTGTCTTGGGTGCACCGTCCTCCTCCTCGGCCCCCCCCTCCCCTCCCGGTTCCCGTCTACTGGTACCGAATACAACTTGCGAGCTGCCAAAAGAAAGCATTCCCATTTCTCTCTTGTCGAAATATCCACAGGGACCGCCCCGAGACGTTGACTCTCCTCAACTATTCCCGACCCACTGCCCTTGACCAGTCTATGCTGTTCCTGACTTGGCTTTGTTCTCCCACCCGGCCGGGCCCTGAATGCTAGTTTCCTATTCCTATTTCATCGACACTTGGTTGCAAGCGGCGTGCTGTTGTAGCGAATTTCGTCTGAGATATTGCCATGATTTCAACCCGCTGACCTTCATTTCCCTCCCTTCCACATAGCCCTAGGGATCTCTGCTCTTGCCGCCATCTCGACGCCACAGTACTTGGACCGGACCGCGAGACGTTGAGTACTTGCTGAGCAATACTGGTAGTCCTCAACAACAAGGTACTCTTCTCGTCACCCGTCGACCCGTCACTCATCAATCGACCACCATCGTATCGACCATCTTGCCAACGTGAGTACCATCTCCATGCTAATTTCCATTCCATCGTTCCCCTTGCCACTTGCAGCCCAGCCTTGACCCGTTGTGGACTGCGGCGTTGCATCATCCGCACTACGCGATCCTGCCAATGCGCGATGGGGGATCAAAAAGAGTGCTGACCCGACATTACCAACTAGTCACCCGAGTTTTCTCCATCTCGTCACAAAGTCTCTTTTCCTATCCGTTCCCGTCCGGCGTCCGGTTATATCTCGACCCTGCCACCGTCCCCCCCCCCCCCCAGGCCCAGCCTCCAAGAGGCTTGTTGTCTTTCCAAACTGTCTGTCCCTGGACCCCAATGAGACAGTGACTGCCCGGCCCGCACACCATCTTGCTTGCTTCAGACACCGCCTCCCCATTGGAGCGGAACTTTGGCAGAAGAGGAAAGCACCTCGCCGACTTTGCTCACTGATCTTCTCTTCTTGGAATGCCAGTGTCTCTCCTTTGGATCGGAACCCCCCTCCGCCACTGGTAGGACCTTGCTCCGTCCCATTACCACCTCTCCAGACCCATACACTGTCTCACCCAGCCCCCCTCTCCAGAGAAAGAAGAAACTAGCGCGGCATCGCAAGAAGCTCGACACTGCACGGCACACAAGCACCAGCCTCGACCAGCGCTTTTAGCCTCTGGGCGGTCGCATATCAAATCTCCGAACCCAAGGCCCTAGATGCCAGGGAGCCCTATTAGTGCCACTCATTCCCTCCTGTCAAGACCTCGTCGAGACCTGGTTTAAACCGTTCGTGTAGCCCTTCTCTTTCCCAAGACAGTGGTTGCATTCTTCATCCTCCTTCCCCTCCACGACACCGACACCTGTCACGACTCTGTCCACCCCGGCAGACACCAACTCACCCCGGAGACTCTCGATGTGAGTTCATGTCCAACCATGGGCTCGACGATGCAAGGTCGACGGCTGCATGGTGTCGACTCTTCTCTTCATCCTCTATGCAGCAAGCCAATGGTTACTGGTACTGACCAACGTTGCCAGCTAGTCCAAGAAACCTCCGAGACACATCTCCAGTGTCGAAAAAGACAACGATTCAGAGTCGCACGTTGCAACTCCATCGCCAAGGAGACCATTTCATTATACACGTGTGAAGTGTCTTCTCGGACTCGACACAAAATGGCGGCCTATAGTAAACCATCGCTGCCATCGATACCAGGTATGTCCATCCCCATCACGCCTCGTCTGACTTGTTGCCTCGCTGCGCATCATGGAATACGTTGACTGTTGAGCCAAAACGAGGAATACCGCCAATCCATGGCTGTCTCGGGCGCAAAGGGACACCAAACCGGGCGAATACTAACGAGAAGCTTCTAGGCTACGACCAACCAAGATACCAAGACGCAGTGTTGGAGCCGTACCAGCAGCCCTTTTCGTCCCAACAAGCGGACAAGTTTGCTCAGCTCAACCAGCAAGCTTTTGGGTCCAACAATGCCGTCGCCCCCTACATGCCCGCCGGACCAACCGTCGTCTCGTGCCAACCAGCATCCGGCGTCTTCGGAACCAAGGTGTACCTCAAAATCTCTGCGCAATACGACTTGTTCTCCATGTCTTCGCCGATGCCCTACTTCTTCCTCCAGTTTGGCAACGAGAAATGCCCGATGCAGGACGTCGCCCGGGACACGCAGGACAGCTCAGGCTACATTTACTCGTGCAGCGCCGACGCGCCGCAGTCGCTCGTCACGGGCTGCAGCAGCAGCAACGTGCCCCTGTCACTCGTCATCGAAGGCCCGACGGGCGACGAGATCTCGCGGACGGTTGCTGGCCACTTTCAGTACCTGGAAGGGTCCGGCGACGGCGTCACGAGACCGGACAAGATGCCAAAGACGGAGGCGGGCGGCGCACCTGGCCCGCACGGCGATCAGGCGGGCCACTCACCGAAAACGGAGATCAGCACCGAGGCTGCTACAAATAGCTACGATTACTCTTCACAGACGAGCTCCTACGGCACAGCATTTCCGCCGCCGCACAGCAACGACATGATAACGACATATAGAAGCAACAACTTTGCCGACTCCGGGTACGGCGGACGCCGCTCTTTGGGGTGGAACGGATTCAACACGCCGCTTGGGAGCACCCGCAGCTCCCTCGGCGCCCTCGACGGCGTGGGCAGGAGCAGTCTGACGCCCATCTCCATGTCGGGGTCGTCTGCCAATGCCAACGCACCGACGCTTATCCGTACCAGCACCATTACCAGCGGCAGCGGCGCGGGCAACCAGTACGCGGCCATTTCCCTGTACGCGACCAAGGCGGTGCTGAAGATTGACGGCAAGCTCGACTGCATGGTGGACGGGTGGACGCACGAGGAGTGGGAGAACCGTCGGCGGATCGTCGTCTTCCAGAAGTCGCAGACGGGGTCGACGCTCAAGGCCAGCTTTTTCGCGGTGCCGGTCAACGAGCGGCCGCAAGGCAGCATCTGCGTGTCGTGCATCTACTGGGCCGAGAAGAACGAGTGCTTCGTGACGTCGGTGGACACGATCCAGCTGCTGGAGCAGCTCGTCGCGGCGCCGGCGCGCTTCAGCGTCGAGGAGAAGAACCGCATCCGGCGCAACCTCGAGGGCTTCCACCCGCTGACCGTGTCCAAGGCCAAGCCCGACAGCGAGGAGTTCTTCAAGCTCATCATGGGCTTCCCGAACCCGAAGCCGCGCAACATTGAAAAGGACGTCAAGGTGTTTCCCTGGAAGGTGCTCGAGGGGGCGCTCAAGAAGATTATCGGCAAGTACAGCGCCAGCCCGAGCAGCAGCAGCAGCAGCAGCAGCCAGATGCCGTCGTCGGCGGGCATGAACGCGCCGTCCATGAGCCACCACCACCACCACCAACACCACCCGGGGTCGTACGCGCCGCTCCCGACGCCGTCCGGGCAGGCGGCGGCGGCGGCGTCGAGCCACCACCACGGGCCGGTGCACATGGCGCCGCAGCAGCAGCAGTCGAGCATGGGCTCGCACCACGGCGACGCGCACGGGCAGTACTCGATCGCGGCGAGCCACCACGACGCGATCCCGTCGCCGCGGTCCATGGCGGGCTCCCACACGAGCTGGACGCCCTACACCACGGCGTCGTACCCGAGCGTCGCGCGCGCGCTGAGCCCGAACCTGCGGCACCACAGCCCGCACCACCACCAGCCGCCCCCGATGCGCATCAACACAAACGTCCTGCCCGCCGTCAGCACCTACGACAGCCGCAGCGTGTCCGCCGGCAGCTACGGCGGCGGCGGCGGCCTGCACACGCCCATCAGCCAGAACCCGGGCGCCACCGCCGCCGCCGCGGCGACGCCGCCTCGCTGGGATGCCGCGCCCGCGAGCTACGCGGAGAGCTACGCGGGCCTGCCGTCGCAGCACGCACACGCCGCGCCGCCCATGTACAACGGCGCCGGGTATAGTGACGGCACATCGCGCGCGTAACAAGGCGTCTGAAGCTCTCTCTTCTTTGGCACTCGTCTCGGGCGCCGGCTCTCTGGGGTTGCAGGCGGCTGTGAGAGGTCTTGCTTGGGGCCGGGCTGCCTGCAGAACGGCCAGCGCTTTTCATCCCAGGTGCGCGCGACAATGAAGGAAAAGCAGCAGAGAGAAACCTGTTGGTCGCCATGACAGGTGATGATTTTGAATCGGCCTCGCGCTCATCCAGGGAAAAAAAAAATGCTCATTCGAGTGAAAATGAGCGCGTCGCGAGGTGCAGTCAGGCGAGCAGCCAACAGCCAATCAGAGCCACGCAAGCAACTGGCCCGTTTCCTAATCCGGACAACTGCCAAACCAACAAAGGCATCACGCAGCCAGCGTCATCAGAGCAAATAGACGTACGTGGCACATTGTCATAGCCCATCTTTTATTTTTTTATCGAAACCGGATCAATGATGCTGTCGTCTGTCTACGCCGTGGGCAAATGTCCCTCCCCCCCCTTCCCCTCCAGGGCGCGCGTGCCATGGCTCCTCACCACCATCCTCCTGTTTTGGCTGCCTCTTGGACATGGCATACATGGTCATGTCATTCGTTTTCGTGTGTGAGCGTACGGATGGAGCCGTCTTGCATACTTAAAGATGAAATGCTGTTGCGCATTGTACAGCACAAATGTCTCTTTGTACGCTCATACTTTGCTTGTCTCTTGAAAAATAGGCATTATACCCCATTTCCATTTTCGTTGCCAATTTTTTTTATACCTCTTATTTCGGTTCATGTGTTCTACCTAGGAGTTGGGATTTCCTTTTGCGCTTTTCTTGTCTCCTTCTATTTTCTCCTCTTTGTTCATTTGGGCTGGATACGGACGGGTTGAAGGTGGTCATGAGCGGCCCCCATGGTCGGTCGGTAGGTTAGTACGGGTTCTAGTTGAAGCCACAGCTTCCCAACAATGCGATGTAACAAGGATAAAACTCTTATGATATGATGCTAATAATAATTTTCTTGATAATACAAGTGATACTCTCCAAGTCTTTGCTCGTTGTGTCTCTGTGGCTTGGGACAAGTACTGTGAGAGAGTCCTCCCTACATTCACAAAGCAACTCCTACCGTCGAGCTATTATACAACCATCAAGTCCGGGAAAATACCTACCCTATAGCCCGAAGAAGGTCGTGCATCTTTTCTTCCTCAGTGCGAGAGCAAACAGCAACTCACGGATAGACCGGGGGCAAGCGATGCTCAGCTTCAGCATGAGCCATTTTTGCCAACCGGAGGAAGTTTCCCGTCCGCCTTGCAACACCATCTCAACTTCTCATACCGATCATTTCTATATCAACGGGATCGTTCATCAAACGGCGCCACCTGGGAATACCAGCAAAACCTGTCCACCCCCTCGTATCATGGCGCACTGGCGTCGGAGCCTCACAACCGACCGATCCACCTGGCGTCGACGCGTGGCTTTTGCGGCTTTATTGCTTGCAGTGATCAGTCTCAAAGTAGCAAAGTTGACACAAGATTGTTTATCAATCTCCGTCTCGCGTGCAAAAAAAACTTTAAAAAAAGAATCTAAAATTCTGCTACAAAACACAACCCATCCGTTCGGCACTGGGATCCCCGCGTTGCACTGGCCTATACGACCACCAAAAAAAGATGGGGGTCTAGAACCGGAATCTTTGGCTCATCGGAGATTGTCTCGACTCGAGACCGTTTGGTTATCGCTCGAGTCAATTGCGCTTTTCAAGGGAAAGCGGGGGGGGGGGGGGGGTTCAAACAGGTTGGACCACGAGATTCAACCTTGCCGATCCCCCACGAGTCCAGACCAGTCAGCCCACATACAACATTTCCATGAGGACATCACACACCCCCTATTTGAAATTGTGAAACGACAAGAGTGCTATTTTCGAAGAGGCATCGATTTTCAATCGTCAGCCGTTGCGAATGCCGCACACACTCACGTAAGGGTTCAGCCGCTTGACACGGGCCGCTTCGGCCACACAAAAGAGAAGCGGTGTCAACTTTCCATTCATGCCACCTCGCTCGAAAGCTATCAATAGGCTACATATCAATCGAGTGTTGTTTGAGACGGAGTATTCCTGAGACTTTGTCAAACAGCTGGGTAAAAACACAGTCCCATAGTAGCTGCCAGCACCGCCTCCGAGGGTGACACATGTGTCCCTCCGGCACATCTTCGATGTCCTGGTGTCCATGTCCCGAATGCAACAGTCCCGCTGAGAATAACACGAATGCAATCATCTCAGCTTGGTGCTAGTCGTGGCTACCATCGCCAAGAAAGAGCACCCCCCCTCCTCCTGTCATGCCATGCTCATTCTCCCCGCCTCCGCACTCGCTCTACCCACCCCAGGATTGATGCAAGGAACCTCGGCGGTGCTTCGTTCTTACTTTGCCAATGAAATCAAAGAGGGAGCGAAGCCGTACGCAGTTTCTTCATAGACTGTCCAATCGGATCCGTCAGGCGGCGTACTTTGTTGGATCGTGTCAGTGGGTGCAGGTGGTCACGCGACCATGTAACGTAAACGGCCTTTGATAACGAGGCCAAGGGGGGCTGTACTTAGTAAAGCAGGCTGTTCCCTACCTAATTTGGGCGTTCGGCAATAGAAATATCGGAATCATGAGCCCTCTTCCATGCGAGATACCGGGCCACCAGAGCAGAGATGAGAGAGCAGCTGCGGAGCGCCCCGGGACAAGGGCAACGACGACAATTTTTTTTCTTCAAACCACACCCCGTGAAGCGAAGTCCGGTCCGAGTCTCAGTGCAAGAAAAAATTTCCGTCTCGTAAGCAGCCATGAACGGCTTTCGCCAGGTCTTTGGCTTGGCCATATAGATTGGCTGCGGATCAGCACCCGCTGAGGCCGCTTGGCGTGCTGGGTATTGTGGTGCCAAGTTGAAGGGATGTCGAATGACCTGGGGGGATGGTGCTTGGTGGAGAACAACCAAGTCTCCGTTTACATATTGGGTACGAAATCTGCGCGTGAGCTGATCTGTTGCGCGATGTGAGAGGTTGGCAGAGAGTCTAGAGTCGGGGGGGTTTGGTAGGACCTCCTCTTTCTCATGGGAAACCTTCGCCATCTTGGCTTTATGAGAGAGTCTAGGCATATCACGGAGTGGATTGTGCCAGCAAAAATCTCCATCGCCGAGACCTAGCCAAGAGATGGAGGCAAGCTATATAAGCAGTCAGATATGGTTTCCCAGTTGTTGGGGGCCGTACGGAGTACATGTGGGTGGAAATTACTCAACGAATACTATTGTCTTGGCCGAACGCGAGCATGGCAGCGAATCCCCCCCTGCGGGCAATCCTGCTAGCTGGAAGCCTCACTGATGTTGCGCCATCCTGCCAAGCCGGCCTCACTTGGCAGCGCTGTATCGACAACATGTTGCATTCGATATGATGGAGCAGCAGAGTTGGCGAACTGGACTCAAGCTACCCCGAGACTTGTCACTTGTCCTGTCCCCGCGGCACACGCCCCCCGTCCCGAAAACGACCGAGAAGGACAACTTCTAGTCCATCATGGGAGTCGGCCCGCAAAGTATCGCGCAACGAGAGCGCCACAATCTGCACATCTGTGCCAACGCCCATCGCCGCAGAAGGATAGGTGGGGGGCATTGAGCACGTCGGCCGGTCTTTGCAGGTTTTGTTGCGCCCGCGCGGTCTGACGAGAAGAGAGAAAGAGGGAGAGAGAGAGTGGCTTGGCCGTGGCTTACTTGCATCGGCGGCTTATGGGGCGTATCATCGTATAGTATCTGTAGGCATCTAATAAACGAAACGCGGCAGCGGCAGCGGGCAGGGCTGGGGCCACGGATGGTTCGGAACCAATGATTTCGCCATCACCGGTCGGTTGGGCTCTCGATTCGCCCGGCCACGGCATTCCTTTCTTCTGACATTTGTATCTAGGCAGTCTGTACTCTGGTGGTCACCCGCACCAAGAAGCCTCAACGGAGGGGAGGGACGACTGACTACGCAGCTGGCTGTGTGTGTAACGAATAATGCGACCACCCCCCCTTCGGAAAACAAGCTTAAAATGACTGCCGTCAAAGGCTGATCCTAACAGGAGATGGAGATAAGAAACCCCCAGCTCAAGTCATGGCACTGGAAGCGAGCGGCCAAGTTTTGCTGACAAGTGCCTGCCGAAACGGCATTTGTAACTGGCTCTTGAGTCTTTGTAGATATGGGCGGAGGGGGGGTGCCCATGAAGGAGGGGCAGCATACTGATCGGAGGCCTTTTATTTTCGAGCATCCTCCACTGGTCAACTAAGAACTAACGTGAAGAGGCAGGGGCGCGCCATCATCACGGAATCTTGCTCCACCACCCGACTCTTCCGCCCCCATACGCCGCCGCCATTGCGTAACCACAAATAACAAGTCGGTTCAAACGTTAACTACTGGTAGAGTAGCATCGCCAACAAGCTTCACTTTAAGGATAATGGGAGGGGGCGAAGCTGCCGGGCGGTGCGCATTGGTCCCCGTGCTTGGGCGGTAGCGGCTGGGCAAATGCAACACTGCGACGAGCGCCTGCCAGTCCTTTGAGTTGGTCGCTGCGACTAGGAACTGGCTATTGATGATCTGCACTGATGAGCTAACTAGCTATGCGGCCCGCCTCTGTCCATTCTTTTATTGCGGGCAGGCATCTGGTTGGCTTGTCGATTGACTCGGTTTCGCTTTCAGTTGCACTCAGGCAGGACCACCACAACAAAGGTCAACAAGTCAGAGGTCGTTCCGAGAAGTCTGAGAAAAAAAGGGTTTCGCAGGCTCTGGAGCCGAGGTCGCCGCACGCTAGGACCGTTTCATGGCACGGGACGGGGGGCTGTGCGTCGAAAGCGACATGGTTGATGAGAGCAAATGGAAGGCAAGATGAGATAGTTAGAGTAGGCCAGCTTAAAACGCCACCAGGCGGTAACGATAGTACAGGCTGCGAGAGCCTAGTGTTGCTGAATTATTGAAACTAACTAGTTGTACCTAATTACGCCGATGAATACAGGGCCAGAAGCTTTTGGCTTGTCAGTGGCGCTCATCATGATGGCGCCAAATCTTTGATACGATTACGTAGCTGATGAATAAAGAGCCTCTGTTAGGCTTTCAACTGGGATATGGACCTGCACTCCGTAACTATGTAACCATTCCTTGTACGGATTACGGAGCAAGTATCCGTAGCTAGTTATGCCATGTTTGATTTCCCCGCCAAGGGGTCGCGTTTGGTCCTTTTTTTCTCTCTTCTCGCCAAGGGTCTTGTTCGGACAAGAAGAAGCAGGGTTTACAAGAAGCAGGGTTTCCCTTGAACGTATTTTGTGGACTTTGGGTGCGTGGCGGGCGGGCGGCGTGTCGTGCAGGCGATGGGGGCATGTCACTACCTATCCGTACTAGTTATTATCGGCTTCCCATCGAAAACAGATTAATCGGGCACTTAAAAAATTGGCCACTCGAGAAACAAAATCTGTCAGCCGCCCACGACACCAAATGCCTTGCCCCGTTCACGTCGACCGCTTGGCCTTGCCGGACTCCGCGGTGCAGCACCACTCAATCAAAAAGCCAAACCCCAGCCTATCAAGATTTGCGTTTCTGTTATCATTCTCGGCGGATGAAAACAGTGAGAAGCCGAGACGTCGCTGGTTGGGAGCCCTGTCCTTTCTCTTTCAGCCTTAGGCGAACCCCCCACCCACCAACCTATTTACCTTTTTTCTCTCAGCTGACCAGTTGCACTCAAATCTCGCCGGCCTTTTACTAAACGGTCAAATAGTCGGAGGCTTGATCGGTCCAGCCCACGGATTTGCTAGCCCGGGCCGCCGCCCAACTACTAATAGTCAAGGGGAGGGGGGCGCACTATAGTTATGCTTACGCGCCGAGATAATCGAAGCCACCAATCGTTTGCGGTTCCCAACCGGGTTCCCGAGCCCTTGTTTGGGTTTGGCACGGTGGCTTGGCGACCCCCATCCCAGCTTCCAGCCAATCTATCCGTATTTCTTCTCTGCTATTTAAACTAGCGTTTGAGCAAGCCACAAAACGTCCAACTAGGACCGATCAAGGAGGGGGGCGAGGGGGAGGGGGGGCGTAAACAAGGTCCGGGAGGCCATTAAGATCCAACGCCGGATCCAACAAAAAACAACCACTTATTTTGCTTGGAGGGGCATGTCAAATAAATCAATCGATGCATAGTCGACAAGAAAAGGGTCACGATGGTGCAATGCCCATGTGGCCATCACACAGAGCATGAATTTCAAACATGCAAGAGCCGTCGCAAATCGTTGGCTTTTTTTAACCTTGGTCGTAACCCTAACATTAACTCAAGACGCATACCAAACGTAACAACGCTCATCTAAGCTTCGGTTTTTTTTTAGGTCTAGGGGTAAAATTTGCTTCTGACGTGAGGACTGTTTTAATCCCTCTAACTACCTATTCAGCACTACCACTGGCCCATCTACTACCCCGGTTTCTAGCTCGGGAACATGTCTTGTTGCTTAGTCCCTTCGTCCGACCCGACCCCAGCGAATCAAGCACTGCCACAACCACTCTAGTTTGCGTCAAACGTCGACGGTGGGAGCAGATGCCGAGATCTTCGGCCCCATGGCTGCACCTGCAGTGGCTTTTTGCTTTTGTCCATGCATCATGTGCTTTGATTATATGGTACGTGGCAGCAAATAGCCAATGCTTGGCACACGAGACTAATTCTATGTACAACCAAATTGCAAAAAAAAAAAATGCTCATCGTCTTCATCTTGCCCAAATCTTGGCCCAATAACGCCTATGCGCATCAATCTCACGCTATAACACCGTGCCTTGGCATAATCCTTTTGCCCAAATTCTAACGAGACAACAAAGCAACATGTATCGACAAGAAAAGACCCAACTCCGGTTTATAAACAGTAGTTGACAAACGACAGACCATGATGAATGATTCATACGCAAAATAAATCTGTTTCGTATTAACACATGAAAAGACGTCATTTCATTCAGCAACGAGCATACCTTGCCGAGATTCAATCTCCACTAGCTATCCACAGCCATATGGCCAGAAGCATCACCCAGCGCACACAGCTGCTTGATACTGTTGTACACAAGATTTGAGCGGTCACCCTGCCTTTGCAGCGGTGTGGCGGAGGCTAGGCCAGACAAAAGTGTCCACACGTTAGGTAGCTGGAACAAGTCTCGGTTAGCGTCTCAGTCTCAGAAAAGGTTGGCGGCCCGAGCTAGGCTAAAAAAAAAAGGACAATACCTTTTGTTGGATAGTAGCCAGATTCATGGCGTTGCCATCGCACAGATCCTGCTTGGATCGGAACTCCCGGCACTCAATGGCGCAGATGTCCTCCGCCGTCTTGAGCGCCTCATCCTGGTACGCCCTTCTCTCCCACACACTCCACTGAGACGACTTGTGTCGGATCTCAGCCAGGAGAGCTGGAAGGTGCCGGTTGCGGCTGAGGCGCTGGTCCATCGCCAGGGAAGAGCAAGGGTCGAAGCAGCTTCCGTAGTACTGAGCGGCCATTGAGTCAAATGTGTCGAATCCAACGCGACGGGCGCACTCCAAGACGTATTCGAAACGCTCTTCAAGGCTTGAAAATTGGTGTGGTGATCCAGCATCCGAGACCTCAGTAGCGGCAGTAGCAATCGAGCCCCATGGTGATGTGGAAATTGCGCTCTGAGGAGCGACAGTCCCTGTCCTTGAGCTGGTTGGCGACATCATGGCTGGGCTGTTTTCCCACGAGGTGGGGTTGGTAAAGAGCTTGGCATCGTTTCCATCTTCTTCCGATATTTCAGAGGCTTGGCCTTGCGGAACCAAGATTAGCAGGGTAATTATGCGGCGCTCGGAAAGGGAACATACCAAGGCCAGTGGCACTTCCTCTGTACCCAAAATGAGCATCCAGTTGAATAGATTCTTGATTGGGGGTCGATGCAGTGCTGCCGTTGCGGTACAGTCTCTGCATGGATTCGGCGGGCATCTCCAAGCTGGGAGACATCATCGGAACCTGCTCAAGACCATTGGCGGCTGAAGCGTTGAGTTGATTCAAAAGAGCCGGGTTGTTGAAGTGAGGGTGCTGGTGAAAGTTTCGGGTCATGTACGGGTTTCCAGTCATGGAGACTCCGTCGGGCATTTGCTGGGCAGTGCCATCAACGGCCATGGTAGGCCACATCTCTTGGGGTATCGAGCCCGGCGTTCTGGTGAGGGACATTGTTTGCTGCCAAAGAGCAGGAGGCATGTTTCCAGCGTTGGGAACAAAGCCCATAGAACTGTCAGGCGTGACAGTACCCGGCATGTCCTGAGGGTAGTACTGTTGATGCTGTTGTCTGGCGCGCATCTCACAAAGTTGCTGTTCGAGGTCCTGTACCCGCTGCTTCATACGGTTACCTGTTGTTCTCTGGTTAGTGGCACAGACCAAAGTGGCCGCAGCGAATTGGTAGGATGCAAACTCACGGTACGTTCTCTGGGCAACTCTGTTCTGGATTCTCTTCTTGGTTTTTTGATCAGCGTCGACGAGGGACTCTGGAGTTGTTTCACGGTTCATGGCGGTAGGTGGTGATTGGCTGCCGCGCGGCTGAGCGCCGGCAGAGGATGTGCTGGAAACGGAAGACATGGTCTTTTTGTGTTGACGAGATTTGTCGCTTGCTTCTGATGCCGTGGCAGAGGGCATTTCGGTCAAGCAATGAGTGTCCGTAGAGGATTGCAGTACGGCGTATCTCTTGTCCTGGACCGTGTATAGGTGTGATGTGGTTGTTAGAGGTGGGATGAGTTGCAGTGTATAGGACAAGCGGGTAGAAGCGGCGCGGGAGGTGCAGGTGTATATGAGTATACTTGATGGAACTGGGAAAACGGGAGCGAGGGGCACGCAGTAAATAAGGTATTTGGCGACGAAGGAGTTGAGATGAGTCAGTGGGGTAGAGAGAGTGTTTAAAAGGTGGTCCGGGGCAGAGTATCAGTCGCAGATGGGAGTGAAACGTGGTGGATGGAAGTCGGCCAAAAACATGACCTGGAATAGACATGCTCAGCCAAGTCCCCTAGCGGCACCCGGTCAGGGCGGGCTATTCCCAAGCGGCATGTTGGATCTCTTTTGCGTGTGAGATTCGGCACGCCCCCTCCGCGTTAATAATCCTGCACCGCGCACCCAGTCTGCACTCCTCCCACTCCTCCGTTGACGACACGCCCTGCTGCCATGCCTGGCCCAGCCAGCCCAGTGAAGCCGCCCCGATACAAGACGCACATGTGCCCGGCGGCGGAGAAATGGTGTACCTGTAGACAGCGGACGCTTGGAGCAAAATAGGCCGTTGATCCACCGGGAAGACTGGGCCGAATTATTAGATTCCAGACGGGCTCCTGCTGCGACCAGACAGGCTCAGCTCTGGTCTTTTGCGAGATATTACCAGGTGTCGGGCCGGGGCGGCTCTGCGGAACTGCTGCTGTTCGGACTGTTGTACGAGGGCCTTGAGCGCGCGCCGATGACACGACTGGCCCCCAAGCACAAAGAGCGCCCCCCTCCTGGTCTGCAAAATCCACCACCAGCACCCCACCCCCTGTCTGCTAGGCGACGGCCGCTGGGCAGTTGAAGGTGAAGTATGCCCGGGATTCAGGGTTTGTCCGGCTGACCCTGGGCTTGTGGCGGTGGGACTCGGCAGCCAGGAGGGGGTGCGGGCAACCGTGCGGCCACGTACAAGCCAAAGAAGGGCTTTGTCGAAAGATAAAAAGCCCCCAGATTAGCGGCTGGAGGGAGTTTTGCCCTCTAGTTCTTCGTAGATTGTGCCGACTCGGGCTAGTGCGTTTGGGGGACATGTTAACGGGTGTGCGTGATGGGGGAGATGGACCGCGCCAAAGGTTCATGCCAAAGGATGAGGTACAGACGGCGAGAGGCGGATAACTAGTGTGTGGGGGTGTGTGGGTGAGAGCGAAAGAGAGCGAGAGAGAGAGAAGCGGGATTCAATACGCGATCGGGCAATACCGTACGGCTTGATGACAATCACGGTAAGACGAGGAAGCTTCCAAGAAGCATTAAGAAGAGCCAAGAACATGATCAACGGAATGGAGGAACCATGGTTGACCAGCTGAGTCAGCCCTGGTAAAAGGCTACTGCCAATTGGTAAATGTTCTTGGTTGCCAGCTGCCAGCTGCCAGCTGCCCTGCGAGCATCAGTCTGGTGCTGCTCCTCCAGATTTGAGCCCGTTTGCTCCAATTCTAGCCCTCAAAGTCTCACACCCACCCTCGAGTCCTCCCGCCATTACCTATCGCCAAGCCCTTTGCCTCTCCCGCTGCTGAGATACGCCTAGTACGCCGAATTACAGTCAAACTCACAATCACCTCTCCGGGCCCCTGCCTGCCGCCGTCGCCGCCGCCGCCTTGCTCGTTCCAACTTGCCTCTTGCCTCTTGCTGCTTGCTTCTCAACTAGTGGCCCACCCCTCTCCGCTCGGCGTACTCTTGTTGTTTAGCTTCTTTCATAAGCATCCTTTTTCATTGCAACGCTGGTGGTATCGTGGTTTTTCTTTGCCCCGGGGCCAAGCAAGCATGCTCGCGTCTTATTACGCTTTTTTACGGGCTCCACGGGTCGCTGTCAAAGCTGAATAATACCCGATGTTCTGCAAAGCTCCTGCAAGCCCGTCTGCAGTACAAGTGCCCAGTTGTAGGGACCACCATCTGAGGCCACGCGCCAATCCACTGGACCGCGGAGACATAGGCTGCCACAGACGGGCTGGTTTTGCGGGCACCCGAATGGAACCACGATGGGCAGTTCCCAGAATCTCAAAGCCTCGACGCTTGGCTTTGCCCCCAAAGACGAACCCCATTGGCGAAGGGCGGCGGCGACGCCTGCCGAACGCTCATCTCCCGAGCCATCCCAGACGCTTGCCGCTGATCAGGAAGGAGGAAACACCAGAGGCGCAGCATTGGTGGGTTCTCGCCAGCACAACACCGTTTTCTTTTTGCCTTTCTGCTCTTCATCCGGGTGGGGAATCGTCCAGTATGATCGTGATCTGCCCTGTGTACTTGACAGCCTTTCGCACCGTCGATTTGTTGGAGAGTGCGCTCAGCAAAAAGGGCTGTTGTTGCCGAGACTCACTGCCGCCAGCCCTTTTGATATCGTCCGTCGCAGTCTTGCATCCGCGACTGCCAGCAGTGACAACTTTCCCCATCTTCTTGACCCTACATCCTCAACAAGCAATACCTTTCCTGTGCTAAGCTGCACACCCCACCACCCTTCTTCGTTCATTCGTTTTCATATGTGTGGCTGGCGGACTTCGCCATAGGCCAGCGGGTGTTGTGTGCGCGCGCATAGCTGGTATTGCACACACACGCATGACGACTACAAACCAGAGTCACTCATTGCAGGCTGTACTATAGACGCACACGAAACCCAGAATGGTCGACAATTAACCTACTTTTCTCGGACAGGTGGCTACTACATGCGGTTACATTCATGCCTAAACCAATGCCGGTACTGCCCGGCAGATATGCATCTTGTAACATAACTACCTAGTCGTCGGTCAATCTTGCTTGGTGCAGGTCAGTGGGTTTATTTGTCGCCGTACTTCTGACCTGTCTGGCCAACTAGTGTCTCGGTCACTAACTTTAGTTAACATCGCAACTCGTATCCGTAACGGAAAGATACTAAACACGTTGCGCATCATTCGACTCAGCCGTGTGCCGAAGCACGCTTCACGCCGTCGGAGTAACCTCTTTGAGGCCTATGGCACCATCCGCGAACAATGAAATGCACAGTACGCAGGGTGCAGAATAAGAAAGGCCAGGAAACAGCCAAGGAAATAGTTGGCTCCTTCGCCCCAATACTTGTCTCTCCTTCGCCACCACCTATAATACCGTTGAGTTATCGGAGGGTCTCAGTCCAGGCCCTGTTGCATCTACAGGTTGGGCGCGGTGTTCTTCGGCGCCAAGACTGGTGCCAAATGGGCCATTTCTCCGACTTGGTGCAGATGATGGCCCACAGCCTGTCGAATGCCCATGTTCATGGCTGTGCAAACCGCGACGATGGAGGGGTATTTTTGTTCAAATTTTCTCTGAATCTCGGCAACTTGCCCGGCGGTCCCGTCTTGCAATATCGAATCTATTATAATCTGTCTTTTACGCCCCCAATTGCTTCCACCTGAGATGCGTTTCCTCATTAGTGCCCGAGATGGATAATTTGGCGCCCTGTCCACTTTTGAGGAATAACTTGCACTAAGAAGAGTCCATTGAGGTTATAATCCATCAACACCTGGTCGCCCGGGTAGTCAGCCGAATAGCGTCAAATAAGCTCGCAGATCGCGGCGAAAAGGGACATCAAGTGCAACTCGCGCAGCCCCATAAACTTGTTGAGAATATGGGGCAATTTTCCTTGGGTGGGCCTCCTCGGGTGAGTTAGCCAAGTCCTAATAAGCAATAATAACTAACAGACGAAGCATGCATTCATGCTTTGCCTCGTCCACATCTAGCATTATCATGTCGTCTTATGGGAGAGAGGGAGAGACGTGGTGGACTCAACCGCAGCGGACCATTTTCTACGCGCCGGGTAAGCTCCCGCTTGCAAATGCTTTGGAACACCAAAATAGCAGTACGCCGTCCGAGAAACCCGCCTTTGCACTGCTCCAACAAAATCGAAAGGCAGCGGGTCAGCTTTCAGCTTGGCATACGTAGCCGTGGCGTCTGTGCTAGTATGCTGCGACACGTCGCAGCAGGCGTGTGGCTAATTGTCACGGGCAGGCCGGATATAAACAGCTTTTGAAATTTGCAGCCTTCCTGTTACACAATCTCGCCCTATGATCTATGTATACATGCTCTCCTGCGTGAGGCGCTGTGATGGTGAGGAGAGATGTACATGCGTATTCATAGCACCTGGTTGCCCTACCCTCGGAAGCAGCCAGGAATCAGGCTCCATGAATATTGAATTCACACATTCAATCGTGAAAACTTTTCCCCATAACTGGGGCTATGCTATTATTAAGCAGACAAACTGCGGTCCCCAGTAAGTGGGAGGATTGGCCCGGCCGGCTGCCCCCGTCAACCTTACGACAAGTCGTATTCATTTCAGCTGCCATCAGGTACAGATTCCCCCCCCAGATCAAGTGCAAGTTCTCACGACATTGATGCAGACATGTACATTGTTCGTTTGCATTCCAAGACTTTCCCGCTCCCATGTAGCCCCCTTGACGGCGGTTGAATTTTGCCGGCAGGCAGTTGGCCGTTCATCCGAGCAAATTACGCCGAAGGCGTTTCTACATGTTTCACTTGCCTTATGGAGCAGAAGATCAGTACCCCTCCAGGGACGACGACGGAAATAAACAAGAATGCCACCTTCCTGTTGAGCCGCCATTCCGCGGCATCTACATGATTGGACATGATGCTCGTCTCGCAGTCGTAAGCATCGTTTGTCAAAGGAGCCAATCGATTGCGATGCGTATGTTTTGGTGGCTGACAAGATGGACGCCGCTAAAGTGTTTTTCTTTGTTTTTTTCTTTGTTTTTTTTCTTTGTTTTTTTCTTTTTCGCTAGCCAGACAGATAATGGCAGAATATTGCAAGGATGTCAGACGTGGCCGCGATTGCTCACTCGACTAGCGAGGAGAAGCTGAGACGAGGGCTTGTGACTATCGCTGTGGCTAGATTGGGGCTTAGTATCAGGTCCCAATCTCATATCAGGTCCAGGCTAGCATTCGCTTGACTTGGACATTTCAAGGCAAGCTTTGCAGAAGAAAGTAAACCCAAAGCAACGAACAACGCGAGATATTCGTCAAGGATGGGGGGGGGTTATTCCGCGCTGGCTCGGCGGTATGCGATTGGGACCCTGACGAGCACCCCGTTCCGTATTCCGACAAATTCAATTATTTTTCATGGGGAAACAAAAAAAGTTTACACTGCTGGCCCCATTCATATGCTGCTGGACTGTTATTGACATGCGTACATGAGATCCAGGGTGTTCGAGTCTTGCCTGCATTGGCAGCTGTTGCCGGGTAGGCGTGGGATGTGATGCATCGCCTTGGCTGCATCCGGCCATCTGGTTAGAGCAACGCTATCCGTCGGCTTTAACTATCCAGGTGTCCAATTGGCTTTGCAGCCGATTTTTTTCCCCTTCTTTTTTTTAAATTTTTTTTCTTTCCGCACGGCACCGTCTGCCGTGCGGGATGCAGGGGAGAAGGAAGGGGATCCATATAACCTCCATACGATGCAGGTCGAAGCGAGTCTACGGCTGTCGTTGTGGCTTTTTTCCATCTACGTCACCTTCCCTTCGACTAGAGACAGAAAATTTCAGCCTCAGAGGGCCGGAGACCAACTATGTTTCCAAACCAGACCTGCCTCTTTTGGATCTCTTGCACGCCCCCCCCCTCCTCTTCCTCTTGCACGAACCCCCCGATCAACCTGCTTCCGCCTGCCATACATATTGTGTGAATCTGGTCCGAGTCCAGGTTACCTGGCCTTGCGCGGATGGTGGTGGTACCTAGTCGCTGATCAATCGAATAAAGTCAAGCCTCGTGGCGCCGTTAGCTGTGGTTTTTCTTTGCGACGCGACGAGAGCCGCAGGGGTTGGGCGTGAGCGAATTGTGCGGCGGGAGATCAACAGATAATGAAACAACCGTCAACCTTGTGGTCTCGATGTTGTCGGAATTGGTTCAATTTTGCCATCACTGTCGCGCTGGCGCAGGTAGGCAGACCCCAGTGTCATTGATCGTTCGATGCGCTGATCCACGGGTATCCCACCACATGGTTGTTGAATGCCTTCTTCTCCAAACTGTCTCGGAGCCGATGGGCGGGTTCGGGGCTACGGGTTGGCCCTCGATATTGTGGCGTGGTTCGCCGGTGGTGGGCACTGGGTCGCGGCGATAGCGCCGGCAGTGGCCCGGAAAGAGGATCACCGGACCTCTCTCCAACTGGCATTAGGCCGTGTCTGGCAATTTTTGCGTAGTGAAAGCCAAAGTTATCGAGTTACACTGGAGCCTACACTCCGCGTACCTTATTCCCCTCGCAAATCCGAGCTTCTTACAACGGTGACATCCTTGACCACTTTGGCGGGCTTTGGTTCTGATGAAACTCTACCGAGAACCGTTGTAGTATTCGTACTCGCCCAGAACCAGTTTTCTGGTTGGTCGCTCGCCCCCCGTAGTGGCCATACGAAGTAGCCATTAGCGGCTGGCATATGACAGACCCAACAACTGTCCGTATTACTATGTACACGGTGTTAGACCCCTCCGCAGAAGCCCTCCCTTTTCTCTTTTCTCCATGTTCGGTGTGCCTTGTTGCACTTGCATGTAAGTGAAACCTGGAGTTGGTTGGTTATCTTTCCCCAAAAGGATCGCCCGGCCACCTCAAAGAACTGCGACCAACTGTTAAAAAAACACCCAAATAAGAAGGGCCCTTACCCAAAGTGGAGCCTTTAAATCCCGCCTTTGAACGAACGGCTTTCTTGAATTCTGTCATTCCGACAAGCACTCCATCAGCAACACCTCAACAAAAGTGCCCGGGGTTGGAGGCTGCCTCCATGTCTTGATAATTCCGGATATCGCCGTTTCAGATACCGATTACTCGATCCGGAGAATTGGAAATAAGCAGAGAGGGGAAATTTACAACGTAGTTGTATAGACACACGCCATCACTCTGCCTGCCCCCAGGCGGCGATGGGGTCTTATCCCGGCTCCTTGCGCCTTCACGGCTATGTTTCTGGATGTACTTGTCAAAAATCCTTCTTTAACAGGTCACCGCTTCTGTGGAAAACAGGTCATTCCAGAGCCCCGGCCAACTCTAACTAGAACGGAGTGGTCCATGCCTACCAGTGTTTATATTATTCTGGCGCTATTTGTACTCTATACTTCGATAGTCTTGTTCCGCAGTTCGCCGGGCGGCTGGCACGTGTAGAGTAGCGGACAGTGCAGTGGAAGTAGTTCTTCTATCGCCCACTTTCTTGCCTTTCTCTCTATATGTACTATCGCGTCGTGTTTTGTCTCCTTTCAGGATTAGTGTTTATGCGCTATTTTGCCGGCGGTGGTATCATCTTTGGTGCTGACAGGACCTGGTCGCTCGTCGTATATTAGCGGGCGACAACCGGCTTACATGCTTTGGCCCTAGGCGAACCAATGCGGGCGGAAATCTCTGCCAGCACATTGAAATTCGCCCAATAAGGAAGCCCGCACAACTCAGACAAGAGCTCAAGAGGCTCGTTGAGATGTTGATATGCGAGCTTGGCTCTGCAGATCCCTCACCGGTCGCCTACTCGATCCCCGTATGTGGCGATATTTTTACCCAGTGGCTGGAATACCCCGGAACAAATGAACAGGTCGCACGGCATCGATTAGCGGAAAGAGCGGAGGCTCCGCGGCCTGTGATGATGTTATATGAGGCTCTCGCTACTGGGAACTTGCATCGGGTGGGCATCGTTATCCTCTCGGGCCCTCTTTGACCGATGTGGCTTGACAAGCGCTATTAGGCAAGCCATCATGTAAAAAATCAAGGCCGGCCGAAAAAAAAAAAAAAAAAAAATGACGAAGAAAGAGCCAAGTCACCAACTATGAGGGTATTCCTTGTATTATTTGCGGGACAGGCTAGAGAGTACATATGTCTCTGGTATGAGCTGCGGCTCCAGTGTACGATGGATCAGATAAAGAAGACAAATTAAAGAGGCAAAGAAGAGTAGGGCTAGTGATGCGCCATCTTTTTCCTATCCTGTTCGAGCGCCATCTTATTTCGTTATCCACATGCCACGCAACAGGGGCGTGTTGGGTGAATTGATAACCTTGCCCCCGTGCGGCCTACAATATCGTAAGATGAGAGACAGGCTGCGCTACTAGTTAGTTATGCGAGTCCGGCGACGGATTTCGACGACTGTCAGATAATGACACAACGCAATGGCCGATACCAAGCTTCCCACGCCAAGCATCCGTAAAGCTTAAACATAAAATTTAGAGGCAAGAAAAAGAATCTTAGAAGAGCCTCAACATCCCCTACGTTCCCTACTGCTTAGCGGTCTTGCCTAAAACGCATGTAATCCCGATCCCGCACCCATTCTGCACGACGCGCGGGCAAGCCTGAAGCTGGTCTTGGCATTGGGTCGCACTGACAGACAGCCTTTGGATGAAAACCTGCCTGGATCTATCCACAGGTTGGATTTTCATTTCACCGCATGGGGTAATGAAGCGAGCGTCGGCACTTGTGATGCTTCCCGCGCAGAAATAAGGCCCACGGCAAGCATTTCCCACCTGGGCTCGACCAGGCCGCCAATGGTCACGGGGATCCATTTCACTCCAGATTCAAAGACGGAGGGATTGTAACTCGTCATTGTGGCCAAAGTGGTGCCCCCAGAGGGCATGCAATCCCCCCTTGCCCAGGTCGCAGTATAGAGGCTGCCCGTGACCAACCTGGTAGATCGCAGTACGGGAACTTTTGTCTGGACGACGACGCGCCTCGTTGAAAAAAAAGGTCGTCGGTGGCGTCCGCGCCCTGCAGCGCGGGCCCCCGATGCAGGCGTTGCCAGCAAGTCCTGTCCTGTGCCGGTGAGATCGTCATTCTCAGCGGTGATCTGCCGGAGGGTGACTGCGGCATGGTCGCCGGTTCCCGCCAGCGGGTGGCAGGCATGAGCCGTATTACTACGCGCAGACGCACCGCAATCACTAGGCAATAGGCCAATGTGCAGAGCCAGGGGAGAAATATGTGGCCCCGAGTTCTGTTGGCCAGGCTACTCAACTTGTTCAAGTGTCATCCTGGTCGTTGCGACTTCGTGAAGCGCACTGTTCTGAGCATGGTGGCTTGCCTCTTGAAGACCTTATCACCCAACCACGCGCTCGACATGGGACATGCCAATTTGGTTTCTCCGAGGAGACGGGAATTAGCAATCGACGGCTCGGGATTCGTCGCGGCCTCGGGGGTCCTCTGGGGCGAGCCAGGTCTCGAAACGACAGGCATCTCGTTGCCGAAACCACCCCTTCATCACCATGCAGTTCCTTCTCGACACAGGGCTGTCATTGACTGATGATGTACCAACTGGGCTGTGTATCCGTTCAACCGAAAGGCATCCCAATTGACTGCCGACAGCCACAACTGACCAGACCGCAGCATCATGATCGTCCCTGTCGGGTGGAACAATCGGCACGAAAAAGATACGGACTGACCCCGTATATTAGTACTAAATGACAATAACTCGGTCACCGCCTCAAAAAAATACAAGGGAAAAACAGTCGCAATTTGCACCAGCGATTTGAATGTGAGCCAGTGCACCGATCAATTCCGGGGCAATGTGTCGAACGAGACAGTAAACTTGTCCTATCATGACCGCTGGCAACGCGATATCTCGTCAGGTTGTACATTGGGAATCACAACATGGGAAGAAGGGAGATTCGCCGTTTTCAGGCACTTTTGTCTAGTGACTACTGATGCTGCGGCAAGAAGACGCTTGGGACTTCCTTCGAACCAGATTCCAGGCAGGCCAAGTGAACGACGAATTCGGTGGAACGGGAGCTTGAAGATTGTTATATACATCCTGGCTGGTCTTCTTAGCCACCCCTAGACTCGTAAATCCAGTAGACGTTGCATCCCACTTGGTGTCACTTTTGTGCTCACAAAACACCATCTCTGATACGATGGCTGTGCGGAGCGGCGACATGGAACCAGGAGAATATGCAAAATCTAGCGAATAAGGTCAACATTTTCAACTTTAAAAATGTTAGGAAGAAAGTATAAATTACATATTTGTAGAAGTTGGATAACAAGAAGAACCCAAAGACGATATCGAAAGGACACGCGTTCTTCGAGTTTGAATACCCGCCCAATCTCTCTCGTTGGGCGGGAAACAAGAGGACGAAGGATAGCAGCTTGATTATGTGTTAATAAGAAGATATCAAGCTGACTTGATGAATGGTATTCATTGGAGCACAGGAATGCATCGTTGTGTAGCGTGGTCACTCACGGTTACATAACCAAGAGGTGGCTTGTTTGAACCGTGCTTTGCAAGTGATGCTCTTTAGAGTCACATGAGACAAGGACTGCTTTATTAGGTACGCTACTGCTGTATCTTTCTGAATGAAGACTTCATAATCATAAGCTAAATAAATACGCGGTGGTCGTTGTTCCAGTTTCGGGAACTGCACGTCGAGGACGTGAAGCTGCTCGGTCAGGCAACGACCACCAGGCCGCCTTCGCCAAACGACATCTCACGGGGAACATCATCTCGCACGAGTCTTCCTAGGATTTTCTGACTTTGACTTATCGCGACGCCGGTGGCTTTCTTGTTTTGCGTATATGAGCCCGCAGACGTTGCAGAGCGTCTTTGGACCGTGCGGACCATGGCGCCACTCCGGGGTGCTACTTTCACCACACTGATGACAAGAAATATCGGTTCTCAGATGCTTCTCGAGACCAGGTCAATATCGCACGTGTCACTACCCAAGCGTCGGGGTTTCGTATACTCACTCGAAAGTGCTGATACTGGGCGGGGCAGCCTACGCCCTGGGAGGGCACTCTGGGCGGTCTCCGTTGGTGAAGCCTTATATGATCAGAGCCTGAAGGGTTGTTTCCGGCACGGCTCGCGTCGCCAGGGGGCTTGGTCGAACCACGAATGTGGCGGCCATCGCCGTTCTGCGCTTCGTTGGGATTGGAGTCGTGAACGAGGGCGGAGCGGCCACCAACGTTGTCTTGAAAGCGGCACAAATCTTGTGCTGTACGTCTTATCTGAGGCGTGCAACCAAAACGGACGCAGAATTAGTCACCTGGCGATGTCGAGATGAAGATTCGCATTGCGGCATTGTTTGTAGCTTTACCGTTTGCAAAGTCTCGCCAACCTTGAGTCGGCTAACAGGACGTCGATCAGTATACTGTTCGAGCGGCTCGATCGGACCTGGGGCTGAGCCCTGCGGGGGTCTGTCTTCTCCCTGTCGCGGCATGTCTGCTTGAGGGAGACGAGGAGGATCGCGGTTCGAAAGAAGCAGCTCGACGCAGACAGATGACGCAGACAGGAACAATCACGATACGCCGTCGTAGGCTGTGCTATCTTGATCGTGATCGGGGGCATGAATCGGCATCGCGCTGCGGTTGAACCGAATCAGGCGGTGGCGAGCACTGTTGCCCAACAGCACAGTCGTCTCGCGGCAGGCTTGGGAGCGCCAACGGACGGGAGATGGGCCGCCTGCAGGCGATGATGACTGTCTCGAATTGAGCAATTTGTAATACGGGATGGAATACCCGACTATCGGTGGCACATGCAGATGAAAACTGACGCATCACAGTGTCCAAAGTGACTCGTTGGGAATGAGGCAACGTGGACAATATTTGTGCAGGTTCAAAGGTTTCCGTTTGGCGGCAGCCCCTGGAATAGTTTGTCCGCCTACGGGGGGCGGCTCGCGGGGTACCTACATGTACATTGGTCTATGGACTGCTGCTATCAGATCTACAGCCGAACTTGCATAGCGATATAGCATCCATTTCGGCGATCAAGTAGATGAAATATGTATAATTCTTTTGTCCTATGTATGATGTTCCTATACGTATGCGCCAGAGGCGGCTGATTAGGCATTGGTTAGAGACTAGAGGGTTAGGGTTATTTGGCCAGCCATCTCTCCTCGATGCAACTACGTCATCATCACAAATGAGCGAGGCATTTATCTTTTAGGAATTGTATTTCCATCGAATTCATCATTAAATCAAAACTATACATGAGGGAATAATGCCATTATTTTCAACCAAACAACGCGGCGACCGCATTTCTCGCCATCACCCGTCAACAACCCCTCCTAAACCATGCTAGAGTTCTTATTATTAGCCCCCGACATTTGCGTGTTGCTCTTCGATAGCGTATCGCCCGTGTCTTTACGCGAAAATGACGCCCATGTCTTGAAGCTAGACACGGACATGGTCTTGCGGAACTTGACTCCCGACTCATCTGGCCCTCCCTGGCCCCAGGCACCGCGCTGCACGGCACGATCCTGAAGCAGCCCAAAGTGCCGCTTGATAAATTTCCAGCCTTCAATGCCAGCAACAAAGACAAGTGTGAAGCCAATTGACAGCGCCCACTCCCAAGAAATGGGGGCGTGCTTGAAGAACTTGGTGTTCAGCTGCGGGATGTACACAACAGGAATGACCGACAGAGCACCGCAAATGACGGACCAGAATAGGAAGCGGTTGCTGTAGACATCCTTGAAGAAGGGGAAACTGCTGTCATCGTCGGGGTTCAAGCGGAACATGGAACGGCGAAGGCTTTTGAATTCCCAAGCCGAAATGAGAATCAACCAGGTGAGCTCCGCGAAGACGGCGGCACGAGCTCGGAAGACGGGCCGGCAAGACTCGGAATACGCCGTGTTGCAGTTCGCGCCCAGGTCGCCCCCGTATCGGCCGTAGATGATGATGACAAAGGTGACCATGGTGCAGGCGCCCATCATGATGCCATAGATGACCATGTCGACAATGATCTGGTTGGTAAACACACCGCGACGCTTGTCCTGTGGGGGTTTGCGCATGACGTCCTGCGCGGCAGGCTCACGACCAAGACCAAAGGCGGGAAACGACGAAGTAACCATGTTAATCCAGATGATGTGGAGAGGGGAAATGGGAAAGACAGAGAAGCCATCAACGTCGACGAAGCCGAGGCCGGCAACCAGGAGAATGACCTCGCCAACGTTGGACGTGAGCAAGTGCAGGATGAATTTTTGGATATTGTCAAACATGCGACGACCCTCACGAATGGCCGAGACGATGGAGTTGAACTTGTCGTCGGTCAGCACAATCTTGGAAGCCGACTTGGCAACATCAGAGCCTGAGCCCATGGCGATGCCAACATCAGCACGCGACAGAGAAGGCGCGTCGTTGACGCCATCGCCAGTCATGGCCATGAAGGCGCCGCGCCGACGTAGAGCTTCAATCATGCGCGTCTTGGTGTCTGGAGCACAGCGAGCGATGACCAGGGGAAGTTCTTCCATTGCATCAATCTCGGCGTCTGTCATTTTGTCAAAGTCGGTGGCCTTTTGGACAATTGAGCTGGCAACCGAGTCGGGCAAGACGCCCAGGTTCTTGGGGATGATGCCAACTTCCTTGGCAATGGCCTTGGCAGTTTCGGGGTGGTCACCAGTGAGCATGTGTACCTTGATACCGGCCTGGGAGCACTCCGCAATGGAACTCTTGGTCTCGCGACGCGGAGGGTCGTAGATGCCGGCAAGGCCGAGCAGAGTGAGGCCCTGTTCCACTTCACCACGGAGCTTCTCATCCTCGGCGGCGCTGGACGATTGCTTGGCGGTAAACTTGCCGTCCCATGCGCGGTACGCGATAGCAAGAACGCGCTGACCCTGGGAGGCGAGACTGTTCATTTGATCGAGGACAGTCTCTTTGAGTTCGTCAGAGATGGGCTGCTGGTCAGCACCAGTTCCCACATGCGAACAGAGATCCAGGATGCGTTCGACAGCTCCCTTGGTAAAGACCATGCTGCTGCTGGTCTCAATAATGGAACCACGCTCACCCTCGGGTGCATCATAGATGACCGACATGCGCTTGATGGAGCTGTCAAAGGGGAACTCAGCAAGCTGCTTCCAGCCCTGACCCTCGAGTGACTTCTTTCCGAGGCTGAAACGGTGGGCAAAAACTTGAAGGGCAATCTCGGTGGGCTCGCCAGTCGTTTGCCACTTTTCCTCTTCCTTGTCGAAGCGAACCGTGGCCAGATTGCACAAAGAGGTGGAGAGCAAAAATGCCTTGAGCTCATCCGTCATTTCACAAGCTGTCTCGACGGGGGCGGTTTCAGCCTCGCTCTTGGGAGGATGGAGCTTCTCGTCAGGAACATCAAATTTGAGAACAGCGGCACTGCGCTCACGATCGTAGTCTCGCTTGGGGGCCTCGGTGACGGGCTCGTCCTTGTTGAGCGCATACGTCACGCGGCCCTTGGTCGGATCATTGGGGCTCTGCGAGTCGTGCACAGTGTAGATGTGGCTGCTGGGAATCCAAGCCTTGCGGACAATCATGGCACCCTCGGTAAGGGTACCGGTCTTGTCGGAGCAAATGTTGGTGACACCACCGAGAGCTTCGAGCGCAGAGAGGTCGCGCACGACGACGTTGGCCTTGCGCATAACAGTGACAGCAACAACCATAGTAATTGTGAGGACCCTATATGATGAAATATTAGCAAGATCTCGTCCGAAAACACAGGGTGAACAGGCATTGCACTTACGCGACAAGAGATTCGGGAATGATGGCGATACCGAGAGAGGTGGCATAAATGATGACTTCGTTGCGAAGATTGAAGTGGTTGACACCAAAAACGACCATGGCGAGGATAATAGCACATCCAAAGAGGACGTAGGCAAGAGCTGACAGCTTTCGCTGGAGAGGTGTTCCCACGGTCAAGCCCAAAAACTTGCCAATCAAGTCGTAGGTACGTTTAGCGAGGCCGACAACGGGCTGACGCTTGCCGTACTTGCGCCAGTTCAGAGAGCGGCCGGCCTTGCGCTGCTTCTTGGAGGTGGAGGCGGCAATCTTGCCGACCTCGGTGCTCATGCCCGTAGCGGTAACGATGCCACGGCCGCGGCCTTTTCGGACGACGGTGGTGGCGTAGGCCATGTTGACACGGTCGCCGATGCCAACCTCCTGTTCCGAGGTGGCCAGCTTTTCGCTTCCGGGGGCGGTTACGTTATTCTGGATAATTTTCTCGACGGGGATCGATTCGCCCGTGAGCTGGCCCTCTTCGCAGGCCAGGTTCATGGCTTCGAAGAGGCGGAGATCGGCGGGGACTGTGTCGCCGGTCTTGAGGATGACAATGTCGCCGGGGACGACATCGGGGCTGTGAAGATGGGATCAGCATGGGAATTGGGGTGTAGCGAGTAAGGGGAGGGGGGGGGAGGGGACGTACTTGGAAATGACCTGGGTCTTGCCGTCACGGAGAACCATGGCACTGGGGGACGAGAGGGCACGAAGCGCATCCATGCGCTTTTCGGCGCGGTACTCTTGCCAGAAGCCAATGGTGACATTGAGGACAATGACACATGCGAGGACACCGCCCTCGATGTAATCTTTAATGCCAAAGCTGAGAGCCATGGCGAAAACAAGGACCTAGCAAAATAGATGTTAGCAGGGCAAGGTGGAATTTGAAAAAAAGAAAAAAATACCAAAAAAGAAATTGAAGGACGTACAATAATCATGGCGTTGAGAATTTGCTTGGTCAGGATGCTGTACCAGGCAATGCTGCCGCCAACATCAAGCTCGTTCAAGGGATACTTTTCCTGCATCTGCGCCACCTGCGCCGAGGTGAGGCCCTTGTCGACATCGGTGCCGAGGGCGTCGGCCGTGTCGGCGACGGAGAGCAGGAAGGGGTGCTGGGGAAACTCAGCCATTGTCGCACGGGGAGGCGGCGGCGGCAGAGTCAAAGGTTGTGGTGTCGGTGGCGGAGCTACCGCGCTGCTCGGAGGGAGGGCAGAGGGGAATAAAAGTGCGAAGGTGATGCATAAGCGGAAAGTCGGATTGGGGGGAACAAGATTGCTTGCGTGTCCCGCGTCGATGATCAAAAGACGGTCCCTTTTGCAGTCAAGGGCGTCTTCTGCGACGCAAAGTGCTTTTTGTTTGAGTAGGTTGGGGTGTTGTAGGGATGAACTCTTCCCGTGTGGAATGAGCAAGTAGTTATTTTGAGTCTACTTTGCAAAAACCCCGTTGGTTATAGATTGATCTAGATTCAAAAGGTCCAACAACCATGGGGAAGGCGGGGGAGGCCGGTACTTTAAGTACTTGTCTCGCAGACAAAAAATACAACAAATGGCCAACAGATTTGCAAAGCCAAACGCCCACCAACTAACAACTCGCCCCCAAGATAAGGTTTTGACGTAGGTAGGCCTAAAGCCGAGAGCGCCTGGTCCCCACACGTCCGCCGAAAATGTCTTGGGCGACAGGGGTTGTTCGGCTTGGCGGCGCCGGGGGGGCCCACATCGCGGCGCCGCAAGCAATTCTTTTGCCCCCGGGCGGCGAAAGCGCGGGCGTCCGTCCAGTTGGCTCACCCAGCCCGGCACAGGACGGACTTGTTGCATTCGGCCTAGACGTGGGCGGGTGATGTAGCAAGGCGCAGCAGTAAAAAGATAAGAGATCTCGTCTATTTTTACACCCCGCGGCGGGCGATGACCGCTGCCGTGGCGAGGGGTTAAGAAGATTGGTTTGTACAAGAGCCAAGATGATGTCGGAGCGAGGAGCCATACAACCGGGGCAGTCCATCCGCAAACAAGAGGGGGGCTACGAGACGGGCGATCTGGTCATTTATTACAGGAGGTGGGGTGACGTCAAAGACCAAAACTCTTGACTGTTGACTCAATTGTAGTCGGCAGGTATCCAATTCGTCGCACTGCTCCCGATGAGGAGGAGCTGAGCAGCTGAGCAGCATATGTATGCAGATGGCATAATCAGTTGCCAGATTGCTTGAAGCGGGCATCTACACCAACTACACCACGGCTTCGCGCCAACTCGACCCGATACGCAATACTCCTTGGCTTTCTCCGCAGAAGAAACGCTGCTTGTCCTTGGCTGAAACGACAATCAACGCTTTCTCCAGATAGTAAAATAGAGCCAGAGTCGAGGAGAACTTTTCTCCCTTTGTTATCCGCTTTCTGACGTGCTTGGACATTTCCCGCTCGTCACCGAGAGAAGCCCGTCATGGTTCCAGGATTCCGCGCCAAGAGGCTTGGGTGCGGTAGTTCAAAGGCTCACCACTGGTATGCGCCGCCCGTCTGGCAGCGATGTGGGAAAAAATCGGGCTCTCGACTAACTAGCAGAGCCACGCGAGGCTTGGCATTGACGAGCATGTCTGCGACGGCGACAGCTCCGCTAGTTGGCTAGTCAGCTAGCTTGATAGAAGTGAGAAGAAACAAGAACAAGAACTCTGGATAATAACTAAAGGATGGTTAGTTATCGTCATGGACTCCATTCATTCGAGAAGGCTGCCTGTTTCGTTGAGCTGGAATGCTTATCCGGATCGGGGCAGCATGTTCATGTTGGCCGCCGTACAACATGCCACCGCATACGGGACGGGCGGCAAGGTAAGGCTAGCTGAACAGCAACGAGGCTCAGAAATTGGCCGACTTGTCTCAAGACGACGCTTTGTCTCAAGACGACGCCTTGTCATTGTCGTTTTTTCTCAGCTTGTGCTTTTGCACCCTTACAATGATCGCGTCTTACACCGCCACTACCCGCAGTTGGGTTTCTCTCTTGTCTCATTTTTTTTCTGTTCTACCTCCCCAATTTGAAAACATGCCAACCGTTTTGGCCCTGCAATCCCAGACTTTGACCCCTCCTTGGGCTGGTGGTTGTTGCTGTCATGATGTGTGTCTGCCAAGAGCAAAGACCATTACTTGCGGTCTTGGCAAAAAGCGCAGCGCACGTTCGAGAACAATCAAGGTTCTCCTCGGTCGCCTCGCCCAGCGAACCCTTACCACCCGGCTTTTATAAATGCCAAGAAATTCATTGCATTGACATTCTTTTGTGTCGCAGGGATTTGGGCGGATTGGCACCTCCGCGCCGCCCAATGTCTCTCGCTTTTTTAAGGTTATTTCTATCTCCAGGTCTCTCTACAACTGGTTAGCGCATGGGCGCGCCTATCGCCACAGTGCCGTGGTTGTGCTGCAGGCTACAGCTGCTGAGTGGCGCATAGCGGGGGGTTTCAGCGCTCTTGGCGCTGTTGCAAGGAGAGAAGGGAAATCCGAATTTTCTTCTTTCCGTTGTGTTTTTTTTTTTTGTTTCCGACGCTCCCTTCTTTCAGCAGTGCGGAGGCTGCCAAGCATTGAAACGTAACGTGCCTCCAGGGTTATCAGCTCGGTTGTAGCAATACCACTCTAAGGGCTCACAGCATCTCAACTATATTTTTTTCATATTTCTTTTGTAATACAACATGGATTGGGTCAATACCGAGTCTCTTATCTGTATCTCACGAAATGAGAGAAAACTGCATCTTATCAAGACGTCATTCTCAGCCATTTGGTTTGCACCAATGGCTTGGCAGTGGATCACGTGCCAACCCATATTGAGTAGTTCCACTTAATTCGACTGCGCCTCAATGTGGCCCGCATGGCATCTAGGAGCCGTGCCTGAATGTGGCTCCGGAGAAGCGAGAAGTGGTCTCTGTTGCTTTTGTTACACTGCGACGCGGAGACCAATAAGAACAAGGAACAGCGCTCCATGGACTTGGACCCCTCCTTGATTCGACAAACGGGTGGGGAGTGACTGATTGATATCGCCCAGCGGCATTCTCTGAGCGGAGAGATTTGAGCGGCCGTCGTTGCCTCGCGCTTCGGTAATCTGTCTTGCCCGGAATCCGATATCGAGATGGTTTGCGATAATGCAAGACCTTCTTGGGGTTCAATCACATGTTTTCGCTGACATGTTGTACACAGCCGTTTTTTTCAGTCATATATTTTAGCACACGATTTACGACATCGGTTCGCCATTCCACATCCAAAGACAAAGTATTCAAATTTCTATATGCATCTATCTGCTGCCGGACCGGATCAAGTCGTACGTGTGCCCCAAAAAAAGTATGAACAATCCTGAAGTTTCCCAAATTGTGTAATAACAGTCGAAAGACGCACCATGAAAAACGCCATATAACCCACGTCGTCCATCAACTACTTCCTTCTTCCACTTCATCATACACCTCGTCTGTACTATATCCAAGTCATCATGACAGCCGCGAAAGCCGCGACACTACCCGCAACGAGACCCGATGGCGCTAAGCTGAACGCCTTGCTCTGAGGGTTTACGCCCGTCGCGCTCTTGCCCAGATACCAGGAGCCAAGATCTGTCAGCTTGCCAGCGTTGTTGAGGAACGGGGCGTTGGCGCCGACACTCGAGTTCTTGGAACGAAAGGCGCCAAAGTACGAGTAGCGGCCGATATACGTCTCCTTGTCAAAGTAGTCGACCGTCTGGTTGAAGAACTGCTGGGTGGGCGAGAGCTCCTGGTGGGCATAGGCGTACTCGGTGATCCAAATCTCGGCGTCGGGCCAGAGCGCCCGGCGCTCGCCAATATGCGACGCCAGGCCGGCAAAGTTGTCGTACCAGTGGAGGGGGATTATGTCAAACGTGCAGTTCTTGGTCTGGCTGCTGCCGCTGCTGACGAGCGCGGAGCAGTTGCCGAGGAACTGCTTGAGCCAGTCGAGGCCGGCGGGCTGTCCGGTGACGGCAGGCAGGCCGAGCTTGACATTCATCTTGGCGAGGGGCTCAAAGTTGGCGACCCAGGCCTGCGCGGCGGTGTGGGGATCGACGTTGCTGCCGCCCCAGGAATTGGGCGCGTCGGGCTCGTTGAAGGCGAGAGCATGCGTGATGTTGCGGCCGTCCTGGATGACGCCCTTGACCTCGGTCAGCCACTTGGTGTCGCTCGGGTCCGCGCCGACCCCCCACATCATCGGCACAAACTCAAACTGGTCCTGCGCGACGTTGACGTAGGCGGGCGACGGGAGGCTCCCGTAGTTGTAGTACCAGGTGAGGTCGCTGGCGGGCGGCGGCCACATCTTGTTGTCTTGGGGGTATTCTGCGTTGGGCGTGAAGACGAGACCGCGCTTGCCCGCGGCGGCATCGGCCACGCTGGCCAGCGCATACAGCGTCACGGCGAGCAGCGACATGGCTGTCTTGTTTGAATGGAATGTAGATTCTCGTCGGGTCGATCGGAGGGTGGGGTGATGCCGATCGCAAATGTCGCTGATATAGAGACGCAGTAGCTAACGAGGTCAAGAATATGACGAAGCGAGCGACGTGAGAATAAAATATTCCGAGTCGTGGATCGTCCGCACTCTTTAAGCAGCGCTGAAGGCGAAAAGGAGGTCTGCCAAGCAATATTCGTATGTCGTACGCTGGGAACGCTCGGTCGAAGGTGGTCTTGCGATTGGCGTCGCGTACTGAACAAGGAGGAGGCGGAAAACAATAACACGCAATTCCAGAAAGCGAAAATACTAGAAATAACTATACATCGACGAGAAAAACGAGTGTTGAGGAAAAAAAATCACGCGCAAAAAACTCAAGGTGAAAACGAGACCAAAGCGCTTCAGGAACTTGGGCCGACAGTAGCTGAAGCCGCCCCCTAAACAGGTTTTTTTTGGCGGTTTGAACAAATCTGCTGTTATTAGACGGTTTATTAGCGTCAAAGCCTCAGTGAGCTTGGTTCAGGAGGTTCTTCAGTGGATGACGGTGCCTTGATTAGTGGGTTGGGGGGCGGTGCTAGCGCCCTGGAACATCGGACGTGCCTGATGCCGAAGAGGAACCAGCTGCCTGGGTGGGCAGCAGTGATGGAGAGAGGATTGATCATTGTGGTGTCGCGCTAACTAGTATTTGTTGGCGATGGCGACGTATTAATCGAGTCAATAAATATAGAGGTGGTGATGATGCGGTGAGCGCTGGTAGCACGAAATGAGGCTTTGCGACCCAGGCAGTATACTTTTGTTGTCCATGTCACGGTGAGATTGTGCGACGAGCCTCCGGAGCATTACCTCGACATGTGCCATGTGCTGTTTGGCAGTTGCCAGTGTTGCTAGCCGGAGCTGGACGGCACATATGTTCTGCATGTCTCATCTCGCTTGCTTCCGCTCCGTGTCGAGCATGTCCGAGAGCGCCGCATGGGGCCGACCAGCATCCGTGCCACGCCATCCCATCTCACAATGGATTCTGCACAATGGATTTTGCACAATGTATTGGGCCCAATGGATTCTGCACAATATTTTTTTTCACAATCTTCAAGAGGGTTATTCAACATTGGTAAAGTTCCTGGCGTCGGGTGTCCCCACGGGGTTGTCGTGGGCTGAGTCGGTAGTCCGTGGGCATTCCGCCGTATCCGTGGGCATGCCGCCCTGTCCGTGGAGATGACTCTATCAACAGCGCCAGCGTCCAAAAATGGCAATTTGCAAGGCCGACGATGCCCTCGTCCAGTCGGAAGCGTGTCGTGTAAAAGGCAAACGCTGTCTGGATGCGTAACTAGCCCGGAGCTTATGGCTTATTATAGGCAAGGCTGGTGAGCCGCCCGGTTGGCTTGTGAAAGCCAGCACCAATATTATAGTGGCACTGGGTTATATTTGCCCAGAGTGATGCCCGTCAGCACATGGCAATTGACACGGCATATGCAGCCGCTTGACACCAGCGGCAGAGTAGAAAAATCGATTCTTTGAAAGTAAGCCATGATTCATCAGCATTTTGTTCCGTCACCTGGTCTAGTTATTCTTTCCGTCTGCCGCGCCGCCGGACTTTTAGGCAAGACCTCGGCTTGCCTCTGCGCCTGGCTTAGCTAAGCTTCCCCCGGACCACCCACAAGCTGGCCCGATCAAGTGCTTGCCTCGGCTACTCCACAGATCCGGGTTCGGCGTTTGCCAGCAATCTACGAATTACGCCCGCCTGACGTGCCATTTCTATCCGGCTCATCCCACCTTGTGTCTCTGTCTCCTCATCTTTTTTTTCTGCAACATCCTCCTTTTTGCATCACCATATACCCCCGCATCCACACATTACACATACTTCATCATGGCTGTCGAACGTATCGGTTCCTTCATCAAGCACCTGTCCCCTGGCTCAGGCATTAACACCCTGTGAGTATGCTGCGCGCGCGCGAGGCTTTCACAAGCTAATCATGTCATGACCACTTCCTCAGCCAGGCCAAGAACGCCGACGATGTTGTCATCACCGTCGCCATCCGCACGCCCCTAACCAAGGCCCGCAAGGGCGGTTTCAAGGACAGCGGCATTGAGTACCTCGCCTACAGCCTGCTCAAGGAGCTCAAGACTCGCTCCGGTATCGACCCTGCTCTGGTCGAGGACTTTGCCTTTGGAAACGTGCGTTCCCCCTCCGATGGCATGTGCCAATTCAATCATATAATACTAACCAGAGGTTCCCCATAACAGGTCAACGACCCTCTCGCCGCCGCCAAGATTCGCGCCGCTGCCCTCGCCGCCGGCTTCCCCAACACTGCCGGCGCCTACTCCGTGAACCGCTTCTGCTCGTCTGGTCTCAAGGCCACGGCCGACATTGCCGACTCGATCCGCTCGGGCGCCATTGAAATTGGCGTGTCCGTCGGCGGCGAGAGCATGTCGGCGCCCGGCGCGCCCCCCTTCCCCTTCAACGAGGAGGTCATGGAGAACCAGGAGGTGCAGGACTCGCTCGAGCCCATGGGCTGGACGAGCGAGAATGTCGCGTCCGACTTTGGTATCACCCGCGAGCAGATGGACGAGTACGCTGCCGAGTCGTTTCAGCGTGCCGAGCGCGCGCAAAAGGCCGGCTGGTTCGACGACGAGATTGTCCCCATCAAGGCCAAGATCGAGGGCAAGGACGGCGAGATTACCGAGATTACCGTCTCCAAGGACGAGGGCATCCGCCCCGGCACCACCAAGGAGAGCCTCGCCAAGATCCGCGCCGCGTTCCCCCAGTGGGGTGAGACGACGACTGGTGGCAACGCCAGTCAAGTTACCGACGGAGGTGTGTATTATTGCTGGCGACGATGCACCTTTGACATATACTGACCATGATTGTGCAGCTGCCGCTATCCTTCTCATGAAGCGCTCCACCGCCATCAAGCTGGGCCAGCCCATCCTCGCCAAGTTTGTTGGCTCGACCGTCGCCGGCCTGGCCCCCCGCATCATGGGCATCGGCCCTTCGGTCGCCATCCCCAAGCTGCTGGCCAAGTACAACATCACGCTCGCCGACGTCGACGTCATCGAGCTCAACGAGGCCTTTGCCTCGATGGCTGTCTACTGCCGCGACAAGCTCAACCTGGATTGGGCCAAGATGAACCCCCGCGGCGGCGCCATCGCCCTGGGCCACCCTCTCGGCGCCACTGGCGCCCGCCAGATTGTCACCGGCCTGAGCGAGCTGCGCAGACAGGACAAGAAGGTCCTGCTCACCAGCATGTGCATCGGTACCGGTCAGGGTATGGCTGCGCTGTTTATCCGCGAGTAAGCAAGTAATGCGGGTGTGGTGCGGGGCTGGAAAATGAGGTAGAGTTTTTACATGTGTATGAATATCCGGCCAATGCCGTAAACTACTCGATATGTAGTTGTCATGTTTTAAAAGATATATATTTTCACGATACTACCCAGATAAGGCACTGCTTTGTGGCGGTCTCGACCAGACGGTCAGGTTGTGTGTGTGCTTGGCTCTGGTGCACGGCGTTCTTCACGTGTGCTGAATATGCATGTAGGGCGGCCAGCGCAGGACAATAGCCCCATCACGCGGCATATAGCACGGACTGGTATGACTGAAGTTCATGTGCTAAATCTAGGTATGCATGAATCGCAGACACCAACTTCCATTTGCTACACTTTCATTTGAGGCCTCTCTGTCGTTTGCTGTACTTTCCCGTCTCATGACCCCCCGTGGCCCCCTCCCTCCCCTCACTGAGGCCGCCCAAACAGCGTGCCCGAAGACCATGACGAGCCCACTGTAAAACCCTAGAGGCACTCACAACGGCAGCCTCTCACAGCGCCTGGAATATCAGCAGTGAGCAAACAGCCCCACCATAAAGTATCAGGTATTTGGCTTGGGCGAGGGCCTCAGACAAGACAAATTTGACCGACGTTTGAACCCGTTCCCTATTCTTTTTCTCCTCCCTGGCCAGCGTCCTTTGCTCTGCCCTTTCTTGTCCCTGATTTGTCCTGTAAATAGACTGCGACAAGGTACTTGGAAATCAGGAGGGTATCAGATGGCGTGGTAGGGATCAACACACGCAAAGGAGAACCCCCCTCTCCCCCCCGGATCTGCTACCGGCCAACAACCATCACCAAAAATAACACGCAAAAAAAATCAACACGCAGTCACCATGACTGGCCGCAATCGATCGCGGGCCAGCAGCGACAGCGCGTCGCCGCATCCTCACCAGCCCGCCCAGCCTAGTACCCTGCGGCAGAGCCACACGCCCGCGAGCCGACCCGTCAGCTACGCCGACCCCGACGACGATGACGATGACCCCAACAACAACAACAACAACAACAATGCCCCCTCGTTCGCCGCCCGCCGCGTCTCCGAGGCCACGCCGCTGCTCATCACCTCGACCGAGCCCGCCGCCCACCCCGGCGAGTGTGATCACGGCACTTTCAGCCCTCGCGCGTCTACGCCGCTCGGCACCGCCGCGCTCGAGAGCCACATTGACCGCATGCAAGGCTCCGACGACTGGAAGTCGTGGCTCAAGCAGCGCATCCGCACAAAGAAGATGGGCCACTCCAGCGAGCTCGCCCAGCGCGCCGGCGTCCGCGACGATCCCATCATGTATGTCTCTTGCCTGCGTGGTCAAGTTGGCAACCGGTCACGAGGCGCATCATGGCTAACCCGCTCTCTAGGTACCTGTCATACTATGTGCCCTGCCTGATTTGGATGCGCAAATACAAGCTGTCGTATCTCAAAGGCGACGTCGTGGCGGCCATTACAATGGCCTCGTTTTACCTCCCCATGGCTCTGTCGCTCGCGGCCAACCTCGCACACGTTTCTCCGCTCAACGGCCTGTACTCGTTTGTCTTCAATCCCTTTGTCTACGCCATCCTCGGCTCCTCCTCGCAAATGGTTGTCGGTCCCGAGGCCGCCGGCTCGCTGCTCGTCGGCTCGGTGGTCAAGTCCAGCGTCGAGGCTGGTGGGCTCGACGACAACGACCTGGTCCATACGCAGATTGCTGGCGTCGTGGCCGGCATCGCCGGCGCCATGGTGCTCATTGCCGGCCTGGCGCGGCTCGGCTTCCTCGACTCCGTCCTCAGCAGGCCCTTCCTGCGCGGCTTCATCAGCGCCATTGGCTTCGTCATTGCCGTGGATCAGTTGATTCCTGAGCTGGGTCTGGGCGAGCTTGCTGATAAAGCGGGTGTCGGCCACAGCAGCAGCGTGGACAAGATTGTCTTTATCATTGAACACTGGGAAAAAACTCATCGTCCCACGTTTGCTGTTGCGGGCGTCAGCTTTCTGGTCATCATGTTTTTCCGGTCAGTGGTGCTCTCCTCTCATTCAAACCCGATGGGTTGAAATCTAACGAACAAGCAGCGAAACGAAGCGCCGCCTGGAGCCCCGCTACCCTTCAGTCGTCTTCGTTCCAGATCGATTCATTGTTGTTGTCGCCTCTGCCATTCTGTGTTGGTACTATGAGTGGGACAAGAGCGGTGTCGAGATTCTCGGCGCCGTAAAGTCTGCCACCGGAAACCTCTTTGCTTTCCGATGGCCGTTTACCCTCTCTCACATGAAGCACATTCGCTCCGCCATGTCGACTTCGTTCCTCATTGCGCTACTTGGCTTCTTTGAATCTTCCGTCGCCGCCAAGAGCCTTGGCAACAGCAGCATCCCCGGCATGGAGCTGAGTGCAAACCGTGAAATGATTGCCCTTGGTGTTGCCAACGTTGTCGGCTCTTGCTTCATGAGTCTTCCAGCTTTTGGTGGCTACGGACGCAGCAAAGTCAACAAGACGACGGGCGGCCAGACACCCATGAGCTCCATCGTGTTGAGCCTCATCTCGCTGCTCTCCGTGCTTTTCCTCTTGCCATATTTCTTCTTTCTGCCGAAGCCTGTCCTTTCTTCCATGATTTCTGTCGTCGCTTGGTCGCTCATAGAAGAGGCACCTCACGATATCAGGTTCTTTGTCAAGATTCGAGGCTGGACTGAACTGGGCCTCATGGCCATCATATTTCTGTCCACTATTTTTTATTCTCTGACACTAGGCATGGCTCTGGGAGTCGGCATCTCGCTACTTATGGTTATCAAGCACAGTACGCGCCCCCGTATCCAGATTCTCGGCCGGATTCCCGGAACGCAGCTCTTTGAAAATGCCGAGGCTGAGCCCCACAGTCTCGAGTTCGTGGAAGGCTGCCTCATCGTCAAGATTCCCGAGCCGCTCACATTTGCCAATACCGGCGAACTCAAGTCTCGTCTGCGCCGCCTCGAACATTATGGAACGCCCTCGGCTCACCCAGCGCTGCCCCGTATCCGCAGCCAGGATGCCAACCGCAACATCATCTTTGATATTCACGGCGTCACGTCGATTGACGGGTCCGGCACGCAGGTCTTGGAGGAGATTGTGCGCAGCTATCGGGACCGAGGCGTTCGCGTCTTCTTCTCGCGCCTTCCAGGTGGCAAGACTCACCCCGTTTGGCGCCTTATGGTTAGCAGTGGCATCGTTGGCCTCTGCGGCGAGAGCCACTTCGTTAGAGACGTCGAGGAAGCGCTGCAGATGACCGAGTACGAGGAAAGCGTTGAGGACTCTAGAAGCAGCGTTGCTTGAATCGTCAGCGTGTACGGCAGCATTCTGCACGGCTTATTCATGATTGCATTATTTTCTTTCTGCGGTGTTTCCCAAAAGCGATACAATAGATTTTGACACATGTCACCCAAGGTACGTGATCTGCTGTAATGGTAGGAGTGAACCTTGCCTGGCATCATAGTATATAGCGCAAACCGAACCTACATTTTTGTTACTCAGATTTAGACGAAAATATAACCCTTCTGCCATCCATAGCGTTCGTCTCGTGAGCATTTCGAACCCTTGTTCTGGCTGGTGATGCTGTGTGCGTTGGGGGGTATAGAGGAACTTGAAAGAAGTAGATGTGGGAAAGACTGTAGCTTCTGCGGGAAACTATCGAATGGAGGAGAAACCGACATTTACACTTTTTCAACGCTGTTTTACTTTTTGCACTTTACTGCTGGCACGTTCTATTAACAATTATTTTTCAAGTGATCGATCGGCCGGGACCATCCACCCACAGTGACATAATGACACGCCGCTGAACTAGGAGCGCCACGCGCGTGGGTGCCTGTCAGTGTCAGGGATGGAAATTTCGAGGCCCCTCCAACCAAGGCGCGTTATCCATCTGCTTGCATCATCAAACAAACAAAGAATTTATACCGATTGCCTCGTCCATCGAAATACGATACTTGTATATCTCTACAGTTAGGGATGCATCGACGAAATCAGGCTTATTCCTAGAACTTGCGATGGATTCGGAGCTCACCCGACCGTCAGAGCTCGACGAGTCGCAGTCGTCCAAGCTGTCCAGCGTCCACGCCAGCGACATGGACAGCGGCAGCGACAGCGACAGCGACAGTTCCAACGAAGGTGCATCCGAGGCGGCACCTCAGGTCGAATGGCTCGCCACGGGCCGCCAGCGTCGCTCTACGGCCGGCAACCGCATGAAGTCGATGCTCGCCAACGAAGAACCCGACTCGGATCTTGAGCTGCTCTTCGCCGAAGACGAAAATGATCAGGGCTTCTCCGACGCCGGTGAACACGCCTCAGACGTGCAGATGGACTCATCCTCCGATGACGACGACAACCACGACGACGAGCTCGAGGGCGAAAAGGAGCTCGACAAGCAGGCCAAGGAACGCCGCATGGCGCAGCGCAAACGCAAGGCGCAGGAGGCAGTCCCGGCCAAATTTCGAAAAAAAGTACGCATCGACACGAGCAACTCGACGCCGCGGTCCTCGGTCGCCCCCTCGACACCGCAAACTGCGAGTCAGCCCCGGCCAAAGAAGAAGTCGGAGCGCGCGTCGTGGCTGCCCTCGGTCACCGACCTGCCCACGCGCGCCTCGTCGCGCCAGACAACGCGTCTCTCCAAGGAGCAGTTGCACGCGCAGATGGAGGAGCGCGAGGCCAAGCGGCTGAAGCAGCTAGCGCAGATGCAGAAGAAGGCGGCGCGCCTCGAGGCCCTCAAGAAGCCGCCCATGACGCAGGAGGACCGCCTGCGTGAGGCTGCGCTCGTCGAGGAGCGCAACAGCAAGAGCCTCAACCGCTGGGAGGTGGCGGAGAAGCAACGCGAGGAGGAGCGCCGTGCCAAGCTCGCCGCGCTGCACGAGCGCACGCTCCGTGGGCCGGTCCTTTCGTTTTGGAGTGGCATGGGCCGCTTCCGCGACGGCTGGCGCAAAGGAGAGGGTATTCATGTAGCGGTCGAGGAGAAGCCGAAAAAGGCGAGAAAGGAAAAGGCCGCAAAGGACAAGGGCAAGAAGAAGGAAGATGCGAAGGGGGGTGTGAAGGAAGAGAATACTGGAGAGACAAAACCTACGAATCTCCCGGGTGCGAGTGATGCACTGCCTCAATCTACAGAAGATGACCAACCTGGCTCAGGTCAGAATGTCGAGGTGAACGCGAACGCGAGCGCCGACGTTCCAAAACAAGATGCAGCAGCAGACAATGTATCCAAAGACACAACCATGACTGATGCAGCCAACGCACAAACACAAGAACCTACAGCATCAACACCAGCAGTAACAGCGACAAAAAGAGCTGCAGATTCCAATAACACGGACAATACAACGATAGAGGTTTCTGTGGAGGTCGCGACGGTAGAGGTGCCGGTAAAAGAGGGTACGGAAAAGACTACTGTTGGTGAGGGTGGAAGTCAAGCCATAACGTCGAGGCCCTCGGAAGTGACAGCTTCGTCAGCGACACAGTCCGCAAACGTGGGGGCTACCTCTACGAAAGAACCTCCTGTTGAAGCACAGGCGCCACTCGCGCAGCCTAAAGAGTATACGCAAGCGGTATTTGGCTTAAAATCACCAGGAGCACCGGTGACAGCTGCTGCAGAGGCAGCAGATGGCGTTGCCTGTCCTGATTCGGTCGCCAAAGAGACCCAATCGCAGCCGACTTCCAGAACAGAAACTGCACATAGTCCCGACCTCACAACAGGCCCAGATGCTGCGCTGGTGGCAAACGGATTGCCAATTCTCCAGAAGGTTCATTTGCCGCCGATTGAGAACGAGTCCCTGCCTGCAAGCAAGATGGTCAGCCGAATACAGTCGGAAGCAGCCACGCCGCAACCAGAGCAAGCCCTCTCACCGCTAGACGGGCTGGCAACGACTCGAGATGCTATCATCTTTCAGAACTTTGACGAAAGCGCCATTAAAGACAGGGGTGTGCAGACGCAGGTTCTATTTGGTCGCAAGATGGGCCGCTTATCAAGTATGTCCCTTGTTTCACTCAGAAAGCACCGAGGTTCGTTTGCTAACGATATTTAGAACCTACGCCTGTGCCGATATGTCCCATCACCAACAATCCCGCCCGGTATCGTGACCCGAAGACCAGCCTTCACTTCTACAGCGCCGCCGCCTACAAGGAGCTCCAGCGCGTGCAGTCGGGCGAGTATCGCTGGAGCCGGCTGCTCGGTGCCTGGGCGGGCAGCGGCTCGTATGCGGCGCGCGGCGTGCCCGAACGATTTCTCAACCCGGCACGGTGCCCGAACCTGGACGAGGTACAGCGCATCGAACGGAAGCGGGAGGACAAGGAGAAGCTCAAGCTGCAGCAAGCAGAAGACGGAAAAAAGGCCAAGGAGACGAAGACGGTGATACCTAACAAGCAGGCAGGCGGCGGCGGCGGCGGCGGCGGCGGCGACGGCAGTCCCGCGATGGCGACGGAGGACGCAAAGACAGTCATTAGCGTCAAGGCGGAGGAGACGAGCGGCGCCAAGACTGAAGCGCCAGTGGCGGCATGAGATGCACGTCACGGATGTAACAACAATTCAGGTGTGAGGGCGCGAGGCGACACCGGCAACAACTGAGCTGGTGTGTCTTTTCAGTGTAAAATGATACAAGCGGAGGAGAAGATGACTAGACGAAGACAGGGCGTTCTCGGGGTCGTGTACAGAAAAACCACAGGAACTGTTTTTGGTTGATTGGGGTTCGTTTTTTTTTTACAGGAGCCTGGCCGTGGGCGAAAGGGACGGATACATACTCATTTACGTGGCGCAACTAATGTTTTTTTTGTGTATACTAGCCAAGGATACGAGGTGGTCAGGTCCAATGGGGAGAATTCAAAACAGGATAATTCTTTTTTGCTTGAAATATGTCGGCTGTACTCCGTAGTCTCAGTATTCCCCGAGAAGGCGGCCGGGATGTTCGGCCGAAACCAGATGGGGCAAGCTGTGGCGGTCTTGGGTAGCGGGTTGGTGGGAGATGGGTTTGGGGACAAGGGGAAGGCAAGCACTGGTCATGGATTACACCGGCGTGACGGTGATGTTCCCTGACGAGTAGGGACGTCTGCTGGTATTAATATGAAGGATGATATACATGGCTATTAATATAATTTTCCTTGTATTGAGTATTGATACTTCAGCTGGAACTGCCCGAGCATCACTGCGTCGCCACGGGGAAATTGCCCCCAAAACCACTGACAGCCAATCGCTTCGGAGGCTCCAAATTGCCAGGGCACCCTGCAAGCATGGCCGGCGCGTCATCAATCAAGCATGAGGCATCGCACTGCAAGCACTGGACCGGCCGAAGGAGACCAAATGGACGACCATCCCCCCCCGGCACAGCCCGCTGGCCGCGTGCAGGCATCCCACATGTACGCTAAGCCACACTGGGATGGGGGGCCTGAGCCACAACAGCCTTCGCTAGGTTCGAGCCCGCGCCACTTTTCTCTTCCCGCCAACTTCTAGCCAATGGCCACGATGAAGATCTCGACAGGATTGCTTCCCTCCTCTACATACCGCAACCAAAAACTTATTCTTGGCCCGCCCTCCACCCACCCTCCCGCCCCTCTCTTCAGCTTGACATGCGCTCTCTCCAAAGCCAGCACATCAATGCGTTTTGGCTTGATTAATGGGGGGGGGCCGATGGATGCGTCTCTCCCGCGCGTTCGGGATGGACGCTTCTCACCGTGATGCGGCGGGCTGCGCGTTCCCCTCTGCAGCAAACGGAGCAAAAAGTCTGGAATGGGCAGCAAAGCGTGCATGAAGAAAAGCAGTACAACCCTCCCCCCAGAGATGCACTGTTCGATTCATAACACTCGTATACTAATCATTTTGTGTCTGCAGTTTGTATTCGTACGGTTGCACTTGTACCGAGTACCACGGCGCCGCCTCGCATCGTTCGTTCTGTGACAACGGCCCAAGCTCCAACTGACTAGTCCACCTTTTAAGATTACCTTGGTCCTGCTAACAACCACGGCATTTCCCTCAAAAAAGAGCTCATCGTCACAATTCAGTACCAGTATCTGTGCTCTCTCTCTCTCTCTCTCTCTGTACTCTGTATGATGCTCTCTATTTCATCCCAAATTGGGACCCGAGTCTTGGTTAATTGTCCGTGACACATGCCGCCATCACGAGCTTGCGTTCCCTCTATTCGTATTATTATACCGCATCTCCCTCTCTCAGTTCAATCGTCAATTGTCCAATTCGTCCACCTCGCTTCTCAACCAGGCTGTCCCGCCGACACTGCATGCCTTGCGCCCCCAGCAACAGGACCCATGATTCAGGTACCGAATGTCACCCAGCTGAGCCAGAGCTGAGATTGTCAGTCAGGTCAAGATCACCCCAATCCCCTCACCGTGCTTCTCTTTCTCCCTTTCTTGAAATTTCATCTCGCTTGTGTGATCGCGCTTCATTCTTGTATTGTTGAGTTGCCGTCGCAGACGAGACCTCTTCCACTCTCACCAACAACCACATCGTCCAGACGACTTCAATCGTACGACTAGCCGGAAGCGTTACGCCCAGCCAGGCTCATTGCCAATTGCGGAACAAACCACAACATCTTGCTACTTGGCTTGCGCCTCTCTTCCTCTCCCATCTTCATCTTTTTCCTCGTCGACCAATCTCATATTATTCTCGTCTTATACCCTCAAATTAAGGCCTTGCACCCCGGTATGCTGGGGTGCCCTTCCAGGATTCCGAAACAAATTTCGCGCCCGGCCGGTACGGAGAGAGTCTCGAGTAACGCGCATGGCCGCATTGCATTGGCTTTATAGCAGTGGCTATCAACAGAAATCCCCTCGTCGGACGCTTTTTACCCATTTTCAACTCCCTTCTCAACTCGTTCTGCATTACATCCAAGTGAGGCGCTTGCCTCCATCGCCGCTATGGATCCCTCGCGGACTCTAGTCGCATTCCTTCTGTAAGTCGTTGGCAACCCTGAGCCCTGTCGCCCGAATATTGTCTCGCATTTTTGCTTGTTCCTCGACCCCTTCAATACTGCCTGCCAGTGACGTCGGGTTTAACCGCCTATCGTCCTGCATCGCTGCAGAAATCGCAATCGAGCTTGCTCCATCGAATAGTTGCCCTCCATGGACGAGGCGCGACCGATCGCGGGTTGTCTACTCAACGGCAGAGGCGCGCTATTCAGGACAACTATGCACTATGCACCAGGCTGCGCACCATTCGCCTCAGTCATCGCTATGCCGTCAGTCTCATGCAGCTTGCCCCCCTTCGTCAGACGAGCGTCGCTCTGCCGTCGCCGGCCGTTGTGGCTGGACTCGGTCTGTCGATCGATGCAGATGGAAGCATGCGCGGGGCTGTTGATTGGAGCAGTCAAGCGATATTATTGGCATCTAGCAAACGATAAACATCTCCGTGCTCAAGTGGGTGCTGACAGCTTGGGGTCTGATGGACTGTTTGCTTGCCTCGCCGGCTTTGTAAGTCAACGACTTCAAGCCACCGGGCGCGAGCACCCGACACCGTCGGCCCAATCAAGATTCCAATTTCCCCGTTGGCATTCCCATACCCGACTCTTCATTCTATTCGCTTTCCACGACGTTATTCCATCTTGCTGACAATGGGGCTTCTACGCATAGTGAGACGGATCCATCAGTCGCCACTGTCCATCTGATTGGTTCGTGGGACAATTTTTCCTCATCTTATCCCATGGACCGTGATGCCCGGCGCGGTCGCGGCCACTGGCGAGGCTGCCACTCCCTCCAAGACCACGTTTGCGACGGCGCTGGCAGTCGATACAGGACGCACACCGGTCTCGCCATGGGCCACACGTACTATTATTATGTATGTTCCTTGCTCGTTTGCTTTTCTTCAGCACCAACCGCCACATCCGGACCCCCCACCTTGCCAACAGCTAGGACCACCCTGCGCAAGTCGTGGCCCGTTGCTCATTTTGCTGCCCAAGCTTCTCCGAGGCTAATGCGCCCGCCTTATACAGTACGAGTTGAACGGCTCAACGGAAACCTGCAATCCTAAAATGCCTTCCACAACAACCTGTCCCTTTCTTCCAGGTCAGAAGCTTAATACGCTATATATACCCAAGGAAGCTCCCAGTCGCACCCGCTGTGCTTCCCTCACGTCCTTGTCTCAAGAACAGTTTCGAACCATGGATCCGCGCGCCAAGTTTATCACACCGCAACCTGCTGCCCCTTCCCATGCCGACCTGTCTACCCGTCGCACGGGTACTGCTGCTCCCGCCCTTGCGACCAACTTTGTCTTATCCAAAGAGCGCCCGATTTCGGCCAGCTCTCCCATCAAGTCTCCTTGGCGGCGCTTCTTCAACAAGACGCTCATCGGTCGCTCCTTGGAGAGCCGCGACCGCCCGCTCAACAACAACGATGATCATCGAAGCCTCGCATCCACCTCCTCCAACTACGACATTCGGCCGCAGACGCCGTCAGAAGGGTCTCGCACGCGCGACATTTCTCCCGTGTCGCTTCGTCGACTCCTCGTCGCCGAGATTGACACATCAGTGCGGCCGGTTTCCCGCGGCAGCCTCGCGGCGTCGGTCCATTCTCGCACACCCACGTTTGACGTTTTCGTAATGGAGCAAGTTGAGGAGGAGCAAGTTGATGAGGAAGACGACGACAACTTTGGGGCAGCCGCAGATGAGCTGTCCTTGTACGCCGTTGACGAAGAAGAAGACGACAACTTTGTGGCAGCTGCAGAGAAGCTGGCCTTGTACACCGTGGAGGAACCGCTATTTACGACCCGGCTCTCCCCTCCGCCGTTCAAAAGAGATGCATCGCCGGCCACGGCCACAAGGTCCTCAGCTCAGACTGTGATGTCGTTGTCCGGGGGCCCAGAGCCGACGAGCAAGGACGTTTCCACAGGGCTGTTCCTATCATCAGTGCCGCAACCTCCATTTGCGCAGCGATCAATGCCAGGGAGTCCGGCTCTCTCGGTGCGGGACACTTTTGTGCCCTCGGCGTGTGCGTCGTCCACCCTGTCCAGCTGCATGAACTCGCCCGCCTCTCTCGCATCCTGCGAATTTTCTACCCTGTGCGAATTCCCCACGTCGGGCGACTTGTCAATACTTTACGATGAATCCCATGATGACGATGATGTGGACGAGCGTTCTCCGTGCTCCGAGCACGAGGAGATGGCCGCCGACGCCGCCACCGCGGCTATCAGCAACCATGTCAAGGCACCGTCCACGGCGTCCTTTTCACGGTATCGTCTGCCGCCGCTGGCCTTTTCCGCGGACAAGCTGCCCGCGGCGGATAGCGATGCTAGTGCCCTCTCTCCCAGCCTGCGCTTTGCCGCAATCAACTCGCCGCTGCTGCTGCCGCGACCAAACGGCGGGCCCGTGGGTGCCGGCGCCGGTGGTGGCGGCGGCGGCTCCAACCTGCTGAACTCGAGCCTCGTCGGTCTTGATGACTTTGGGCATGAGCTCAGTTGGCTGGTTGACTCGATTACGAGCCGTCATCAGAGCTGATGATGCCATGACGTATATCCCTGTTTGGTTCTTTTTATTTTGGCCTCATGCCACCGCGCGAGGCGCGCAGGGCCAGTTTCTCTTACGTTTTTTTTTTTTTTTTGCATGATTGATACCTATTTGCTATTGCTGGTGCCATGACTACCATTACCGGTGTTATATTGGATACTGTTTTTTTTTTGCTACGCAACGCTGGTCAGGCGTAGCCGGTACAGATGATCATTAGAACATATAATAATATTACTAGAACATGTACATAATTCAACCCATCTAGACTCGCAGCAGGACACTTTAGACATGGTTAGATGAACTGTTTGTTTATTCGCTGTTATATAAAAAGAAAACAAGACAAAATTACTGTTCACACAGTCCCAATGACATCGCCATGCTATAAAAGACGAGAGTGTAAGGGTGGGGGGGGAAACCGCTCGAGTCCAGACATGTATAACCCCAAACAAGAGGAGAAGAGGAGGAGGAAAAGTATGATACAAGAAGGGGGAAGAAGATGCCAAGTAGCATGACACAGAGAAAGGATGCTCTGTACAATATGGGTAGTAGTGTGACTGTTTCTGCAAAAAGCCAGAAGGAAAAAGCCGCACATCATTATAGTATTATGATTCTTCGTTTGCCGCAACCCATCCATTTCGGTGCAAGAAAAAAAGAAACGAATGAGGCTCGAAATGAGGTGAGATTGCAGCAGCAAAAGCGGGAGACAAAAAAACAACGCAGACCAAACCCGACCGAACCTCGTCATCCAAAAAGAGAAAAAGTAGATGAGAAAAAAGAACCAATTCATAAAACAGTAGACCCCCACTCAGCATGGTACTGAAAGCGATAGGCTAGAGGAGAAAAGAGTCAACGCAGCAGTCGTAACAAGTCGCCTTTCGGGCTTTATTTCGCAGCCGTCTTCTCAGCAGTGCGCTTCTTGTCGGCGAGGCGGTCGGCGCGGGCGCCCTTGTACTTTGTATTGAGAATACCGTCCCAGAAGGTGAAGAAGGGCTGGGAAAAGTTGGTCTTGATACCCCAGGTTTGGTGGTGAATGTCGTGGTAGGCGGCATTGTTGTTGGTGATGAGCTGGAGTGGGTCCCAGGGAAAAGCGTAGCCGCAGTGGTCGTCAATCGTCTTCATGGTGGAAAAGGTGAAGAAGCAGGTGCCCTGAAGAGTGGTCATGCCCGTGACTTTGAAGCCAATGCCAGCACCGAGCGTGTCGAGAAGAAAGCCCTCAAAGGGGTGGTTGTAGAGGGCGCCGTAGGCGTAGGGAACGTAGAGGCGGTGGTGGCGCGAGTGAAACGTCGTGTACAGCCAGCGATTGATATGCATGAGGCGGTGCAAGAAGTACTGCCATGTGTCGAGGATGAAGACGGCGACAAAGAACTGGAGGGCTGGGACGAGGAAGTAGTAGATGAGCTGGGCGAGGGCGAGCTCCCAATGGGCAAAGACGGGGACTTGGGCGTCGGTCTTGAGAAAAGGGTAGTAGCCGCCAGCGAGGGCGCCGGCGAGGAAGGGATGCGCTGGGGCCATGTTCTTGGCAATGGCGGTAGCATTGAGTCCGACGAGGCCGAGCAGGCCGGGCACGGCGCGCTGAGCGAGCCGGACGCGCGTGGCCCAGACGGCGACATCGTAGCCGTCCTTGCCGATATACTCGGGAGGGTCGGCGAGCTGCAGGGCGGCGCCGGTGACGACTTGAATGAGCTGTTGGACGACGACGTCGCGGGCGACCTCGTAGCGCGAGGCGTGGTTGCGACTCGTGATTTCCTCGGGTGTGTGTAGGCGGTACTGCGGGAACAGGTCGAGCGTGTCGACGAGGTGGAAGCCGAGGCTCATGACCCAGTAGACGATGACGGGGGCGACCAAGGACAGCCAAAAGTCGGGCAGCCAGGGGAAAAAGTCGGGGCGGGGCGAGAGCGAGTAGGCGGGGAGGGGTGGCAGGGCCGTGTCGAAGAGTGTCTTGTTGTTGGCCATGGAGGCGGCCAACGAGAGGCTAGCCGACGTGGCGTTGACCATTGCTGCCGGCTGTATGCTGGTGTGATGCTATTCGGTGTACGTATGGTGTTGCGTAGTCGTGGTGAGGGGGATGGAGCGAAATGGCGCGCGCGCGTTTTGTCCCGCGGTGAGGCAATCACCATGCAAAAAATACTGGTGGCGAAAAAAAGGAGTGTGGTGGTGCAAGCGGGTGGATGTTTCGGAAACAATGGGATTCAATCGGGCGCAGTCCGTCCAACGGGGTGGGAATCGTCGGTCGGTCGGGATTGGAGGTTGGAGTCGGAAGATTGGAATGTGTCGATTGTGAAGAGGCGAAAAAAAGGAGTGTTACAAGAGCCGTTTGATGAAAAAGAGGTGACAAGAGCCGTTGGATGAAAGAGGGAAGAAAAGAGAGCTGGGGGTGGATCGCTTGATTCACTCAAGATGCCCTCGGCCTTTGCTGGCACGCACTGCACAGGGCGGCAGGGGCGACTTATTTTTATGGTACTGCTTGTAGTTACTGCTTGTACTGCATTCGTCAGTGATGAAGCCACCAACGCTAAGAGTACTGCCACCTCTTGATGTACTCTGCCATGTACTCCGTGTCTGCTAACTACATGTAATCATGACTGTGAATTTTAGTCGCATGTTTCTTTGTTTTTAAAATGGATCTATTTCCTGGTTCGGACCGGAAGCTCGGAGATGTCGCCTCCGTCAAAAAGTGGCCCAGCAGTTGCAGCTCTAACTGGTGGTCATCTCACCAGATGGAATGGGTCAACTAGTTAATTCCAGCAATGCAAATGCAAGAGGAATATACGTTATAACTACATAGGTAGTTTAAATCCCAGGTTCTACCTGCGGTCGATACTGGTCAACGTACGGATACAGATGACTAACAGGTAGTTACTGGGGCGAATAGATGACGTGGTTGTGCCCGCCAAGCCCACCATAAGAGCCTTGGGCCTGTTCATAATTTAATCAGGCATCTTTTCCTGGCCCGGAAATGGGAAATGACACCACTCGGCAATCCGACTTCCACCTCCACCACCTAGGTACCTACCAGGTAGTAGAGGCATGTGTCACTCTATCCCCTGCGCTTCGTCCCCCTAGCAGGCATTCGAATCTGATAATTCGGTACGTACCTGCAGTGTCAGCCTCCCTGCGCCAGCGCTACCTCTCCCGACAAATTACGCCTGGCGTCCATCGCCCGCCACAAACAGTCGAGAATCACGACAATTGCTTGGTACCTTTGAACGAGGAGCATATACATCAGGCATGTCGCGGCCGAGTTTGATGATACCTTGACTATTGCGACTTGGTGACTGCTCGAAAGCACATAGTATCACCACGCCGTCAAATTGCATCAGCGGCAGGAAGACGTTGCCGACAAACACACGCGCAATGAAGAAGCCGTACCTGCAGCTAGCAACGAAAAGCTCTTGCTCAGAAATAACGTACAGAGTAACGATAAGTGGTAAGGTGGGTGGCAAGCCATGATGTCATGTAGAGGCGCACTCTGACGCAGAGTCTACTGTCCAGTGGCTAGCCCGTCTTCTCGTCTTTTTCTGCTCCTTTTCAGCCGCAAAATGCCATCCTATGTACAGTAACCGGTCCAGTGCACCATCTTGAACGATACACTCTTAACGGCGGTGGCAGAAGTCCATACCGTGCACAAGCGTTGGACACCTTCATAGCGTGACGTCAAGGGCTTCAGGCTTCAAGTCGCCGTGCCGTTGGTGACGCTGTCATGAGCAGTCGAGATGCGAAATTCGCCTAGACATATATTTTTTCTTAGAGTAGCTGGCCATGGCCAATCCTCCCCCTTCACATGCGCCGCCCTCGATACCTCTTTTCCATGGCTTCGTCATTAGACTTCTCTATTCCCTCGGACCCGGAACCTGCGTTTGACTCTGCCTCTCGTGAGAAACTCGCATCTGCGCGCTTGGAAGCGCTTGAGAATGATGCGCCGACCATCAGCCATGCTGTGGCAGAAGCCAAAGTGCATCAACTGGACCAAGTTCCCGCAAGAGATGGCGTAAACACTGGCCATGCCCAGGCCGGAGACTCGGACGCGGCGTTTCAGCCTCGTATCCTGGGCATCTCAAAAGAGGATGCGTGGATGGCGATCCGCCGATTCAACCTCTTGGTTTTTCGCGTCAAGGCCACGAAGCACTGTCCGTTAAGCGACCTCGACATGGTGTCAGCTGAAGACGGGCAGACCTCGCCAGAACAGATTCAAGCCCAATTTGCACGTCTATACATGACAGTCATCATCGGGTTGTTTGCTTGTTACAAGCACATAGCTCGACTGCGAGCTTGGAGCGAGCCACATAGAACGTCTACTTTTCTATCGCTGTATCTTGTCGCATGGCTTGCTAATCTACTTGTGCCGACTCTTTTCTTCTTCCTCGTGGTTGTGATTATTTTCCCTTCTTCGAGACCGTTGTGTTTCCCCCCTATAGCTCCCTCCATCGTCGATGCTACAACTGGCGGCGTCCAGATGCCTCCTGCGGGTGTCATGGCGACGGATACAACCATTACAGGGGCGCCAGAGAGCCACAAGGGCGAAGCCGTCGAGCAGGAAGCACACAGCTTCATCGCCAGCTTTTCCAAGGTATGTGCACACCTCGAGAGTACGACAGGAAGTGCAACGCTGATGATCCCGTCTCTTAGTTGATCATGAGCATAACCTCGGACAAAGATCAGGACAAGAGCGCACCTGAAGATGACCCTTCCCCAGGCTTGGCTAAACTGAGTGGCAAGATCGCAAGCGCGAAAAGCAAGACTGACCAGGACGGACAAGGCGCAAACATGGATAAAACAGCGGACCCCATGAAACACGCGATCGAGGATTTTGACCCAAAGCCGCTGCTAGACATGTTGTTTGAGCTCATCGATACTTGGGAACGATTTGGAAACGTGATGCATCCGACGCCCTTATTTCCAAGTAATGACTCTAGACTGCGGCTAGCCATCTGTCTTGCAGCGCCGGCATTGATAATGGCTATTTTGTCGCGGGAGACCATGATCAAGAGCCTAGAACTCTTCTTTGGTTTCGTCTTTTTTGGCAAACCAATCATCCGACGAGCCTACGACTTGCTTGATAAGCATTGTCCTAGTTGGCGTAATTACGGCAAACTTCGTAACTCGGTTTTGAAGGGAGTGCCCACGAATGCACAACTTGCCATCACCATGCTTCGTGTTGGCGAACGAATCAGTTCGCCGCTTCCTCCCCCTCCCGTTTCACATGACTCTCCAAAGATGAAAGCTATAGCGGATGCCGACAGGGTGCCGATCCTAGGTGCGCAACGTGACGATTTTCATGGATAAATAGTTTGACAGCTGACACGTCATGTAGGAGCCACCCACGAACAAACCCAAAAAGCGATCCAACCAGATCCCGACGGCGGCACAGTCCAAAACGACGACAACGAACCCAAATCGAAGAATATAGAGCGCTTCATGGGATTCATCAAGCACAATTCCAAGCGCTTCGTCAACCTCTTTCACAAAGTGGACAAGAAGCGCGCGAGCCGGGGCGACACGCATGCGCAAGCGCGGCTTGATCTCGGGCAGACCACGCGGCAGGTGCCCGATGCTGGACCGTACAGATTCCCGGCACTTTGCAATGGTGAGGTGGGATACCTCCATTTGACGACGGTGGCAGCGACGGCGTCTGTGGCGTGGCAAAGCCATGACGAGAACTTGAACACGGCTTGGGTCGTCATGGTGAATGATATCGCCGACATTTCCAAAGTGGATGGAATGAGCTTAAAGACGAAGCACTTTGTGCAGTGGGCGCTGGATAAGGAATCTGTAAATGGTCTGAAGCTGACAACGTTGAGTGGTGAATGCCATCATCTCGATGCGGTTCCCAACCGCGATGAGGCTTTTAATCGCTTGATAGCGATGGGCAATCAAGTATGGGAGGTGTGTTAGCGTGCACGAGAGCATGAGCAGCGATTGTCGGATGCTACACAATCAGGTCATGAAGCAATACAGTACAAATTCGGTCCTTGCTCTGGTTCCTAACGCCCACCATCACTCACTCGCTGACTCGTACAAACGCCCACAACGTACCGTCCGGCTGGCCGGCCTCGATGCCCGCACCATCCAAGCGCGCCGCCAGCGGTTTCAGCGACCCCCAAAACGGGCTCTTGATGTGGTAGCCGTCGCGCTGTTTGGTCAGCACAAAGTGCTCCCAGCCCTTTTGCGCGGTGCCTTGGGCGGCAATGTTCCACCACAGGTCGTGGCCGAGAAAGCTGTCCTCGGCGAGGTTGCGGAACCCGATGAAGTTGTCCGACTGGGTGCAGAGCCAGGTCCAGCGCTCGGGGACGGCCTGCGTGTTGTCGTACTCGGTAATGTCGTCGAGGAGCAGGTGGCGCCCGGGATGGCAGGCCAGGACGCGAGCGTAGGTCTTGTCGACGATGAGGACGGTGTCGCCGGGCGTCGGGTCGTGTGTGTCGTTGGTTCGGACGGCCTTTGCTAATTCGAACCATGCTCTGATGGATCCATCTTCTTGGGTGGCGGGCGTCGGCGCGTCGTTGGGTGGCACGCCCGGGGTCGTGGTTGGCTCGGCGCTTGATTCGGTGCCATCAGCGGGCGTGGATAGAGGCATGACTGACAATAGTCTAGACTGAACGTGTGCCCAGGTTGATTTCGACATTTTGTAGGCAGTGGGGGGGATGGGATGGCATTGTTTAAAGTGCGGGGTAGAACGAGTCACTTCGTTTCATGTGCACAATTCAGACTCGTAGCCGAGTCATCTTCTTACTATACACTCTAGCTGCCTATTATCTATGCCTTTCATTCGACACATCACTATTTGTAAGCTTGAAGGGTCTAAAGGATGGCTCTAGGAAACAGTCTCTGGCCACAAAGTTATATAGATGCATGAGCTACCTACCTACGCGCGTGAGGCCTGTTCCGTGACAGGGCACTGCAACGTTTTCCGTTCAACCTAATTTTCCCCTGTCACAACGCTGTCAGGTGTCTGACACGGCTTATATAAAATATATGAGTTTTTTTTTAACACATAATAGCAGCCTAACAGCGTGGTGAAAGGGGAAAATTATAAATCAAGAAACCTGTCTAGTACCGATCTAATTAATATAAGGTAGGGTAATTTGTAGTACCAAGGCGATAGCTACCTACCTGGCTCTCAGGCTCTGAGGCTCTCTGTTTACTGTAGCACCACCACAGACAGCACTCAATAAAAAGCGGGTCAAGCCAGCAAGTGTCCAAAATCCGTTCAGACTTATTATAAGTTACATACAAGACATGGACCCCTTAATTAATTCTCCAACCCCCTCTCACTGTCATGCTTCCTCGTCAACAACCATGCCGTCTCTTACAGATTCTCTCACGGACGCAGTTGTCCCAGCCATTCTTGAATTTTAGCCGTGTCATGACACACTCGGCTAAGAAAACGGACGGAATGGCACTCCAACGACCACGCCAGTTTCCCACAACTGGTTTCGAAGTAGTAGGCCGAGGTCAGAAGCTCGAAGAAGAGAAACTTCCATTCTACGTCCGAGAGGAATACTACCCGATGCAAATAGGAGACGTCGTACATGTCCACTATCAGGTTGTCGCTAAACTTGGATACGGCACAAACTCAACTGTTTGGCTAGCTCGCGATCTTCGGTCCGTCCACATGAGGCAAGCTTGCCAGCAATATAGCACATGGCTGACCTTTTTAGGGACGGCAAATACTGGGCTCTTAAAGTGTATATAAATACCTTGCTGCACAACCAGGAACTTCGCGTGTACAAGCATCTTGCGAGCGCCCCGTCAAACACTCCAACTGAACTCGGCTATGATCATGTCCGTCGGAGTCACGAATCCTTTCAAATAAGTGGCCCAGCTGGCAACCATGACGTGCTTGTTATGGAGCCGTTGGGAACGAGTTTGCAAACATTCCAAAACTTGCAGAAAGAGGGTGTCTTTCCGCGCCAATTCGTTACTGGCGCGCTGATGCAAGTCCTTATAGGCCTGAACTTTCTTTTTGAGGCGGATGTACTCCATACCGGCAAGTTCATTGGTAGTTTAATCCTATTTGACTTGACTACTGACCAGCTTTTAAATAGATCTGCATGCGGACAACCTTTTGATCGCGCTCACAGACGATTCAATTCTCTCAAGGGTAGAACAGAACGAGATCGACACACCCAGTGCGCGAAAGCGAGTAGAAGACACCATTATCCATGTTTCTCAATACATTTTAGGAGCCCGAGGACCCCTGGTCATTTCAGACTTTGGGCAAGCACGCATTGGCGCTGAGCAGCACGGGAATGCTATGCCAATACCATATCGCGCCCCGGAGGTGATTCTAGGAATGCCATGGAACTCTGCAGTAGATAGGTGGAGCGTTGGATTACTGGTAAATTTCTCATTACAAATATTCCTACACATTGCCTTTACTAATTGCTTGAGTGTTTTCTAGGCTTGGGATCTTCTTGAGAAAGAGAAGCTCTTCCAAGTATACGACAGCGAGTCCCAAGAACATAACGATGCCTGCCATCTTGCAGCTATGACTGCGTTGATGGGTCCGCCACCTCCTGAATTCTTAGAAAAGAGCACTGCAACCAGGAAATACTGGGACAGCAATGGTAAGCTGTCTACTAAGCCATCATCCTACCACCGTACACCTGCTACTTCACTTATATTTTCTCTAACCACAATATTCTGCTTCAGGAAAATGGATTGGGCCGGTCCCCGTTCCCACCGAGAGAACATTCGATGCTTTAGCCACAGCTCTAGTGGGAGAGGACAGAAAACTATTTCTCAATTTCGTTGAGTGTTTTGTGTGGTGGCTTCCTGAAGTAAGATTGACAGTATTGCAAGGTTACATGCATCCGTTCTTGCAAGGGGGGACGTTGCCAGACGATGTTGATTAATGTCGCCTCTATCATTGCTGCAAGGAGTGGAAGTAAGGTAAGGATTGGTATGCACAAGGCTCTGGTTTCTGTATACGGTGGGGTCTGGTGGGTTGTATCAAGACACTTTCGAAATGATCACCTAGGAAAGGTTTAAGGTCCTTCTCGTCCTAATCTATGGGTATCAACATGATACGGTATTTTTTCGCGTAGCCCTTGGCAGGTTCTGCCGCTGGCATAGTGACAGTGTCGCTATTGATGGGATTCGGACGAATATTTGTACTCCACGCCAGGTTCGTGCCTCTGGTAGAAAATCAAAGGCACACAAGAAGGGAGATTTTATGTCCTTGGGTTCGAATTGCATAGCTGCTGCAGACGGTGGCGATTTTTAACTTGTGGCCGGCTGAGACCAGGTTTGGCAGATTCGGTATGCGCGACTGACACCCTGCATGAGACTGAGACTGGATGCCTTGTTTCTGTATGCCAAGTAATGCACATCAGCCACGTGTTGTACGGGGGAAGATCTCGAAGTCTGATGGAAGGATGGAATTTGATGTGTTATCCGTATGGCAGGTCCGCTACTAGTAGTCTATCACATCTTACTCGGATCGGTGGTTTGTAGAAGGCGACCGACGAACTGAGGAACGACAATTGGATAGGCTACCACCGGGGAGAACCGATCAAGTGCATTTTCGGAGCCGAAATAGCAACGGTACTTGATGAAAGGCTACCATGAGCGCGCAGAGCGACTGTTTGCCGTAGTATTCGCGAAGTAGTCTGTAGGGTAGGCTGTGATGGCGGACTGGAAGTGAGACGGCACCACTGCGTAGTTTTGGCGGCCTCGGGGAGCATCGCTAGGATAAGTTTGGCGTGACGACGTGTTGGCCATGGTTTCTACCTATTGTATGCTTGCCCCCTCTTGCTCGCTCTGAGTGGTGGGCAGATGAGGGCTGGTGATATGAGAGCAGCAAGATCCCCCACAGTCAATCGATAGAGTAAAGAGGGGCGACCTATCCATTTTCACCAGGAGCAGCGCCACTGCAATAAGTTACGTTATGAGCGCGCAACAAGGAAGAAATTATGGCACTTCATAATTAAAGAAAGAAAAGGTTCTCGACCCCACCAAAATAACTAGACTGCCCCTCTACCCAAAGCAAAAACTACATACACAGCCAAAATTGTCTGCGACAAGCGCCCATTTGTTCATCCAGCACAGCCCCTCCACTTTTCCGCCCATCCACGCTTTTTGCCTCTCTTTTTGCTCTTCATTTCCCTTTTCCCCCCTCCACCTCGACTACTTTTATTCACGGCCTCTTCTTTTTTCTTTCCCCTCCTCCTCACGACCAACACCGCCCACCATGCTCATCTACAAGGTACGATAAACTCCTGAACCTCCGAAAGTGCATCATCCCCCCCCACGCTCTCGCCCAACTCTGCGCATCTGCAGCGACCGACCGAACCCCGCGCCACTCAGTTGTCGAGTTTTTTTTTTTTTTTTTTCGCCGCCTTCCCCCCTCCTGCACCCCGCCAATTGTCACCAACCCCTCTCCCAAACCACCAAGCACATGGGACCCTCCCCCTGTCGCTACGATGGGCGAAAAAAAAAACAGAGCAAAGGAAAAATATTATTCGAATGAGCTTCGACTAACATGATGCGCCGATAGGACATCCTCACCGATGACGAGATCGTCGCCGACTCGTACGATGTCAAGCTCGTCGACGACATTGTCTACGAGGTTGACTGCGCCATGATTACCGAGGGCGCCATCTCTGTCAGTACGTCTATACCCCCCGAATGAAGAGAAGAAGAGCGAGAAGAACAAAAGACAACAGTGGGAATGCTGGGAGATGCTGCGAGGCACCATCAACAGCATAAGCGACAGTGCCGTCTACCCAGCGCGAATCACCCCACTAACTTCCCCTCCCAGACACTGGCGCCAACGCCTCCGCCGAAGAGGTCGAGGAGAGCGTCGAGGATGCCGACGTCAAGGTCAACAACATTGTCAACTCCTTCCGTCTCCAGTCCACCCAGTTCGACAAGAAGGGCTACCTCGTCTACCTCAAGGGCTACATGAAGGCCGTCAAGGCCAAACTGCTCGAGAATGGCGCCCCCGCCGAGGAGATTACCGCTTTTGAGAAGGGCGCCTCCGTCTACGTCAAGGAGAAGCTCCTCCCCAACTTCAAGGACTTTGAGTTCTACACTGGCGAGTCTATGAACCCCGATGGCCTGTAAGTTTATCGACCCTTGCCCCATCCAAGACGCGACTTGCTGACCCCTCGTAGCATCGTCCTCCTCAACTACCGTGAGGATGGTGTCACCCCTTACATCATTGTCTGGAAGCACGGCCTCAAGGAGATGAAGGTCTAAGGTCTGACCTTGCGAGGTCCCTTGGCTTGTTCTTCTCCTTTTCAACTGGGATAGCTTTGCCGTCGAGGATATATAAAACAGCCGACCAGAAGAAGTCGTGGCGTTGTTTTCGTCTTTTACCAAATGGCGGATGTATCACCGGATCTAGCCCTTTTTTTCTCGAATATGACAAAAATAAGGACGAATTGATGACCCAAAATGCTCATGTACTCAAAGCTATGCTATAAACGCCAAGTGACTGTGAAACGGTGAAACTGACATTCTCAACCACGATGACCAAACGGGACCGCTGCCTCCAAGCGAAAAGGTTTCTAGAGGCGAGTTGGAGCAACTAAAAGTTTGGCCGTGTCGACAAGGGAATAGGAGGCGGCGCGTCATCCTCCGCCGTTGGTGACCCCGCCAGCCCCGGCTTCTTCTTGGGCGGCGGCGGCGGCGGCGGCTTCTTCTTGGCCGCGCCCGTATCCGACTCCTGCCCCCCATTCGCTCCTCCTCCTCCCCCTCCTCCTCCCTGGACCTTTTGCGCGAACCCCCCAACCTTGTCCGCCACGCCGTACTTTTGGTTCCACGCCTGCGCCTTGCCGTACCCGGCCGCGACCTGATCCCCGTGGCGCTGCCGAAAGTTGTTGGCCGTACCGGCCGCGGCCCGGGCGTCGGCCAGCGACACCTGCGACGGGTCCTTTTGCAGCTGCGACGCCGTCTTGAGCGCTGCCTGTTTTTGCGCCCACGTCGTGCCCTGGCTGGCCGCCGGGGCCGCGGCGGGCTCTGTGGTCATCGAGGTGTTGAAGCGCGCGAAGCGGTTTTGTAGCTCGTTGAGGTGGTTGGTGTCGCTGCCGCTGCCGCCCGTGTTGCTCTTGCCGATGCCGAGACCGGGCACGGACACGCCGGCCGCGCCGAGGCGGCTCACGGCGCCTTGGTTCAGCGAACCACCGCCGTTACCGGCGCTTCCTGTTGATTGCGGGCTTGTAGAGGGAGGTGTGGCGGCCCCGCGCGGTGGTAGCCTCGGCGGCAAGCTCGGCGCGGCACCAGCCCGTCCGGGTAGCGCCGGCACGGCTCGGGTGGTGGTCGCCGCACTGTAAGGAGGCGGGCTCCTCCCGTCCGCGCCGTCTCTCCTTCCTGGCGGCGGCGGCAAGTGGTCGGTCCGCAGGCCGGTGGTGTCGGTCCGGTATGGGCGGGGTGGCGCTGGCTCGGCCTCTTCCTGCTCCTGCTCCTGCGCCGGCACGCGGGTTACGCGGGCGGGCGGCTCGACACGCGGTCCGTGGGGATCCTGGTACTTTGACGGCGCGGTGACGACCTTGCGCTTCTCGCCGCCCGACGACGACACCGCTGGGGTGGGCGCGGCGAGGCCGGTGCCGCGACGTTGTGGAGGGGGCGGCAGCGACGACGGGTCAGTCAGGGTGTGCAGCGGTCGGGAGACGTGGTCCTTGTTGCGATCATCCTTGGCGTCGCCGCGGCCGACGAGGCCTTTCTGGAAAAGGGCACAAGAGTGTCAGTCAAGGAGGGGGAGACGGGAGACAGCCGGGTGTTGAGGTTGCGTACCACTTGGTTTCTGAGTCCGGTGCCCTCCTTCTTGCCCTCCTTCTCAGGGTGCCATCCATTCTTGACTAAATCGCCGAATTTCGACATGCTGGTGGTGGTGTGGTTTTGTAAGCAGCAACTTTTGAAAGAAAAATAACAATTTGTAGGATGTAAGAGATATCGGATCAGAGGCGTTGGGTGATCGCGTGGGATAGGAGAATGCGCATGTTATGTTGTGTTGGCTGGTGAAAGGTGGAATGACGATTACGGATTACGCACTGCGGGGAGGCTTGGACTTGGACCTTGGGCAAAGGTTGCTGGGACCCCACTGGTTGAGCAACACCAACAGCTTCTAGAAACTTGCACATGCAGCTTTTTGTACTTCAAACTAAATTATAATAATCTTCTTCTCAAATTCGAGTCCAATTTTTCCATCCCTCACAACCACAATACGCTGCAAACCCGGCGCTAGACAAGCAGGGCCATCACCGGCGCATCACTACCGCTTTACACGCTCTGCAGCCCACCAACGCGTCTTGCTCAACGACGGCGCGTTCGTTCTGTCGCAAGCTTCCACCCGCACCATTGCCCTCCTTCAACACCTGAACAAAACGGCCGTGGCCATGTCGGCGCCAGACAATGCCGAGTACGAGCTGCTCACCGAGCACTTTAGCTACCCTCCCGTCGTACGCCTCTCCCCCCCTTCCAGCTGCAGCAGCCTCTCCCCCAACTCGGCACTAACCGCCACATAACCCCCTCCAGTCTCTCCTCGACGACATCATCAATGCCGTCAACGTTCTCGCCGACCGCGCCGTCGGCGCCGTCGAGACAGCCCTCACCGGCCTCAACCCGCACAGCATCGGCTTCGGGCCCTCCAAGAAGCGCGGCGCCCCCGGCACGGCGCCGCCCGCCGACACCAACGGCGGCAGCAGCGCCGACCCCGCCGCGGCCGCCAAGCGCGAGATTGAGCAGGGCACGCACCAGCTCGAGACGCTGCTCAATGCCTCCATCGACAAGAACTTTGACATCTTCGAGCTCTACGTCATGCGCAACATCCTCACCGTCAAGCCCGACGACCAGCCGTACATGACGCTCGCGCACTACCGCGGCCTCGATTTCGCCCCGTCCACCGCCGACGCCCCCGCGAGTCTCGAGTCCGTCACGCAGCTGCGCCGCAGGCTGCACGCCAGCCAGGCGCTGCAGGTCGCGCTCGAGACGGAGCGCGTGCGCAACGAGGCGCTCCTGCAGACGCTGCGCGCTGCCGTCGGCGTCAAGAGCACCACCACCACCACGGCCGTCAAGACGGAAGACGGGGCGGCGGCGGCGCCGCAGCAGCAGCAGACGAATGTGCTTGGATTCCTGCATGATCGCGGCACGCTCGAAGAGGGCGGCACGGAGCGGCCCATTGCCACGACGACCGAGTTTACCCTCGCGCAGCTGGACACGCTGCGGTCCCTGTCGTCGACGCTGCGGGCCCTGCTGCCGGACATGGCTGCCGAGGAGGAGGAGGAGGAGCAGGAGCACAAGGAGAAGAGCTGGCGCCGGGAACGCGCCGAGTATGTGGAGAGCGCGTCGCGGCAGTACCTGGAGACGGTGGCCGGCGTGGAGCTTGGACCCGCGGGCGAGGTGCGCGACGGCGAGTGGCAGGGCCCGGGGAGGGGCATGGCGCGTGAGGAGCTGGATGGGTTAGAGACGGTGGTGGCGGTCCTGGGCGCGCAGCAGCCGCCCGAGGACGACGAGCCGGCTGCGGCGGGAGACGACGAAGACGAGAGCATGGTGCAGTCGTGAGTGTCGCGGGCAGCCAACTTCACATTTGTATAGTCATTTGTATAGTCATTTGTATAGTCATTTGTATAGTAAACTTGTATTTGGGGCAAAAGCGGGATATTGGCGTCTATCACTATGGGAACGGCACACGGTTATTTGCGTTGAATATACAACGAATGCTACACCTCGCAATGGGAAAACATCACGGACGGGAGAGCTAGACGCTGGTAAATGTACATGGTATTGAGTATGCTAATCTACTATCAGATCTGTCCGCATGGCGTAGAAACAACGCGGAGGATAGGCTATATATGAGCCAAAATAGTGTACAAATTATACAGGTGACAACAGCACCACTCAGTAGTGCTCAATCAGCTTATGCAGCCCGCCCGGCATGTTGGCCTCGTCTAGGAGCTTATTCTCCTTGGCAATGTACCAAAAATGATGCTTCCAGAAGCGCGCGTCATCCACGTCTCCATGGGGGCCCCTCTGTGCCTGCGCCACCATCTTATCATGCAGCACCGCGTCGACGACGCGGCGCGCATTTGCACCGTCGCCCTCGGCCACGAGCGCGCGCAGCAGCTCATTGAGGCACGGCAGCGACGTGACGGGGCGGCCGGCGGCCGCCAGCTCGTCAAAGCGCGCGAGCGCCACGTACGGTTGGCCCGTGATGGCGGCGGCGCGAATCACGCGTTCCCAGAGCGTCTGGTCGCCACGATCCGTATCGGTCATCTGGTACTTGCGTAGCAGCGCCTCGATCGGCGCAAACGAGTGCGGGTTAAGCTGGAGAGAGCGCTCAATGAGAATCGTCACCATGTACGGGTTGATGCGGACTTTCTGGTGGCGCAGGTGCGCGAGTACTGCCTCGACGGCGGCGTCTGAGGCGTGGGCTAGCGAGGCAACGGCGTGCAGGGCCTTGGCGTAGAGCTCCGAGGTCAAGGTGAATTTGGATCGCGCCAGGTCGGCAAATACTTGGTGGACGGCCTCGACCTGCGCCTCAGGCGAGTCCTGGCCGGTTAGCGCCAGCATCTCTTCAATCAGGATGACAAAGGTCGCCTGGTTCGGCTCCACGCCGTTCTTCTCCATCAGATCCATGATCCAGGCGACGTCGTCCGGCCCCGTCGCAAAGGCGCGGCGGAGGATGATGTTGTGGGTGCTAATGTCGGGTTTGATGCCGTTATTGTGCGCCCAGCTGAGAAGCACCTTGGCCGCCGGCGGGTCAATCTCCAGGATACCTTTGATGCAGGCATTCACCATTTCGATGCTTGGCTGCACCGCACCACTTTCTGCGACGCTGTCGCTTTCAACCGCGTCATCCCAGTCTTTTTGCAGCTTTGCGAGCGCAGTCATGCATATGCCAACCTTCCCTTTGAGAATGTACGCTGCGAGGCGCTCCGTCCAAATCGGTACGTCGAGGCGCACGTTTGCGCGTTCGAGTTGATCCCACAACGCATCAATCTTTCTTGTATCTTTACAGAGCCGCCACCCGTGCATCATGCTCGTATATGTCTTGAGAGTGAGGGGAATCTGCAGCTTGGCCATCGTCTCCACGGCCGTCTTGTACTCGTAGTCTAGTCGCAGTGCGCAGGCGACAAAGATGACAAAGTCCATCAATTCAGGCCTGGCTTGTACAGCAGAGCGCAGGCTCGGGTTTTCGGCTTGTTTTTGGTATAGCTCGGCCCAGACGGTCCGTACTCCCGGCTTATTGCGTTCTTCATATGCCTTGCGCAGTCGCCTGTGGATTTGTACCAGGCTGACTTTTGACTCAGATGTAGCACCGCCTTTACGCCATGGCATTTTTTCGGTATTTAGGAATTGAACGAGCGTGGGCCATTGGTTTGTGATATATGCCTGAAGTTCATGGGACTTCTCTGTTGGAAAGGGGACGGCATGATGGATAACCCGATGGGGAAATTGTTGCAGCATTGATTCGGCGCTTCGGCTGTACTCGCAGATAAAAATTCTTGCCAGCTCCAATAATGGTGCGAAATCTCTTTGTACATGCTCCGTGACATACCGCGGGTCGGAGCAAAAGCACAACGTCGCTAGAAGACCGTCCATCAGTTCTCTCGCCCGGCCATTTTCAAAGTGAGGGAACAGAGCGTCCAGAAAAGCTTCCGGAGTAACGCTACCGTCGTCGAGCACCCCGGTACTCGATTTTGGCGCACTCCTAAGGCCAACTACAAATTCAACCTTGTCCGGCAGTGCCAGCCGCAGAGGCCGATCCTTCTCAGGGAGGCGCAACATTTGCGACACGTGCATCCAGAGCTCCAATAAACTCTGGGCTAGAAATGTGCGATGAGAGCTGGAGTTTTTGTGGGTGGCGAAGACGTGGCATATCTTTAGAGCCATGATGTTGGGGATGTGCGGATTTGTGATGCCCACACGAGTTGCGAGCTGGGCAAGCTCGAGGCAGGACAAGGCTCGTCCATGTTGAATCTCGTCTCTGCAAGCGCCGTAAATGAAATCTTTCAGGAGTTGCGATACGGGTGCCGGAAAATTGGTGCCGTACGTGCGCAAATGGGGCCAGAGGGACTCCTCGAACGTCTTGAGCCGTTGCTTGACGGTCTCGTTTTTCCGTGCCACCAGGGTGCTCAACATGAAGGTTATATCAATTTCGGAGACCGCGTTCGTTCCGGCCAGGTTGTCGTTGGGCAGGATGGCGACCGGCTTGCCTGTCCATTCGGTATTTTTGGCATTGACAATCTGATTAAACATGTCAAAAGCTGATACATCTGACTGGGGCGGCACGCGCGCGCCACTGTGTTTGGGCCTCTGCTTCCCATCTCGATGATGCGGCGTCCGCCGCCCCTTAGCAGCAGGCTGTGAGACTCGCTGAGATTGGTCATTGCGTGTGGTATCGGCGAGGGAGGAGAAAGTCAATTTGGCGATCGGCTGGCGAGCGTGGGTGCGAAGCTGTGAGGTGCATCTCCAGCACACAGCGCGTGACGAGAGCATGGCGTCGATGCTCAGACAAGTGTCGAGCCTCTATGAGCCGCTGCTCGGGTCGTCCGTCGGCCGAAGAAGGATCCGCGCGCCAGTCGAGGTGCGCAAGAAGGTCGGTTGCTGTCCAGACAGGCTCTGATGAATTTGGAGTTGAGATTCCGATGTGGATCCCTCCAGCATTTTGGTGGAACCCACTACCAGTTGCCTGTCAGCTTGTCATTTTCGCCAAGATCAGCAGAGCTTTATTATTATAGTGATATTTATTTCATAGTTATTAATAGACTTTGTTCTTTCAACTGCACCGATATCCCAACAGATAACTACATTGCGGAATCCGCCGTTTCTACAGCGTGCCCACTCTAAAGCGAAGCCGAGAACTTGCCGTCCAACTCTTCCACCTTGGCAACACTCTTCTTGTAGCCCGGGCTGTTCTCTAGAGTCTGGACATACTCGGCAACACGTGGGTATGCCTGCTCCCAGTCCGGCACGACATCCTTGAAGCGAGCCTTGCCCGCGACGAGAGGGAAACTCATCAGGATATCAGCGGCGGTCAGCTGGTCGTTGCAGAGGAACTTGCCGCCCGAAGTGGAAAGCTGATCATTGAGCATGCCGAGATTCTTCTTGATGTTGGGGGCGATGAACAAGGAGATGATCCTGTTGGCTACCATGGAGGTGATGGGTCGAACGAAGAAAGGGATGTCGTTGCCCTTGAGGCCTGCGCATTGGTTAGAACAACACGATTCAAGTCAAGGGTCAAGGGAAGGGGCACATACGGCCAATGACAAGCGCCATGACCAGGTAGGGCATCAAGGTGCCCTCGGCATAGTGCAGGTAATACTGGTGGCGAAGGTAGGCCTCTGTCTCGCCGCCAATGGTGTTTTCCTTGCCCTCCCGCCAGCGCTTGGGAACGAGGCGCTCGCCCTCTGGGTAGTGTGTGCAGAGGTATTCCGTCATCCACCCGCTCTCGGCGAGGACAATGGGCTTGGCATCGGCGCCGGGAGGTGTAATGGCGATGACAGGTGACTTGCCGAGAGGGTGCACCTTTTCGAGCTCTGGAGGCGCCAGGAACGTCTGCTTGTTACGGTGGAAGATTTCCACCTCGTAGTTGACCTTGAGCTCCTCGAGGAGCCAGAGGATGCGCTGGGAGCGCGACTGGTCGAGCCTGCGGGCGGAATATCGCGGTTAGCTCCCGATTCTGGATGTGGTGTCTTCCTTTGCCTGTTTTGGCCCGTGGCCGCAGGCGAACAGAGGAGGAGCTTGTCGCATCGGATGAGAAACGAAGCTGGTCTTCTTGCTCGCTGTTGCAAGGGCTAAGCAACCAGGGATGGAACTGACCAGTAGAGCTTGACCTTGGCCTCTTCCGTAGACATTTTCAAATAGGTTTAGAATATGTGTAGTTGAAGAATAAGAAACCCTACAGACGGATAAAAGCTAATGTAGGACAGAAAACACGGTACTCATCCATTTGCTGGGGCTCGATCTGTTGACAATCCGCAGAAAGGGCCGAGGTTCCACGGAGGGCGATTTGCTAGCGCGTCCCAGTGCAAGTGCATTTCGTCACGATTGGTCGTACTCCTTTTCGGAGCCATTCATTCCGGATAGCGGCGTCCGGGGTCGGTGTCGATATTGGTATCCAAATTGAGAGCAGAATCTGCCAGATGACGTGGGGAAATGACGACGGCACGCAACATGCAAAGCTGAAGCTTTCACATGCTTGCTTGGGCTGGCAGCTCCGCTTTGGCAGTTGGTTGGTTGCTGGTACAAACGGAAGCTCAAAATCTTCCTTCAGTCACTACCTGCCTATGAAATCTAAAAGGAAGATGAAGAACAAGAAATAAAATCAAAGTCATCACCATCAGGGCTTGCCAATTCACAAACTCATCTCCGACTAGCATCCAATCCATTCGCAATCAATCGTGTCGAACTGTCCAGCAACTCTAACATCAGCCACCTGCAGCCGTCTCCTTCCAAAGAAAGATCCCAAGTCACAGAGATGCATTATCACAAACATTGATCAATGATCGATAAGACTCCTATCACAAGAGCCACAGAGTACGGGTACAAATTATCCGCCTCCATCACCGCCACCGCCGCCGCCGCCGCCGCCATCTCCTCCTCCGCCGCCGCCATCACCACCACCACCTCCTCCATCACCACCGCCATCGCCATCACCACCATCGCCGTCAAAACTCCAGCCTCCTCCGTCACCACCCCCTCCACCGCTTCCTCCTCCCCCACCGTGCGCGTCATTCTCGCGACGGCGCGGATCGTTATACCTGCGACGGCGCGGATCGCGCACGTTTCGTCGCCGACGCCTTGTCAATACATGCCGCTGGTCCCAGACGGGGCACCGCACAAGCGCCGTGGCTCCCAGCGCGAACACAATGCCGCCGGCCACCACGCTAATCGCAATAGAAAAGGCCAGCGGGTTGATGCCAGGGTACGGCATCGTGTGCGTGCCCCGCGGGACGGCCAGCAGAATCATGGGCGCGACGCGGAGTGCCGCAGTCAGCAGCAGCGCGATGCAGTGCACGCCCTTGCTGCATTGGAAGCCGACGACAATGGAGAGCACCATGTGCAGCAGCCACGCCACGGCCATGACGATGCCAAAGACGGCTTTGTATTTAAAGGGACCGTAGCCGCTCGCGGTAAAGACGGCGGCGACGATCAACGATGCCGTCAGGGCCAGGAAACTGAGGAAAAAGACGACGGAAGCCGCCCGCCAGGCAGATCTCGGCAGGCAGCTGGTCAGCATCATGCACAGCCCCGTCACAGCACTGGGCAGGAGGCCGATGATCCAAAACTGGATGAGCAGGTTCCCATTTTGATCGAATGCCGTGGAGCCGACGTAGATGAGCACGGCCTGGATCACGAGCGGTGTCATCTCGGTCAATACGGCGCCAATGTAGCCCGCCGCGCTCAGTCGAGGGAGATACTCGGAGCTCGTGCCCGGCCCAAAGTAGTATCGCACGGCCCATAACTTGTGATTGTATTCGAAGCGCCGGATGAGTTGGACCACGAAGCCGGGTTGCAGAGAGCGCAGGCAGCTCCACATGACACTGCGGGCAAAGTTTCCCAATCCCGAAGATGTTTGCTTCCGCACCGCCGGCCGCGCCTCGTCGCTTTCATACCCAAGGCCGTATCCGGGGGCATATCCGGGGGGTATATCCGGGGTCGTATCCGGGGGCATATCCCGGCTCTGGCGTAAACGTGTTCCTCCGGCCCGGCGCAAACAAACTGGGCACTTCCGACACCCACCAGATGCAGCACAGCAGCGCAATCGTAGCGGACAGCGCAAACCAGTGGATCCCGCTCACGGTGTAAGTCGGCGACGGGTCTTCCGTCATTGCATCTTGCTGTTGCTCGCAACCTCGCACGTCTGTGAAACTGCACGACTAATAAAATGAAAGAAGAATAAACAAGTGCGTTTTTTTTTTAATTATGTGGCTGCTAAACAACTTTTTTTTTATTACACACATACCTAGCCGTCAATGCCACGCTAAAGAGTCTTGTGAGACGGTCCCAGCGTCGCAATGCTTCAGCTCGCTTAACCAGACCTATCAGAGATGCGAGAGGCGTCGCAAAATCAGCCTTGCACGTGTCTCATGCGCCTAACCACTTTTATTTCAACTTCCCTCACCGAGTTCTTGGAGTCTTGGCTTTGGAAGCCTCCCTCGACCCTGAATTACAAAAATAGGTTAGCCTGTGGTGCTGCTGCGGCTTGCCTGAGGAGAGGGGAATGCTGGCACCAGGGTAACAAAATAAACCAGTGGTCGGACCAGTGATGGTCTTATCTTCCTCATTCTCGTCATATTCTTCTTGCTCGTACTTCCCCTTTTCTCACTATTCGCTTCCTGTTGCTCCAATTGTGTAGTTTGCTGTATTTGTCCCGCTAATCTGTACCAACTTCCATTTATACAATCTGGGCATATGCATCCAACGCATCGTGCAGACGCCCAAACGTACCGCCGTGCCATGCCTTAAGCTGCGCCCACTCCGGCGCCGGCATGGCGACGCAAAACATGCGCAGCCACGCGCCGATGATGAAGTCGGCATAGCTCACCCTCGCCCCCAATATAAACGGCCCGTCGGCCTTTTCCCTGTACAGCTTGTCCAGCCCACCCAGCGCCTCTTCAAAGCCGTCGAGCATCGCCCGGCGCGCCGCCCCCTCGAGCGTAAACTCCTGTCCGGGCTGCGCGCCGACGCGCCGGGCAAACTCGGCCTTGACCTCATCCGCCGTCGCCGGGTCCAGCGGCATGCCGCCCGCCGCGAGGCCCACAAACGTAGTAAAGAGCGTGTCGACGGCGAGGTTGAAGCGGCCGTACTGCGGGTGGCGCGCGTCCTTGGGCAGCGTGAGCAGCGTGGGGAAGTCCACCGTTGGGGTAAACGCAAAGTCGAGCGGCTGCTCGGGGAACAAGCCGCCGCCGCTGCCGCCCGCGGCCGGGTACTGCGCCTCGAGGTACGCCGCAATGTCAAAGGAGTCGCCGACGACGGCGCCGGTCGCGGGGTCCTGCACCACGGGCAGCGTGTAAAAGTCGGCGCCGTCGGCGAAGCGCCGGCACGCCGGCGCGCCGAGCGACCGCCGCACCCGGGCAATGTCGAGCATCCCGACCCACGTGGTGGCATACGGCAGCTGCTTGAAATTGAGCGCGAACCGGGCCTTCCACGGGTTGGGCGCGCAGCAGGACGCCTCGACTGGCGGCTTCTGCGCAATGTCGTAGAGCGTGATGCGCGACGGGACGCTCTCAGTTGCGGACATGGTGAGAATGGAGATTGTGTGTGTAAACTTGTACTGGCTCTTGGTCTCGTGTCTGTTTTGTTTACACAGTCTTGAGTATGAGGTCAGACTAAATTATTATTAAGGGGGCCGTGGGTTAGGCTCTGATGGGCATTGCCCTAAACTTTACTTTTGTGGTCGGCGATGTAACGTCCCTCAATAATTAGCTACATAGTTAGTTAGTCAACGGTGTACTGCTCTTTATTCAATATTGCTCTCGAAAACACTCATGTTGTCAAGACATAAGGGGCCAAGTGCTTGCAAAAGTCATAAGAATCAGGTAGCTGTATGTTTCTACTATATTTTTCTTATAATTTTCTTTTCTGATCATTACATAACAAAGCGGAATAAGAAAAAACTGTGCGGGTAAAACAACGTGCCAACAAAGAACAAGAGGCTTTCTGAACCTCTTCTTCCACCTCCAAAATCGTGTTGTCCACTGGTCCCATCCCATGCGTAACAGACATGAAAACAAACTTGATGACCATGGCTTTTTTCTCCCATGTAAAAGAAAAAAAAACCGCACAAAGAAGACGCCCAAGCCTGCGAGAGAGATGCTTTCTTTCCTTTTCTTTTCAGATCCTTTTAAACCCATATGCAACGTGTGTGTGATTCATAGCCCTGTCTACATCTAGTCTCCCGCTTAACCGCGGACAGCAGCTCCGAGAGCGCCACCGGTAAACTGCGTACCACCAGCCTGGCGCTGGGGGTTGCCGCCGATGCGGGGACCACCGCGGCCGCCACCGCGACCGCCTCTTTGGCCACCGCGCCCACGGCCGCCCTGGCGCTCAAAGGCGTTAGACGTGCCCTGTGTGCGGTGCTCGAGCGTGCGCTCGTTGGTCTCGATGAGGCTGCTGGCCTTGTCGGAGAGGGTAAGGGCCAGGGACTGCAGGCGGCTGAGCTCGACACCCTTGCGGAAAATGACGGTAGAGGTGACTTGGTCGAGAGAGGCAGCCAGCTCCTCGTGCGCAATCATCTTGCTGACAACGGCAGTAACCTTGGCGTCGTCGAGCTCAAACATTTGCGACAGCGTCTCGCTGGCCAGTGTGTCGTAAAAGGGAGCATATGTGAAGAGATAGGTGCGCAAGCCCTCCTCCTGGATCTGCTTGGACAGCATGGTCTTGATGTCCTCGGCATCGGGCATCAGTTCCCAAATCTTAATGCTATGGATAAAGGTAATAGCCTTCTTCCACTCGCCAGCGGCAAGGGCCTTGGACGCCTGCATGACATGGTCACGAGTGTTCTCAGGGGGGCCGGTGAAGATTTGACGCTCGTGATACTCGAGCATGCGGCGGTAGGTCTTGCTGATGATGCGCTTCCTGACATCGGGGGAGGAGCCAGTCTGGGCCAGCAGAGGAATCTCCAGAAGCATGCTGCAGGTGAGGTAGACGCACTCAAGCAGCTCCAGGTTAATGTGCATGTGGAAAGGGAGCTGGCGCTGCTTCTCTAGGCGCTCCTGCTCGGGAGAGACCTGGCTGTATCGCTGGATCATGACACCCTGAGCGAGCAGCTCCTTCTGTCGGCCACTGCCGCAAATCTCCTGAAGTGTGTTCTGCGCATCATAGACGAGACCCTTGCGGAAAGCGCAGAGGCCAACCTGCACAAGCGTGCGGTTGTAGAGAATCTGGCTGAGGACATCAAAGTTGGGGATGTTCTCTTGAAGATGGGACATGAGCATCATGTCACGAGCCTTGTAGTACTCATTGTGCAGAGCAAGGAAGTAGACCTGGCACAGCATGGCACGGGCACGGATAATGCCGTCGGCGTTGCTGAAGAGGTAGTTGCAGAGCACGTTGACCAGGTTGCTGGCATCCTGGGATTGGCTGCGGGAAGTGATGACAGACTCGACGTCGGAGCCAGCGGCCTCCCAGCAGTTCTCCTCGAAGGTCTTGATGACGGCAGCGGGTTTGAAGTAGACGTGCTCCAGTCTGCGCATGACGATGCGGTTGACGCTGTCCTGGGGGGTGTCGAGGGTGGTATCCTTGCGGAGGTATTCGTAGTAGAGCATGCCGCGGAAGATGATGTTGTAGAGGGAGCTCTCATCCTGGAGGCGCTCAATGTATTCGGGAGTGTGGGGGTCAATGCTCTGGAGAGAGCGGGTAAGCTCATCATCCAGTCTCTCGACGTAGGAGACAATGCTGCCGGGAACCTTGATGTACTTCTCACCATCGGCCCGCGTGGGAGGCTTCTCGTCATCATCCCACTCCTCAGCGTGCTCAACAACAATATATTCCTTCTCCGTGCTCAGAAGCTGGAGAAGGGCGGAAAGCTCCTTCTCAGCAGCCTTCCAGTGGTCGAGAGGCATGGCCGTAGCAGTACCGGAGCCGAGATCGAAGCGAGCCGAGACAAGGGCCAGGAGAGTGCGGAGCTTCTGGTAAGGAGTGTTGGCAATCTCCAGAAGCTTCTCCATGACGGTGATTTGCTCGGCCTTGTCGGTGTTCTTCTTACCGCGCGATTCCATGATGCCGCGGAGGTGCTTGAAGATGCTCTCGGGAGTGTACTGAAGGGTGCGGCCGCCCTTACCGACGGTGGCAAAGCCCTCGTCGTCAATCTCCTCAGGCGCAGCATCGACGGCCAGGACAGACTTGGACTTCTTGGCTGCCTTGGGGGCCTCGACTTCCTCCTCCTCGGACTCCATGAAGGCGTCCTTGTCCTCACGGAACGAGTCAATCTGGCTCTGGTATTCCTTGTTGGTCTTCTTGATCTTTTGCTTCACGGCGTTGAGAGCGCGAGCTTGTGTGGCGTTCATTTTCTTGGGCGTAACCTTCTGCTTGGCAAGAGACTCGTTCATGAAGTCTTCGAGCTCGGCGAGGATGCGAATATAAGACTTGGGGGTCTTGCTGGCGACGGGCACCTTGGCGATTTGACGGGTGAGTTTGTCGAACTCTGACAATATGTAGTTAGCATAACTGTATTCCTCTCCGGTGTCTTGCACTCGGAAAAGTCGCAGTAGGATCGGTCTCACCGTTGGAAATGAGCGTCCAGTCGCCATTCTTCTCGCCGTTCTCAATCTGCTTGATGGAGCCCTCGAGTTCGTCGGAGAACTTGGTCTTTGCACTCCTGACCTTGGCGCGGGCCTCATCATCGCTGTCTTCGCTGTCCGAGTCGGCGTCCTTTAAGAATCTGTTTTTCCCCTGGGCCTCGTCATCGCTGCTGCTATCGTCATCGCTGTCGGTAGGGAAGTCCGAGTCGTCCTCCTGGTCGGAGCCATCCTTCTGCAACTCTTGCTGCTCGTTATCCGAGTAGAGCTCCTCCTCGTCGCTGGAGCTGTCGCTGGAGCTGTCGTCGCCTCCACGGCGGAAGAATCGAGACATGTTGGGCGAGATGGGCTGAACGGTTCGGTTGGGTGTCAGTCCTCGGAGGAATCTCGAGTTATTTTCACGAATTTGTTCAAGTCGCCCTGACGCGCGGGGTGAAAATTGATGATTTTTGGTGGGCAGGTGGGGCGCGCACTTTGGGGCTTAGCGACACGCTTTCAGAGGCCAGCAAGCAGCAGTTGATGGAAGAGTCACACAAAACTTGGCTAGGCGGACCCTGATTGATTACCTCAGCGCCTCTCCCAAACGTTTTTTCTGCCCTTGCCACGCAGGAAACAGGAGTGGTCGATGTATTATTCCCTTGAGAAAAGCACGCTTAATGGGTAGGTATGATGAAGAAGATAAAAGAGTGAGAAATAGTCGTATATCAATGACTTTAGTCGCCGGTATTTTGAAAATACATAATTTCTTGTCTTGACACAGTTGCCACCGCCCCTACAGCCCTGCAAAAACGAAATTGCCCACCCTTGCACTCTCCGTTTTAGTGGTCTGAGCCGCTGTAAGCCACTGCCCTCCGAAAAGTCCCAGCACGACATACCCGCCAGCCAATGCTAGCCTCTCTATATCGGCTTTGCCCCAAAACTTGGTATTAATAACCCTCGTCCCGTCTACATCCCGCGACCACCTGTCCGCCACAACACAGCAATAATGGCGCCTTTACGATGTACTCATAGCTTCTGCTCGGCGCGGGCGTTTGTCCAGCTCGCCAAGCGGCGTTATACCGCCGCGGCCGCACCCACGACTGCAACCACCAGCTGCCTCGAGTTCCTCGCGCCGCGGACCATGGCCTCACCACCTCGGATGACAACCAGCGCAGCTCGGCCTCTCGCGAGACGAAGTGCCGCCGCCCCGGTGACGATATCCAGACGAGAATTCTCCGCCTCGGCGGCTCGGAGTGCGACGACGTGCGTGCAGAACCCGGTCAAGGACGAGGATGGCCACGACATGAGCCTGGAGATTACAGCCCGCGCGGCCAAGGTACGTCGCCGAGATGGCAAACCCACAGCTGCGCAGAATGTCCCCTGCGCGCAGCAGCTGATGCTACACAACGGTGTGCTAACTGAACCGCAGCGCCTTTCGGAAATCATGGTCAAGGACGGAAACCCCAACCTCGCGCTGCGCATCCAAGTCGAGAGCGGCGGCTGCCACGGCTTCCAATATTTGATGAGCCTCATCACGATACCCCAAAAGGACGCCGCCGACTTTGCCACCACCGTCGGCGAAGAGGACTCCATCTTTCAATACGTCGGCGAGGACCCGGCCGTCGGGGCCAAGTACGACGGCGCCCGCATCATACTCGACGAGCCCTCGCTGGACCTCCTCAAGGGCAGCAAGGTGGACTTTACGATGGAACTGATCGGCTCGCAGTTTAAGATTGTGGACAATCCGCTGGCGACGAGTAGCTGCGGCTGCGGAACGAGCTTTGACATAAAAATGTAGGGGCTCATCCTGCATGAGCTTTTGACGAAACAACCACCGCTCTACTGTAATCATGACACACAAATACTGTATACACATAAATAATACTACGCTGTCCGCCTTGGACATGTTCATACGCTGCATATAGACCAAGTACTCCATCGTTGAACAAAACGTCATTGATTATGAGACACTCACGTGGAAACATCACGTCACGAGGATCATCACAGTACGCAGGGAAGCTGGTGTGCCATTCATAAGGGGAAATGTATTCCTCGAAACAAAAGCCCAAGTCGTGCTAGCAAACGCCGAACCATCCATGCCATTTAAGTAGGCCTAAAGTCACTACCATTTTTTCCCCACCCAATCCTTTTACACATTTTTTATGCATTAGAATGCCAGTTTAGTTCATCTGGCGGATAAGGCCGTTGATGGCGTCCTCGCGGTTGCCGAGGTCACCGCCCTCAATGTAGTGCTTGAACTTGCGGGCGCGGAAACCACCGGTGGGGTTGGACAGCTTGAAGGGCCACAGGAAGTTGGAGACCTGCTTGAAGTTGGGGCCGACCGAGTAGATCTCGTGGACGAGATCCTCGATGCAGACGATGCCGTACTTGCCGAGGTTCTCCTCAATGATGGCGTTGTCGGTCAGGGCAATGCGCTGCTTGTTGATCTTTCCGTATCCGCGCTTGTAGATGAGCTCCTTGATGGACTTCAGGTTGGGGTAACCGTAGGCGATCCAAGGCTCAACAATCTTGAGCATCTCAGTGATGGCCTTGGTGACCTTGATGAAGACACCGTTGTTGATCTGGAGCAGACGGAGAAGCTGGAGGATCTTGCGGGGCTTGGGGGCGATCTTGTTGATACCCTTGATGCGCACGACGAAGATGAGCTTAGCCTCGGCGGGGACGTAGGCGGAGTCATCGCTCTTGGCGGCACGGTGAAGACGGATCTTCTCGCGCTCGGCATCGCGGTACTCCTTGACGTACTTCTCAGCACGCTTGAAGATGACGCCACGCTTCTCCTTGTTGGACTGTTGAAATGCATTGTTAGCATGATGGCTCAACCTGAATTGGCAGGAACAAATGAGTGGCCAGGCGATTGTATCAGACCCGAAAGAAGGTTAACGTTCAACAGCATCGACAGATGTCTAGTTGACGAATATGGTATGCATCACATAAAAGATTGCCACAATTGTGAAGGGAAGAGAAGGGGATAAAGACTTACGGCCTTCTTCTGACCGATGGCGGTGGTGCGCTCAGCGCGAGCCTTCTCCTGGCTCTTGCGCTTCTTGAGCAGGGTCTCAGGGACCATAACGTGGTCGTTGGTAGGAACGGTACTGTGAGGCAGATGAGATTAGTACGTAGTCCGGCACGACCCCCGTGCGAAGGGCGTGGAACATAGAGCGCCGGTGCGAGAACTGCAGCTTGAGCGCGACATTCTGGCTTTGGCTAACTCGAAACTGTATTTAATCGGTGAAAGGACAAGTCAAAGGCAAAGTGCCTTGAGCTTGTGTAAAAGTTTTCATCCGACAAGACCTCAGACAATTGTCCGAGAGTACGAAGCTGCGACGGGACAAGCTGACTCCGGGAGAAACCTTTCGGCAGTTCTTCATTGGAGCCAATCCCGTCACAGCAATGCTTTTGAGAGGGAAGCGTGTTCGATGAACAGTAGTCTTCTCCTCCAACGCCCCAGACAGCATCTCTCAGATCCGCAGAGCCATTGATTCCAGGCCTGAAGAAACGAGGGGAATACCGCCACGGGATAAGGTAAAATCGAGCTGGCAAAAGCCTCAATCGAGTGCAGAAAGGTGTTCCATCCCCTTGCGGTTCAGAAAAGCTTCCTGGCTCGAATTGAGCTCATTTGCCCAGCGAAAAGAGGACCACGACAAAATCTGCAACATCTCGACTGCGAACCGGGTCGATGGAATTCATCGAACTCGCTCTCATCCATTCATTGTTTCGCAACGAGGTTCAACAAAGGGGGTTAAGACATACGTGGAACCCATTTCGACGGTTGGCTGTGGTGGTCGGTTAGTGATGAACAAGAAGAAGAGAAGAAGGTGGGTGGGCAGATTGGAGGTGATTTTCTTGTCCGTAGAGGGTACCCCTGGGCGCACACAAGCGAAGAGAGAAAAAAGGCCCCACACAAATTTTCCACACCGCAAAAACAGTCTTTTTGTGGGGTAACGACTATTTCTTTCGCGTAGGGTCAGGGCTTCGCACACACACTCTGATTTCCACTGTTCTGCCACACCCCACCGCTCCTGGCGTGCCCACTCGCGAGCTGGGTTGGCGCCGCCGCCAAACCACCAAAGAGCGCTGCTTCTGGTGCTTGTTTCGATTTTGGAGATTTCTTCATTCTCAACCCGCCCAACCAGGAAACTCAGCAACCATGGCCCCCCAGAAGAAAGTCGCCCGCGCTCCCCAGGAGAACATCTCCCTCGGTCCTTCCGTCCGCGATGGTACGAAATTCCTTCTTTTTCCTCGACATTGATTTCTGTCGAAACCGTTCGCGCAGTTCCCCCGCTAACATTGACTCTTTTTTTTTTCTTTGCACAGGCGAGCTCGTCTTTGGCGTTGCCCGCATCTTCGCCTCCTTCAACGATACGTTCGTCCACATCACTGATCTCAGGTTCGTCCGATTTTTCTACGCACAACGTCGCCTTCATGGACTCGGACGACTAACATTGGCGGGGTTGCAGTGGTCGCGAAACCATCACCCGTGTCACCGGCGGAATGAAGGTCAAGGCCGACCGTGACGAGTCCTCCCCCTACGCCGCCATGTTGGCCGCCCAGGACGTCGCCGCCCGCTGCAAGGAGCTCGGCATCAACGCCCTGCACATCAAGATCCGCGCCACCGGCGGCAACGCCACCAAGACCCCCGGTCCCGGCGCCCAGTCGGCCCTCCGCGCCCTCGCCCGCGCCGGCATGAAGATTGGCCGCATCGAGGACGTCACCCCGACTCCCTCTGACTCTACCCGCAGAAAGGGTGGTCGCCGTGGTCGTCGTCTCTAGACGCAAAACAAACCCTCCACGAATTTTGCTCCCAGAAGAAGAGTTACGATTGCGAAGAAACAAATGTTTTTCTACGTCTCTTTATTTCAAAAAGCAAAGGGGTTTGGTCTATTGGCTGGCGACTTTTGGTGCAGAAGTCACTTGGTCTAACTGGTTTCCATCTGGCGTTGAGAAAACGAGGAGAACGGCACTTATCGCCTGGTCTCCAACCTACCTTGTTGCGCTGCTTGCCTCGTTTAGGGGGGCAGTGCTTCAGTAGATAGTTACAAATTTCGCCCGAAGAAGGCCCATGACAAAGTCACTTCTGCTTTAAAACCAATGTCCCGTGAATGTGAGGTCCCTCGGTGCTAACTGCAATGCGTGTGTGTTTCAACGATGATTCTGTTAAAGCAAAGTTCCAGTTCATATGGTATAAATGCCTAATGCGCCGAGCTGATTAATCTCATCCCAGTCACGCTATTCTATTAAATGTCATATGGATAACTTATTTAATTCCAGGCTTCAAAGACCACATGCCACGGCCAGCACCACCTGTTTTGCTCAGCATTGCTATCGTGTCCAGCGCCGTCTTAAACTCATCGCTCTGTTTCTTCCCTGGACAGTACTGATTGAAATGATCCACGAGCATCTTGCTGGGCACCTTTCCATTGTGTCGGTTAATGAATTGCTTAATCATTAGCATGAAATCCTTGGCCTTGAGATTCTTGTCCGCGCCGGGCGTGCCTGAACGAGAACTGCCGCTCCCGGCCCCATCGTCCAGGCCCTGCCGATCAGCCAGATTGCTCAGAATACCAGCCGAGCTGGGGCCCGCGCGGCGACGATTGCCGCCAGGCCGACCGCCCTGCCCAACTTCGCCCGTCCACGTCACCGTGCCGATGGGTATGTTTCGGGCTTCCTGCCCAGAGCGCCGGAGATGCGCAGCGGCCTGCTTGGCGACTTGGTTTGCCTCGTATCGAAGAATGGCAATGTCGGCCTTTGCTTTTGAAGGGCCGTTGACAATTTGCTCGTGGTCGTACGCGCTGTTGACTGAGCGAGCAAAGATGCCGCCAAGCATCCGACGCTCCTCCTGTGCAGCCTTGTCTTCTTTGAACTCTTCCATTGCCGCGACCAAGTCCATGTGCTTCAACTCTTGCTGCTCGGCATCGGGGGCAGCAGTTTGATCCGATGCACCACCCTCGCCATTTGTAATGTTAACCTCGGCACCTTTGAAGACCTCGCTTCGCTGGGTAGCCGCGTCTCCGCCCTGGTTGTACGTGAAGAGATCATACAAGTCAGACAAGTCATACGAGCTGCGTTGCTTTGGATCTTTGAGTACTTTGTTCGTCATGAATTGCTTGAAGATCTGCCGGTGGTAAATCTTTTCCTCAATTGTACCTTCTGTCATCAGTCGGTAAATTTTGACGGGTTTGTTTTGACCAAGCCGCCAAGCTCGCTCTCGTGCCTGCAAGTCTGTTGACGGATTCCAATCTGGGTCAAAGATGATGATACGATCAGCACCTGTGAGGTTGGTGCCTAGGCCACCCGTCCGTGTAGTCATGAGGAAGACATGCACATCTGGGTCGTTGTTGAACCGGTCAATCATGGGTTGTCGCTGGTCAACCGGCGTTTCTCCGTCCATGCGCAAATACGATATGCCGCAATCTCTCATACATTTTTCAATAATGTTAAGCATCAACTTTCCCTGGGAGAATAACAGCATCTTGTGCCCATTTGGAATCATGACGTTTTGTAGTAGGTCTTTGGTCAGTTGAAGTTTTGTCGACAACCTTGGGCTACCATACTCATAGCCGGCTTTTTGACTCAGCTTTTTGTCCAGCAAGTCGGGGTGGTTGCAAATCTTCCGCAAAATGTCAATTCCGTAGAGCGACTGCCACCGTCGATTGAGAATGGCAGCCACCTCGTCCGATTTGAGAAACGTTTCATACGCCTTGCGTTGGCCGTCGGTCAGCTTGCAAAACAAAACTTGTTCCGTCTTTTCCGGCAAGTCTGCGGCGACATCAACCTTGAGCCGCTGCAACAAATATTCGCTGATGGTTTCTTTGAGTGCTTCGGCACATTTCTCTGCAGTCATGACCTGGAGGTTAGAGGCATTGGCGTAGCCTCCTTGCCGGATCGGAATCTCAAATTGAGCCCTAAAGTTGACGAGGGTACCGAGTCGCATTGGATAGATGAAGTCGAATAGCGACCAGAGTTCGGTCAAGTTGTTCTGGATCGGAGTTCCGGAGAGAATGACACGATTTGGCGTGTTTAATTCCTTGCAGGTGACAGTGATTTCAGCATTCGGATTTCGAATCTTGTGGCCCTCGTCCAAGACGGCGTACTCCCACTCAACCTTGAGCAGTTCGTCCGCATACGTCTGAAGACCCGTGTAGGTCGTAACAAGTACGTGACCCTTGGTGACAACACCGCGAATGATGCGTCGTGCCGCATTCGCAGACTTGCTAGCCATGGGGCGGAAATGGTCCAAATCATAGTCATCCTCAGCAGCCGGGTTCAGCATACCACTGCCCGAAGAATGCAGAATGGACACACGCAGCGGAGGCCACCATCGATGGAATTCGCTCACCCATTGTCGAAGGAGCGTGGCGGGAGCAACGACAATGACGGGCCGTTTCAGCTTCTTGCTGCTGTGCAAAGCAGCGACGAAAGCAATCAACTGAACGGTTTTTCCTAGGCCCATTTCGTCACCCACGATGCCGCCCACGCGCTGATTGTATAATTCTGCCATCCACTGCACGCCCGTCTTTTGGTAGCCGAACAATGAGGGGTGAATATCGCCAGGGAGCTTGAGGTTGTCGTCAATAGACCAGTCTGGGTGATCAGGGGACGGTTTCGTCCATTCGTCTTCATCTGGGTCGCTTTCGGCCCCGTCAGTTACAGATTCTTGAGCTTGTCTTCTGGAACGTCGGGCACGGCTGCGTCGCGATATCCAGTCGTTGAGGCGGCGTTTGTACAGCTTCTCGTCACCATCGTCAATCTTGGAAAGGTCAATCTGCTCCTGCGCCTTGACAGCAGCCTTGGCCTTGTTCTTGCGGCGCTCATCTCGGATCAGATCCTCTTCCGTGCCTTGCTTCCACACTTTCGAGTCTCCAGAGTCCGAGGCGGATGAGGCTTCTGGCTCGTAATCTTGGGAAGGACTGGGCGACTTCTCGCGGCGTTGTTTCTTGCGGGGCCGCAGCGAAAACTCAGACTCCACGGCGCTGCTCGTAGCTGGTGTGGTGCTTTCTGTCGTCGGTACTTCCTCTTCGAAACCGGGCCGACGCAGCAGCTGATGCGACGCGGGCTCCTCTTCCGGAGCGGCGAGTTGCTGTGCTGCGGCCTCTTCTTCGGCATCGAGAATAGCGTCTGCAAGTTGGCCTTGGACACCAGCAGGCCTAGGCCCTCCTACGCGCGCAAAGGGTGTAATCTTTCCAGTTCGGATGAGGTAGTCGCGGTGACTCTCTCCCGGTAGCCTGGCAGACTTGCCAGTGCTCGGGACTTCGAGAGGATCCTGCTCGTGACGTTTCTTCATGCGTGACTGAAAGTCGGAAATATCGTTGCTGATGTGTAGAATTTCCTGGTCAATCTTGGCCACCTCCTTGCGAATGTTGCCGGCCTGGTAGGGGTTAGTGGCAGCTCGCTCAAGGCGCTTCTTTTCCTTGTCCAGCTGCAGCTTGAGGCGGTGACGCGAGGCCTCGAGCTTTTCGATTCGAGCATTGTCCTTTCTATCCTCCTGTTCCATGATGGCCGCGTTGGCTTGCAGCGTGATGTCGCGTTCCAGCTCGTCCTGATCGCGGACCGTGCCAGTTAAGTTCTTGAGAGCATCCTCCTCTGTCATGCCGGCGAGGTTAGTTTGCTCGGGGCCGGCCTCTCCGGCTTCGCCATGGGCAGCGGCGACCATTTCGTCGACCAAGTGACTGCGGCGCTCGGCATTTTCAGCCGCGTCGTTTTCGTCGTGGTCCATGACGGCCAAGGAGCCTCAACGATGGCTTCCACAGTCGTGGTTGAGTCGGGTCGGCTGTGGGGGATGGCAGTTGCGCGAGCACCAATGCGGCGCTACTCTTCGAGCGGCCTGAGGGGTCTTATGTACCCAAACTGAACAGAGCCTGGTGCGGAAGCTCAATACATGGTCGAGTGCGGTTCTATGCTCTCTCGTGGAGATTGAAAATGGAAAATAGTAACCGTGAATGAATGGTAGGGGCCTGGTTGCAACCGTGAATGAGATGGTAGCTGCCTGGGTGGCAAATCAGGCCACAGCAATCAGAGGTGCCGTTCTGGTCGTGTCACAATCCCCTATCCGCACGCCGCACGTCAACGATGGAATTTAGTAGCCAAAAGCGACAAGCTGAGGATAGAATTAAAGGGCAAACGTCATGGACAAGACGATGCGAAATGGTGAATTCATTCCGTAGACCAAGCCTAGCCCTGTCGAGTTTAGGCAAACCAAACAGCACTAACAATTAAATCGTACGCCCTGCAATTTTCTCCACCAGCACGTGCAGCAGCGTACTAAATTAATAAGGTACTGTACCTAGGACATGGGATCGTCAGGTTCAGCTCGTCGTGCAGCACATATTATATATATATTAATGGCGGATTATCTTAGTCACTATATCATAATAAGTAAACCGATGGCACAACGAGACAGTCTTATGCAAATCATATGCCCACCTGCTAATCAATCTAAAATTCATCGACGGATACATGTCCCGTTTTGCGGATGCCCATAGTAAGCCACCTTTGGGTCGCCTTGCTTCTTAATCGTTTGACCCGCTTCCCGTCTCCAATCCCGTCTCGCTGTAGGGCTAATAATAACCAACCAACTTGCCGTTTGCATAGTCACTCTGTATATATCAACCCGACAACCACATCAACTCGGCCATTCGCTGATCATCGGGGGGGCGCTAGAATTCATCGTTTGTTAATACTGAAATGTGGGGGAAAGCCTCGCGGCCGTTGGTGTCCCGCTGCCATTGCCTGGCTCCCTCTCACTCACCCGTCCGGCTCAGCTTCATAGCAAGGCGAAGCATGGGCTCGCAGGCCACTGCGCCACCGCCATGGCTCTCCTCCCTCCTAGAATCCAACAATCCCGCACCAAAGCTCTACGCATGGACACCCGCACACCTCGGCCTCTCCCCGGCGTCGTCCTCCGCGCCGCCCGCCGACGATGCCGCCCGCCGCCTCTACATTCTCGGTCTCGGGAACCTCGGCCGCCTGTACGCCCTGTACATTCGCTCCAGGGCCCATGACCCACCGCCCATTACGCTCCTCGTGCACCGCAAGGAGCTCCTCGCTCAGTGGCACGCGAGCAACGGCATCCAAGTCACCTGCCGAGACCAAGTCCACACCTGCAAGGACTTTGCCATTGAATGGTGGACAGAAGAGCCACCACCCGAGACAGACAGCCACGCCCCGATCCGCGAAGCTGCCGACGGCGGGACCATTCACAACCTGCTCGTCACCACCAAGGCGCAGGCCGCGCTGCCCGAGGTGGACCGCATGCGCCGGTACCTCGACGCGCAGAGCGCCGTGGCTTTTGCCCAAAACGGCATGTCCAAGCTGTGGCCGCCGCACGGCGCCTCCTACATGGCCGCGCGCTTCCCTAGCGGCGGCAGCGGCAGCAGTGGCGGCGGCTTCACCCCCCTGCTTTGTGTCACCAACCATGGGCTGTACTCAACCGGCCCCTTTTCCAGCGTCTTCGCCGCGCCCGCCGACGCCTACCTCGGCCCCGTCGTGCTGCAGGACACGCCAGCCGCGCCCGCCCCAAGCGCCGCATACCTCACCTCCCAAATCACCGGCACAACCATCCTCAACGCCGCGTCGTTTAGCAGCCTCGACGTCTGGGTACTGCAGCTCGAGAAGCTTATCGTCAACACGTGCATCAACCCGTTGACGGCCATCCTGCGGTGCAAGACGGGTGGGCTGTTCGTCACCCCCGACGGCATCCCCGCGCGCGTCATGGACCGCCTTCTCGCCTCGTCGAGCCGCATCCTGCAGGCGCTCGTCGCCGATGCCAGCAGCGCGCCCATCCTCGCGACCGACGCGCAGCGCCGCAGCCCCGCGGAGCTGCGCGCGGAGCTCACGGCGCGGTTCGCCCAGCCCCGGCTGCGCGCCATGCTGCACCGCGCCGGCATCCGCGTCAAAGACAACAAGAGCTCCATGCTGCAGGATGTCGAGGCCGGCAAGCCGACGACTGAGATTCGCGACTTCAACGGCTGGCTCGTCGACGCGGCGGCGTACCTTCGCGCCGAGAGCATCGACGTCAGCGTCCACCAGCAAGTCATTGACCTAGTCGAGCGGCGCGTGGTGATGAATGAGGAGCAGCTCGCCGCGCACTTTTTAACAGACGTAAATGCAGCCAGTAGTTGAAAGAAGAAGAAACGGCCGCCAAAGTCGAGTCATGCGCTCCGTATCACACTCGCTTTTGTTCAGTCCATTCTAGGCAAGTAGAGTGGAGGCGCGATTCTGCAGCGGCCCGGACCGGGTTTGCGCAGGGAACAAAATATGAAACAACTAATAAGTAAGTACTGGGAGCCAGGGTCGGCGCAGGCATTTTTCGGTGAGGAGTGGTGATACTCTCGGACCTTTCCACGCCATGGCATGCTACGTTTCATGGCCACGTAGTACGTTGGCTTCAAAAAGGTGACATGCGGTCCTTGCGTTTAGACTTGATGGGTGTAATTCGCACGCCGCTCAAGTGACAAAAAGTCCAGAAGAACAAAAAAGTAATGATGAACATGGAAGTACTCAAGCCACGGATTTGCGTTGCAGCAAGCATTAGCTCGTTTATACATCGACCCCAGCATAGAAAAAGAGAGTTAAAGCAAAAAGAATAAGCAAATACTTTAACTTCGTTAGATACTCCAATCGTCGTTTACCCTCCTTCTTCCTTCTTGTTTTCCATGCACAGTTGGGGGGGGAATAAATGCATCATCCAAAAAAGCCCCGAGTCCGATAAAGTGTCCCATCCGTAGAGATTCTCCAAACCCAAAAAAATCAACGCCGGTGCTGGGTATTTGTAAGAAAATAATACAGCCCATTTGTAATGAATATTTTTTTTCATTTTTCCCCCTTTGTCCGTGCCTCTCTTCCCGTTTCGATTGAAACACACACGACGATGCGCCCCTTCCATCCATCCCAACACTCAGCTGAAACCAGAAAGCACAGCGGGAGACAGGGCTGGGCAAGTTGGGACGAAAACCTTGGCGGTATAAGGTCAGATTTCCCTTTCCGCGGAACAAGCGTATTGTTGCAACAAACCCCCCAACCAGTAAGGCAGGCTCGTACCCGCGTAAATAATATTTTGTGATTAACAGGGCGAGCAAAAGAACAAGACAAAAAACATACAAACGAGCCACATAGCCCCGCGTTAAAGAAGCCAAAATATATAGTGTCAAAATAAGAGGGAAAAAAAGAGTGAAGGAAGTAGAAATAAAGCGAGGTGGGTGTGTCGAACCAATCTGTGTCTCAGCGCTGTGATTTGCATCTCTTGTCTTTAGTCGCCGTTACTGTTATTGTTCCTGCATTCCCTGGTGATGCTTATCTGGATATGGCAAGTGTCGACCTTCACCGGGGTACATGACAATGCCGCTCTCGGAAGGCCCAGGTTCGGGCGACATAGGCGGCTGGTACTCCTCGTCGCCAATACCAATCTGGGCGGCTCGCTCGCGACACGCTGCGGGCGTGAACCCGGTTCCGACTTTGTGAGCAATAATTCTCCATTTCTCGTTTTCGTAGTCTTGTAGCGCGTTGCGAAGCTTTTGGTCCTGTCAAGGTTCTGTTAGTAATCCAGGCCAACTTCGACAATAGTAGACCAGCCAACGTACCATATCATCTGTCCACAGTGTTGTTTTTGCTTTCAACTTCGTGCAGTATCGTACTTGTAGCGTTCCTGAGGAGCGCCCAGGGAAGAAATCGGCAATTTGCTTCCATGTCAAGTTCTTTTGTTCCTTGAGCAAGATCAGCAACTGGTCGTCCTCGGCCGTAAACTTGAGCTTCGGTCCCCGTGGCCTCGGTGCTGGCATCGGCATCCCTTCTTGTCCAACCATGCTAGCGGCCGAAAGTTGCCCTGACTCGTCTCTTCGCATCATTTTGGAGGGCGGCCCCATGTCAGGCAGATGGTGGTGGTGCGTCATGGGCAGCGGCGGCGTGCCAGCCATTCCACTCCCCGACGAGTAGCTTCCTCCCATTGGCGTTGTTACCATTCCTGCGAGACTCGGGTGCTGAAGTTCTTGCATACCCGCGGATGTCAGGTCAAAGTCTTCCGGTCGCCCTCGCTTCCCAGAGCTACTTCCTTGATGTGGCGAGGACGGCGAGTGTCGCGGGTTGGAGGGCGACATGGTCGGATACAGAGGATTTATTAATGATCCGTGGGCGCCAAATGGATTTCCCATCCGGTCCCCTCGAGGTGGCCCCATGGCTGGACTGAAGAGGAGCTGCGAAGAACCGTGCGGGGACGCCTGCGGCTGCGCCAAAACCTGCTGGTGATGCGAGGTACCAGCGTCTGTGTTGGAGTCTGACTGGATTCGAGGAATACTAGAATCTGATATGACGTCTCTTTGGTATGGGTTAGGATGCTGCTGGTGTTGCTGATGATGTTGTTGCTGGTGGTCCTGGCCATGCTGCCGCTGTGTATCGGAGAAGGCGGACGTGTCATATGCGGCGTGGACTTGCCTCTGGTCAGCGGAAGGCGAGAGCTGACCAGAGTAGTCCACATGGTAAGTATTTCGATAATTGTCCGCCAGCGTGGTCTTGATACATGGATCCCTCCAGAGCGATCCGCCCTGAACGGTCGCCGGTCTGTAGATGGAAATAATGTTCGATATGGCGCCCCGGCACGGGCGACTTGTGAGGGGAGAAAGAGGGGAGCGAGCTGATATCAAGAATGCAGAAGGAATAGTTAATGCAAACTTGTAGAAGAGAAAGCCAGCAGACCACGTCTTTCTCGACTGGAGAGGAGGAAGGGAAGAGAAAAGAGAAAAAGAGACCCGGTTACCCTTGGCCTGCCTTGCTCGCTGTGGGTATCGGGCAAGGGTTGACGGGGGAGAGTGGTTGTTAATAAACTGATTGGTGACGGCAATGCAGCCGCGCGAGGGCAGCAGGGCTGGCAGAAGCGCCGGCTTGACTGAGATGTCCGACGAGCAGTGTACTCCGTTATGATGTCCTTCCTTCTTCAGAATCCGAAACTAAAATTTCCCGATGGGAAATCACCGCAGGGCAGTTCTTGTTGGCCGCTTCACTGAAGATTGCGTGGCGAATGGAAAGTAAGTGGTGTGCGGTGAGGCGCTGAGCAGGGGCTTGTTTCGCCGCCGTCTCGAAAAGATGGGAATTGGGAATAGGCCGAGTGTCGATTCGCGCCAAGTCCAGAATGTAATGTAGATTCTTTGCTGTCAATATGCCACAATGGTAAGATGTTATCATCAGAGGCATGAACGCTAGAGAAGTTTGTCGCGAGTAGTTGTTGTGTATTGGCGTGATGGTTGATGTCTTTAAGGTCAAGTTCTCGTAATGGGTGAAGCACATAAGATCTGACGTTTATAATGCCGTCACAGGGATGATATATAAACGACTCGAGGCTTAGGCTTCGCCTCTGTGGAGATTCCCAGCATGAATATTAATGGGGGAAGCTCATTATCCAGAGTTGATGCTGACGCAGTAGAAAGAGGATCCGTGTGGTGTGTCGTGAGGTGGTACGTTCTGCGTCCATCCCGTCTCGAAAGCTTGGAAGCCCGCTAACTAATACGTTGCCAAACCCGGTGGGCATGGGATCCTGTCGATGGCTTTCCTTGACTAGATGCACATGAGATTCTACGGCCCCATGCCGACCCTCAGGGACGGGTACGCCTTGTCGACGGGGGCTGATGCCGAGGACGAGACAATTTGGGCAAGTTATGCAACTAACCCAAGAGTGGGCAGCCACAGAGTAGATATGGACCTGGGTCAAGACGACTCCCCAGAGACCCCATACGAGGCGCGATTGGCACTAAACCATATACCAACAACCATGGCACTTGGAGGGTATAGGTGACGATGGGTGGCAGAAACTGGGGCAGGTCTGCAGATGGGCGCATGTATCGCCGGCCATCAACCGGCCTCATTAACCAGATGCGAAAAGCTAGTTGAAGGGGGTCAGAATAGCAAGTAGCCAGACAGACATATTGCGATACATTGTGGTTAGTGAAGATTTTGCGCTGATTGAGTACAATACTGAAAGCTCTGACTGACAGGTGAGTTCGTCTACAGGGGCACTCTTCTGACCTGCAACGGCTGGAGCTCGACTCGCAGGCAGACATGTAGCATGTTGTTAGCGGACATGCTGGGTTGAAGATTGGGGCACTGTGGCAGTTGTGAATGGACCAAAGGGCAAGTAGGTATGGAGCTAGCAGCATCGCGAGGCAAGCCCAATGCAAGCCGCGACTGGCCAGAGCGGTTCGGATTGGCTGCGCGCAAGAATGGAAAATGCAAAGAGCCTACAAGTAACAGATGTCAGATAAGTGGACACTGAGTGCAATGACAGGGGTCAAAAAGATTTTCTGAGGGGGTGGCTGTATTGCATGCATACACCGAATGCCATTATAGTCGAGGATGTCGGGAGACGCGAGGTGGGCGTGTTCCCTGTCATATTGGAGACAAAAGAACCACTGACCACAAGTCACGCACAGAAAGTCTGAAGTGGTGCTGCGCTGTGCGCGGTCAAGTCAATATGAAAATAACCGCTCTGAAGGACCAACGACAAAAATCGAGCGGAACCAAGCGGGCCCGTCGCAGTCATGAGCAGGCACGGAGTTGTGCAGACCAGAGCCCCGTAGAAGGATGCAGTGTCAGAATGGTTTGAGTGCTCGGGTTGACGCGCGTGTGTGAATGGGTGCTTGGTGCTTGGTGCGTGTGGTGTGCCTGACTTGATTAGGTCGAGGTTTTGACTAGTGGCTGGAAGTGGTGGTGTGCCGGATGAGCGTCACAAGCCATTGGCAAAAGATCAGACCGAATGGCGCTGGGTGGACGGAAGGATGGATTGGTGGCCTATGAAACTCAGGAACCACAGAGCGAGCCACGTCTGTGCACATTGGAACGCAACCAAAGCGTGGCGGGTAGCTTCGATGCTTTTTAGGTGTGAGAAAAGGGCCGGAGATGTAGCCCAAACCAGGCGTGGATCTCGAGCGACTGGAGTCTTCAATCAAACCCTGAACCTTGAACCTGGCCGGTGCGGGACGAGCAGCAGACGAAGGCGGCGCAAGACTACCTACCTATGCATACGCAGATGGTTAGAGGCCGGCGCAAGCCAACGGGCAGCAAGACGGCAGGAATTCGTGTCGAGAAATGAAAGACGATGCGCTCCTTGGCAGGCGGCGGGACGGCTGACGACAATGAATCTATGCGGGCAAGACTGAGACGGTAGCGACTCGAGAACAGTCTACTGAGCGGCCCAGAGGAAAGCTCCGTGGTGGGGGATCGAAACCCAGCGGTGGGGGTCGCAGCATGACTATCTCGAGGCCAAGAGGCTGTCGGCGCGACAGATGGTTTATTTGAGCATGACGCAAGCAGGTTCGTTAGCATGTGTTGGTGCAGGTGCTATGAGTTGTGCTGTGCAACAGTGCAAGCAACCGAAATTGAACGTTGACGACAAGTCAAGCAATGCCGAGCCAAGCAGCGGCGCAGCGCTGATGTACATACATCGATGGGGTTGGGGGTCGGCGGGCGGTGGGAGATGGACATGGGCCAGGGTGTGCGCGATGTGCATGTGCAGGAAAAGGCCAGCATGGATGTATGGAGAGTGGGCTGATTTGAGCGAGAGGCTATCCAATCCGAAGGGTACCCGTGTAGGCCTCATGGGCATGGGGGGTGGGATTGGTTGTTATGTGGGCAGGTTGGAGTGCATTATTGATTGCCGAGGAGCGAGGGTGTGGTGGTGGTAGTGGTGATGGCGATGATGAGATGATGATGATGATGATGATGATGATGGATGGTGATGGCGCTTGGTGATGATGTTGAAGATGAGATTGGTGATGCTATCTAGCATAGTGTTCCGGGAGATGGGCGAATGTCCTCTTCTGTCCTTCCGTTTCTGCCTGTCTGTTTGCACTGTGCCCGTTTGCAGTCGCCGGTCCGTCAGTCGCCGTTTGCTCGATTGCCAGTATTTATCGAGGTACCTACCTACTCCGTAGGGATACATGGAAAGAGGCCGACTGCCAGACCCCGTATCGTATGGAGGTACTGGATTGGTACGGACGTACCTCTCCATACCTGACTGGAACACGGGTACCTGGACAAAGACAGGGACAGGACGGACAGGGGAAGGAATGCCCAACGGCGGACGCCCCTCCTTCCTTACTCGTAAACGTGGCCCGCCAAAGCCCGGCTAGCCTCCGCCCAGCCTCCGCCCACCACACTCTCCACGCCAGGCACCATCAGGCAATGAGGGTTGTAAGGCTACCACTCATTGCAGCCAGCCTCCTCTCTCTCCTCCATCTTTTTCTTCTCCTCTTCGTTAGTTCCTCTCTGAGCTGCCATCCTAGGAAACCTTGCAAGCCTCCCGTCAACACAAAACCGCCTCATCCAACGCCCATATCTCCATAGCCCCAGTCCTTCTAATTTCCTTCCTCCCCCCCCTTCCTCTACCGGCATCCTCGCCCTGCCTGCGACGGGTCAACGGTTCCCACCACCTTGCCACACTCACTCACCTTGGTGGTTTCGACAAAAGGTTCAGCGGCAAAGCGGCCATCTCCGGTTCTCGTAACTCGCCAACTGCCCGCTATTTCCTGCCAACAACGGGTTCATTTAATTATTGTACAGCCCAGGAATGTCGTGCGTCCCTTGTCCTGCATGCTCCGGCTAGCTCCGGCTGCAACTCTACCAATTATCAAGAGACGCTCTCTATCAAATGCCTCCCTCTACTGCGCGGTTAAATTGTCAAGACGAAAAAGAAAATCACACAATAGTCACGCTCACAGTCACAGTTGCGGTTTGATACCCCCGGCTTTGCCCGCTTCGCGCTCTGCTCCCCCGACACTGACCCGTCCAAACTATTACCAGTCAGCGGCCCAATGCCCTATCCTGAGGCTATCCAGCTCTAAAATTAACCCTGCGCACCTGTCAAAATCGTCCGGTGGCGCCCATGTCTGAGTCAATCTCTCTCCAGAGTTATAGCGCCATTCCCACTATCCCTCGAAAGGCCGGTAGTCCCCCATGTCTCTTGGCAGTTGGCACCCGACCAGAATATCGGACCAAGACACGAATCGAAGTCTCGAGAAAACTAGAGACTGCCCGCCTTTATTGTGGGTGCCACCGTCTCAAGTGAGTCAAGTGACTAACAGTCGTCGGCTGCTTCCAGCGCGATCCCTCGTTCTCCCATGTTATGCAGGCGCGCTCCCGCTCACTGGTACAACGATTGTGTCGTCATGGTCCCCCACCACGGGGTCTGCACATCACGCACAAGAGTCTAGCCTCAAGCCAAGTTGGCCTCTCTTTGTCCTCTCGCTCGCCTCGGCTCCCGTTGTTCTGTGTGCCTGCAACCACGCCCCCCAACCCCTTGCCATCTGCGAGAAACCCTGCGGCGTCCGCCCCCTGCGCAGGTGGCAGGGTGGTCACCGCAGGTCACAGTTGTGGTCCATTGCGATGTAGGATAATTTTACAGATTGGACGTGCATAATGCATAAAATAGTCCAATTTGGCGGTGCTCCTTCAACTTGTAACTCGCCTCTTGTTCTTTGGCGGCGCCACTGCTTCCGGCTCACGCTTCCGGCAGCTGTTCAGCGCCCGTCGCTCTTCGCCGTCCTCGCCCAAATTACGGCGTACAATGCATGCAAGGCTGCCCCAGTGAGCTGCATCATTTCCTCGCGTTCGGCTCGATGAACTGCTTCACCACGACGCCGACTGAGACGTCACGTCATCGGCGCCACCCATAGTTACCAGATGATCTCTCTCCCCGGGGAAAATGCTTAGATGCAACTACCAGTCGTCAGCCGCAGCCTTTGCGCGCTTTTACGTCAGCTATAGGTCTTGACCATGTATTCTATGGACGTAGAAGTAGTCTAGAAACGCATCACATTTCACGACGGTACGGCAACTTGGCGTGGCCCCATGAATGCCGATGTCGATGCCTTGACCGGCAAGCATTGTCGGAATATTAAATCAGAGGACACGTCTGCGGTCCTGAAACGGGTTGCCTATCTTATTAGGCAATCTTTGACAGGGTCCTTTTGCAAAACTATATGGCATTGTAGTAATCTCTTTCAAGTTCGTCTTATTTTAAACCCAATACGTGTAAATAAAGCTAGTATAACAAACTGTCATGCTCCTCGTACACATGAAATCAAGTAAATGTGACCAATAAAAAAAAGTACAATAATGTAGTAGTAAAATGTTCCCCTTCAGCTTCTAACGCCTAGTTCTGACCAGAGATTGTTCATGCTCGCCACCCCCTTTGTTTTCCCATCTCCAAATTAGACTTTTTCGTGCCTTTCATTTCATTGTAAAGCAATCCCCTCATGCAAAATTGTCCGAACGATCGACACCAATGTCCTCGAGCTCAGCAAAGCTGTGGAAGTGAACGGGGCGGTGCTGATCGCCGTAAAATGGCAGTGGCGTGTCGAGCTTGACGTGCACGCTCTTCTTCTCCATGCCAGCAAAGGCGCTGCCCATGAAGCTGTAGTTCCAGCGGCCGTCGTCGGGCACGAGGAAGAAGCCTCGGAAGCGCGGGCTCAGAAGCAGCTTGCGCTTCTCGCCCATGGTGGTCGCGAACCCCTGCGGTTGGTCGCTCTGTAGGTCCCGGTTGTCGACACCCCATTGGTAGCCCTGCGGCGTGAGGCCCCAGGCCGACAGCGACACGCTACCAGGTGTGAAGGCAACCGAGACGGTGACCGTGTTGGTCTTATCCCACTCGCTGTGCGCGTCAAGCAGCTTTGAGTGCTCCGTCACGTCCGCGGCCGTCATGTAAGGCAGCTCGCCGCCAGACGCGGTGTGGATCACGCCGAGCGGCTCCATGCCCTCGAGAAAGTCGCTCTGAGGCAGCTGCTGTGGTAGCTGCACGTTGCGGAGGCCGCCCACCTGCGGCATCATGACAATGCACTTGATTTCCTTGACTTGGTCATTGTCTGGTGCGGAGGCGCCGTAGAGGAATCCAGCAACCTGCACGCGCAGATCGGCAATGGTGATGAACTTCTTCAAAATGTTGTTCGGCATCACGTAGGTGACATCGTCAAGATCGTTGTCGATAGGAGAGACGTATACGTTCTTGGCACGCGTGCGCAAGTTTGATGTGGCAATCGCACGTGTGCGCCATTCAGTCTTGGAAGCAAACGTTTGCTGCTCGAACTGTGAGGTGGTCGTAACAATAAGATCTTCACCGTGAATATTTTGCGTCTTGGTGGTAACGGCGGTGAGCTGAGCTTGTTCCTGTTGCTGCTTCTCAATCTCGGCAGCCTGCTGTCTCTGCATGGAAGGCGCAGAGATTTCCATACCCAGGATAATGTCTCGCACTTCACTGCTGGTCAGACTGGACACGTTGACGTTGTTCTTTTTGCCGTAATCATTCAGAATGAGGTCACGCAGTTGTGTTTCAACCTTGATCCATTCTTCGTCCGTCAGCGATGGCCAGATGTGATGTTCCAGCGTGATAATAGTCTTGTCCGGGCGGAGAATGAGCTTCGTCTTGTCGGGGTTGACATGTAGAGCACGCAGAATAAGGACGAGACGCGAGAATGCCGTGAATGACGAGATACTCTTCAGCCATTCGTCGTACAGGTTGAACAGAACCATCTGCGGTTCCGTGGCTCGTAGGATCATGTCGCCGAGCTTCTCGACCTTCATCGCCGCCTGGAAAGGAAGCTGCAGCTCAGAAGCACGGATGGAAATGTTGGGAAAGTCAACCAACTGAACCTCGAGTGGATCAAGAAGACCCTTTCGAGTGACAATCAGCTGCTTCGGCTGCTCTTCAACGGGCAATGATCGGATGAGAGCTGCAACTTCTTCAGCAGTCTTCCACTTGGCGAGCTGTCCAAGACGCTTCTGCCCTGCCCAGACGCTGGTGTGGATAATCTTCAAGAACAGTTGGCCGGTACGAGGGTTGAAAATGAAAATGGCACCATTGATAGGCTTGGTAGTCAAGTTGCCTTCGAATGTCTTGTGGATGGTGACACGGTAGACATTGGTATCATCGATGAACAGCTGAGTTTTCTGACTGAACAGTTCGGAGTAGTTCTGAGAGTTCAGGAATTCTTGGTTGCTCTCGGAGGCATACAGCTGTAAACCCTTGCGGATGCGCTCTCGCAAGACGTAGAGGGCGGGGTTAGCCTTCATAACCTTGGCCATCGCCTGTTGAACAAGAACCTTCAGGCCAGGGAAGAACATTCCGTACGCCGAGTACATGTTGTAAGCCAAGTCAATACCAATCATGAGGCCGGTGGCAGACGGGTAGATACTGGCACTGTCCGTGGTGTAATCGAGATACTTGGCTCTCGTGTAACGATCAATGTCGTGAGAATCGTAATCGCCATAACGAAGCTGGATATCAATCCAAAACTTGTTCGTGGTGGTCGGTTCAATTACATCCTTTGTGTCATTGAGATGCGATGGGCGAGTAACATTCCACTTGTGGCTTGCAAAGAGCAGAATATCGGCGCACGAGCTGTTCATCTTGTACGACTTTCTGGGATGGATAGTCTCTTTCTGAACAGTTTCGATGCCCAGAGCTTCCAACTCCTGGTCGAAGACTTGACACATATCCATGACAACAGATTCGTGAATCTTTTGCCACAAATGCGCACGGAAAATCTGAATCAAAGAGATCTTCAGGGTTGGAATCTTGCCATGAAGGAAGATACCAGTCAAATCGAGCTGGACCTGGAAACCAACGTAGACATTGGCTCTGTTGATAGTTGGGGACCACCACAGGGTGAAGCGACGGTTGGGAATTTGGTTAAGACCGGATCGCTGGGCATTGGTCAGTTTCTTGAACTTCATCGATTCTTCGAAACCACTGTTGTGAAGCACGAGATAGTCGTGGCGGAGGTAGAGCTGGTCTCCATCCACACGGAATCCGGCCCATTCTGTCGCCTCTGCTTCCAGGACGATGTCGTTGACGACGAATCTGTCCGTCTTTGGGATGGCACCCTCCGTAGTTGTCGTGCGCGGAGTGGAAAACAGAAGATACTTGGCTCTCTCTGCAGACTCCAGCGCGGCGTATTCAGCAGCAGTCATCTCATGAGCATCATAGGTGGCGGTTGCCGTTTCCTTGTGAAACACGAGGATGTGGTTGGTGGTGACGACAAGGTCTTCTTTCTGGTTGTCAATTTTGATTCGATACAGTCGGTCCTTGCCATTGACCACATTGAATGCGCGTCTGGACCCGCCGTCAGGGCCGAGAAGCAAATCGCCCTCCTTGACATCTTCAACAGCAACCTGAGTATGATCATGTCGTAAAAGCATCGTTCCGTTGGCAAGACATGCCTTCTCCCAGAAGAGACCTTCCCAGGATGCGAAACCTGTAGCTTTGAAGAGAGTGTGCTCCAGAATGGTCTCAACACCACCAAGTGCCTGGATAACATCAGTTCGGTAGGCATTGAGGTTCCACAGCTTTCCGTCGTGACGCTGGCTGGTCCACCAGAAAGGGTTGCTCTTCATCAGCTGGTAGACCTTGAACTCAGCACGAGCACGGAAACCCTTGTCAAAACTTAGTGTGCTACGATCTTTTTGGAAGAGCGTATTGATACGAGGTAAACCGCGGTCCCAGCTATCCTCGAGATCTTCCAAAGTCAGACGGCGGTTCTGCTGGTTGGCTTCGAGGCGCTTCTGGGAGTATTCGGTCCAGACACGCTGCGAATCAATGAACTCAGCCTCCCACGGGATAATGTAACGGAAAATGTTGGGAATGAGTGTCTCCTCGTCATGCGTCATACCAGCTCGGAAGTGAGTGGTTCCAGTATCGGTTTGCTTGTACCAGCGTTTGTCACTAGCGGGGATAAGAATGTGAGAGCCAGATATCATACCGAGACCACCCAGTTCTTTCGGAGTGTAGAAGACAGCAGGAGGGAAACGAGAGGGCATCTTGGAGTTGAGACCAATCTTGACTCGCGTCTGGATCTTGGTCTCACACTTGACAATGGTATCAAGCAACTCCACGGTGGAAACGGCGGCTTCTCGGTAATATGTAAAAAGAGCAATGAGAGCAGTGTTCCACTTGTTAGCGATCTTGGTAAACGTCGTAGATCCAGACGACATCAGAATCTGGCGAATTCGGTTGTTGAATTTAGCAATGTCATCTTCCGTGACTTGCAAGAAAGCATGCGCAGTTCGCTCCTTGGTCGTGTTGTCGACAAGCGACCACACGCCGTCCTTCACAGGGAACTCATCGTTCTGGTTTCGAATCTTTGGCAGGATGCGAACCTCAAAACCGCTCATAGAGAATAGCAGGTTGGGGTTGTCTCTGCTGTAGACACTGGCGAAGCTGTCATCCCAGTCGATGGTCGTGACAGTACGTGGCAGTCTGTTCTTGAGATCCCAGAAAACGGCGCGGCCCAGATTGACATCATGGCGCATCAAACGCATACGCGAGTCACGAGGCCAGCATTTCTTGCTCTTGTAGCCAATGACGTTCTCGAAGTTTGGATCGGGCTGCTCCGTTAGGAACCGCTGAATCAGATCTCGAGATTCTTCGGCTGTGAAACGAAGGAAGACCCAAATTTTATCGATGTATCTGCTGTATAGACGAATGGGGTGTCGAGTTTCGGTCTCTTTGTCACGGAACTGAAGGAAATCGTTGGGGCTCTGAGGAGGTCCAGCAATTTCACTCGCACGCTGAGGGCCAAGCAGTAACAGATCGAGAAGAAGGCCGTAGTATTGGAAGACAAAGGCGGAGAACTGCAGTCCACGGATTAGACCGTAGCTGTTGACGTGATTCATGTCCTTGTATGTCAGCTGAACGTTGTTCTTGGAGGTGATGTAATCAGCCAGGTTGTGATCCATGATGAGACGCAGAAGAGAGTTGAGCATTGTCAGTTCCATCTTCTCGTAGACTTTGGACAGTTCCGTCTCGATCATGACGTTACATTCGCCGTTTTCTGTTTCCCACACGCCGCTCAGGTTGTTGATACCCTGGGCCCATTTGTAGACCAGGAGAGGGGGCACCTCAGAGTCAGAAGGCTTGATCCAGGCCGGGAACAGATGTCTTTGATCGGCCTGGTACCAGAGGTACTGGTCGAGGTAGGCATCGCTGATCTTCTCGATGGGTTCAATGTCGTACACTGGGTTGATGGTATTATAATTGTCGTTCATATCGATGTTGACTTCTTTGAAAGCGCGCTGGGTGAGAAGGAATCGCTTGATACGCTCCAAAGTAGTACCAGGGCTGTCATATGCTTGCTCGATCAAGGCCAGTTCTTCACGTTGGCTCTGATTCAACCGACCTTTGACGGAATACGCCTCTCTGAGACGCTCCAGAGCGAGGATCAGAATCTTCGTGTCGTGCTTGTAAGAAACGCTGGGGAACGGGATTGGGGAAAATTTTCTCGACTCGAGCCAGTGAACGGTTGTTGTGTAAATGGCTACTGCTTCCTCTGAAGAGACATAAGGACCGTCCTTCATATGGTTATGTTGTCTCTCTTGTTCGGCCTTTAGCCAGAGACGAGTCAGGCGGCCAACATTCTTTTTCGCCACAGTCTTATCGACGGTTGCACCTCGGCGAATGCGCTCACGGTTGTAGTGCGTGACGGAAATCCACCAGTCGGCCTTTGACTTGACATATCTGAGAATGATGTTCTCGATAGGCGCAGGAAGACCGGGAACCTTCCAGGGGATGTTACTCTTCCAGCATCTCCAAGCTTCAGACAAGTGCTGCAGTACTGTGTTGACCTTGCTTTGCTTGATACCTTCAGGCATCATATCCATCAAGTCAGACATAACAGAGGCACGCAGTTCAAGATCAAAGTGGGACTCGACTCGCTGCTTCGTGACTGTTTTGGCAACTCCCTTGCTGTGTCGACCTTCGAACTGTCGCGACAATAGGTTTCCGAGCCACCTCTGAAGAAGAGGAATGATGCCTCGCATGAAGAAAAGCCATACTCGCCACGATGGGGCCCAGAAACCACAACCAGGACCTTTTCCGACAGGTCCTGAGTTGAAGCGGTAGTATATTAAGTGCTTCAGATCCTTGCATGTGCGGATTTGATGCATGAGCTTATATTTGTATCGGTACATACCAGTCAGCTGGCCAACATGATTGAATGCATAGTGAATACCATCAGCAAGCTGAAAGGCATCAATGTTGCCAAGTCTGTATTGAACCTGGGCATCAACAATGAGCTTGGTCAATCTCAAAATTTCTCGCATCAAGTGGAAAGCGTTTCCGAATCGAGACTTCTTTCGCTCCTTGGTTGTGAGAGTTTTAACAGGCTTGAGATTGAAGTTGTAATCCAGATGCAAGTATGTGAGGTTCTTGCGGTGAATCAGCAGGTTCAGCATGTTAAAACCTTGGCGGCAAACTTGAAGACCGGCCTCTACCCAGTCTATCGTGGTCTGTTGGAAGAACTTGGTCTGCTTGAGCGATCTAAATAGATTCTGATTGTTGTGCGCCTTGGGCTTCTTTTTGTGCAGCTCGTTGAGAACATAGTTCTTGAGCAACTTCTGGTACGACACACGAACCTTGACAGGCGGTCGGTCGGAAGGCGGGTGCTCGAGGTACCACTGCTTGATGAGAGGCACATCCTGTGCTCTCACCATGCGTCCTGAGCGTCGGTCGAAGGGGAACGGGGCCCACCAAAGCTCAATTGCTGATGAGGTGTGTTCGTTGTCGAGCTCTTCATCGGCGAGGAACGGTTCAACGCCAGCTGGAAGAGTGAATCCATCCTCCTCGTCTTCTTCGTTGTTTCCGGGCCCGAACAGCTCGTCTTCAAGAGAAATATCGGCGTTCTTGGGTGCAACAGTACGGGACGAAATCGGGTTGATGCGGCGGTCGAAGTGGAAGGTCGGCAGGTCAGGGTCATCCGCACGGTTGAAGACAGCTTGGGGTTGCGAGTGCCAAGACATGTGTACACTTCGTGGAAGAGAATTGTATAGGAAAGGGTATGCGACTCGGAATTCGGTTCGGATGGGGTTTCGGAAAATAATACGGTCAATCGCGTTGAACTCGCCAAAATCCTCCTCATTGGGGTTAATGTCTTTATACAGAGGCTCAAATCGCGGTCCGCCTGGCAGAGCCACATTGAGAGCCTTGGCAGTCAGAAGACTCTTGAGATCGAAGAGGTAGAAGTAGTTCTTGTCGATGACGTCGGAGATCAGGGGTCTACTGAGTCGGAAGAGGGCAGCCATTTGAGGCAATGTCATATTCCATGACTTGTAGCTGGGCCCGTTGACGTGTGGTGTATCAAGTAGCGGACGGTGGTCGTAGAACCATTCATAGATGGCTTCGTCTTCTTCCTCATTGAGCTCCATCTGGATTGGCTCGAGAGGCTCGACGTCTTCGATATTTTCGGACCATGATAGCGGTGGTTCTTCATCGTCAAAAGGCGGAAAACGCATACGTTTGAATAGTCTTCGATCCGCCTTCTCCTTGCGCATAAAGGTCCACATCATCGCCCACTGCGCGAAGAAGACAGGCTCGACAACGCGAGGGATCTCATTGACGAGGGTCAGGCAGCCATTGACGTGATATAAAACCTTGACTTCGCGTGCAGATTCCCAGGGCATTGGCATATTCTCGAGAAGCTTCAGGACAGCGTGGGGCATGAACTTCAGTGCGCCAAGATAACTGCGCTTGTCGTTGGTGTATCGTCGTTGCGACACATCGCCAATGTCGCGCACGATCTTGCGCAGATGCTCCGGCGGCATGTCTGCCTTTTGCGTCTCAACGAAGCCACCCTTGCGCTTCTCTCCGAACCGATTTCGCTGATGCCGAAGCCATTCCTGCTTCTTCTGTGCAAACTTGGCCATGTGAGGGTCGCTCTGCTGGAAGCCTGGCGGAGGGGGGGGCGCAGGGGCAGGTCCTGACGGAGGAGGTGGCACCGATGATGGGGGTGGTGGAGGGGGGGGGAGGCCCCCAGCCTGGTGGTGGTGGAGGTGGATGCGACATGCTGAGGCTTCCACGACCAGTCGTGATGGTCGATGCGAGATGTTCTGCCTAGTTAATGGCTTCACGCCGCGCGCGTGTCACGACGCGCTAAGTGCTTGAATCTCAACAATCTGAAATATAAAGCACCCGTTAGTGTCGCAAAATGTTCTTCTCCCGATGGAGGAGATGCCGTTTTCACAGCAGCGTACAGCAACGGCCAAACGTGGTGTTGATGGAATTATTTTGGCGTGATCGCTTTTGGAGATGGTAATTTTCTCCTAGTTAGGGACAGCAACGCGCGCTAGCTTGCTGCGATTGGAGCGGTGTCACGTGATATCGAGTTTGCGATTCGGTCAATTGTCAACGCTTGAGAGGCAAAAAGCGTGCCAAGATGTTAGTAGAATAGCCGTTGTCATTCTTTTATCTGCTCATTATTTCCCAGGCCCGAATCAGTCACTAGGTGCTGCAGGAGCAATCTGCGGCGTGCAATGAGCACTCACACTTGGTGAAGCTTGGAAGCATCTACGACACTTTTAGGTCAGTGCTTGCAATACCCGCAACCCTTTCGCCTTATTAACACAAGCTTGAGGCCAGAAAATATAAAAGAAATTCAAGGAAGCCTTTTGAAACGCAAAACTCGCGAGAAACATCCCAAAAGGTACTCAAATGGACGATGCTCTTCACCGTCGACAGGTACAGGTTAGCCAGCTAACCAAAGTGATCCACCAATCACAGCGTAAGAATTCACCTTATGTAATGCGCTAGATCCAAGAGCCCGGCCTGAAGATTGTCGCGACCGACCAGCTCTGACAACGGCATCACAGCTTAAATCACCAGCAAACCTGTCAATATGGCGCACCTCAGTGGGTTTCGACGAATTGAATCCGCTGATCTTTACTGACGAACAGTAGACGTCAAGCCGGACCCGGCCTACCTGAAGCTGCAGGGTGCGCTACGAATCCCTACCTCGGGCCCGAATTGACCGAACTTTGCTAACTTGCAGGTAATAGCGATGCAGAAGAACCGCGTGCAGTACTTCCGATGGACGCCAAAGAACGCCCGCATCACTCTGATGTATGTTGCGGTCGTCCCCGCCATCATGGGCTACATTGCCTATAAGACAGACGTGAGTAGGCAAACTGTCCAGACCCAGACTACCGCTAACGAGACACATGAAGGGCCTCTGGGATTTACGAGCGAAGAGAAAAGGCGACACGGCGTGGGAGAAATAATGGGAGAGAAGAAAGCCCGTGGGTTAAGGAGAAACCTGTGTACATATATTGTGACTTTGTGCCGCAATAAAGCCAATTGCCGACCACCTTCGAGCACCTCCCGATATAAACCGCGACCAATATCTGGGTATAACTACATGACTCAAGTGGAATTCACTGAGCTTTTCTCATTTACAACGGTTCAAGGGGCAATTGGGTCACCAGCCGCCTCTACCACGACCCCTTCCCCTCGCACGGCCAGGTTGTTCACGCCCATTATTCCCCTTCCAACTGCCACGCGGATATCGAGGCCCTTCACTCTCATGCATGGGCCGGGTATTTTGGTTATGGCTGTTTCGACGGTTGCCAAATATTGATGGCTGATCTGGCATGGCTTGCCTTGGAGCCTCCTGCGATCTGATTGCATCGTAAGCGGGCGCAACAGTCCCATCGCTTAATGGTGGCAATATTGCGCATGAAATGTAGTCCCCAGCCGCGAAATGCGCGTCCTGTAATGTCCAAGTAGTGGATCCGCGGCCTTTGCTGTTTGTATCGAGATGCTCGTCGTCTTCGGCACCAGGGCCGCCGGCGCCGACGATATGACTGCCGAGATCCTTGACCGCAAAGTTTGCTCTCCGACCACCCACGGAGCTTGCACTTTTCAAATCAGGATATACAAGTTGGAATACCACTCTTGTGCCTATTGACGGTGCGGGTAGTGGATTTGGACGAGCATCGGCAAGCTCATAAACCAATTCTTGGAGAGTGCATGACGGCCAAGTAAAGATATTGACAGATGATAGCGAAGCTGAGTTTGTAAATCTGTCTGGGCTAGAAAAGTCCGTGTTAGTATCTTGCAACAAATAGCGATGATGCTGGACTTACTGTATCAATGAGCCAGAGTTATAGAACAGGCGAACTAGAAACGGGGGCTCCTGTTGAGGTTCGCTCACGTCTGCCATTTGGACAGGCAATATGGACAAGTAACAGGCAAGCGATCTGAAAGCTATGTATTGGCTAAATTATCAAGGATGATGGTAGGTTGTCCAGTCGCTGTTTTCGGAAGATACTGGTCAGCGACGGCTTCACTTTTGGTCGCGGTAAATTATCCGGCAAATAGCCGCAATCGATAGCTCTTCGATCGCGACCTCCAACTTTCAACCTGGACAAATTTGCGCCTTAACTGACGTAACGATTCCGAGAACTCACGAAATAGACACGACTTGGAACATATATATTCATAATCGAAGCTGCACGGAAACCGGCGCGCGCAACACAGCTGTACGCAACCATGGACTTTGCAGCCTTGATGAGCAAGGAACTGTCCAAGAGCAAGAAGCCCGCGCCCGACGACAGCCGCAAGAAACAATACCTAAAACGATCCGAGATCGAATCCGAACGCCAAAAAGCCTATCTGGCCGAGCAGGCCGCCCTAGAAAAGGAGCGCGAAGCCAAGGCCGCCGCGAAGCGCAAACTCGAGGACGACACAGCCGCAGAGCGCGAAGCGCGCGACGAGAAACGCCGTAAGCTGGCTGAAGAGTCGCGGCAGCGGCGCGAGGAGCGCGACTGGGAAGAGGAACAAGCCAGGCGCCGACGGCTCGGCCTGCCCGAGCAGGAGAAGCCAAGCGGGGACGCCGAAGGCGCCGGCGTGCCCGCGGACGACGTGCCGGACGAGGCGCTATTTGCGAAGCTGCGCGAGCTCGGCCACCCGGCGGTGCTGTTTGGCGAGACGCACGCGGGACGGCTGCGGCGGTACAAGAAGGCCAGCACGGTGCTGACGGACGGGCCGATCCCGACGACGCTGCGGCTGGTGGACGAAAAGGACATGAAGGTGGATGCGGTGCCAAAGGACGCCGAGGGGCGTGAGTGGCTGTACAGACAGCTCGCGAGCTACTTTACCATGGTGCTCAGCACGTATCAGCGCACGATGGAGCAGGAGAGGCGCGAGACCAGCGCGAGCAAGATTGCCTACAACGCGATGCTACAAACCATCGAAAACATGAAGCCGGTGAGCGCTCGCACCCCAACGCGGCGTTTCCACGTGTCTACTAACACAATACCGCCCTTAGTTGTTTCGAAAATTTGAAACCGGCGACCTGGACGACTCGCTCCTGGAGCCCGTCGTCGAGATCGTCAAGGCCCTGCAGGAGCGCCGCTACGTCGACGCCAACAACGGCTACCTGCGTCTGAGCATCGGCAAGGCCGCCTGGCCGATTGGCGTGACCATGGTCGGTATCCACGAGCGCAGCGCGCGCGAGAAGCTGCACAATGGCGAAAAGGGCCACGTCATGGGCGACGAGGTGACGCGCAAGTTTCTGCAGAGCATTAAGCGCTGCCTGACGTTTGCGCAGGTGCGCTGGCCGCCAGAGGACTTGCGGCAGCTGATGGGATAGGTGGGATAGAGTAACCCCCCCCCAAAAACTACGGATGGAACAGGAAGAAGCTTGTACAATGGGACTGTAGACGCGCTACGAATAAAAAATATACCCCCTGCGCCCAACGCCCGGCTTACTTGAATGCTTTTACATAGGAGAATTCAGATGTCAGAGTGACCACGATTAGCTGATCATAGTAACTGCTTCATTCGCAATGGTTGCTCGTAATGGATCGGCCTGCCTGCCTGTACTGGTATGCTAAAATAAAAAACCCAACGAGCAGTCAATGCGCCAACTCGGGAATTGCACGGAGCTATTTCTCTGAAGCGAATAACGAAGAGCGCGAATGGAGCAGGCTCCAAGGATGCCTCTTCAACACTAATACTCTCTGTAAGAGCTGCCAGCGGGAGAGAGCGAGAGTACACGAAGCCGTCCCTAGGCCTCTTCAACCTCAGCGCCCACAGCCTCCACGATCTCCGTCGCAGCTAGATGTCTTGGATCATCAAACCATTCGTCGTTCGGGCCAGCAAGATCCTTTTTCGTAGGCAGTACCTCGAGCCCAGCAGAAATGAGGCTAACACGTCGGAGGTGTTCGGCGGCGTCGCTTTCGTACCTTTTAGCCGTTTCCAATGACTTCTGCTGCATGTCTGCACGAGGGTCTGGTCGAACAGCAACAAGCAGCTAGACGAGCAGGTAAGGATTTCGTCGATACAAAGGGCATTGTGCAGTTGCACCCACCTGGTTTCTCGCGTCAATGCGAGCATTTAAGAAGTCGTTGCGTATCATGGCGATGAGCTCATCCTGGAGAGACTCCCCGGCCAGTCCGAAAGCGCCATCGAGGCTTTTCAAAGTAATACGTGAAAAGGGGATAAAGTATTGTACGATACACTTTGTGCGAATACGCTTGTAGAGTTCCTTGACGTGCTTCTGCAGGTAAATATCCAACAGATAATCAGAGCGGTACGATTCCAAGATGGAGAGGCAGTTGGAGTAACGACCGCTGACGAACAAGCTCACAGCTTTGCGGATATGGGGCTCGTGCTCTAGAAATGTTCGAAATGACTGATTGTCTAGTACGCAACGCTGGAGCTCAGTCCTATCCATGGTGGCGAGCGCTGTCAGGCCACCATAGACGGCAATGTCGTTTGGGCTGGTGACGTGGCTGTACTCCGCCGGAGGCGCGGCGAAATCGATGAGTAGCAGGCTTTTTGCCGATTCGAGGTAGTTGCCCAAGTTTAGGTGAGCAATGCTATACATAACACGAACGAATGTCTGCATCGTGTTTGCCTCGTCTGTCGACTGTACGCCTGTGATTTTGGCGACGTTGGTAAGAACCATGTTCCAATCTCGACGATAGAGTGACACATTGATCATATGTACACCACAGTCCAGGATATGTTTCGTGGTGCCTATATCTTGACGCATGCGGCTGTAAGCCTCGGTGGCTTCATTCAGCTTGCCAATGGCTTCGAAATGCCGACCCAGGTCTTCGTTACCCATCTGCACCATAATGTTAGCACCTGGCGTTTGCACGGCCTGAGCTGCGCATATCTTGTAACAGTACCCTGATGCTTTCTTTGATGAGGTTGTTTTTATAGCCCTTGAGTTCTGATTCGAGACGCTGCGTTTCAGCCTTGTTGGACTTTTCTGTGGCAGCGATCCAAGCGTCGTCGCGCTTCGCTTCGGGCTCGTCGCGTGCCACCTTGCGGATGTTATCCCATGCTTGTTTGTAACAAGATACATCTCTGCCGTTCTTGGCTTCCGCAATTGCGGCTTTCAAAGCCTCCAGCCGCAGAGGCACGCTGCTTTTGCCTATTAAGAGTAACCGGTCGAACCGCGTTCGTCCTGGTGCATCAAGTTAGTGCCTCTCCATGTGCGTGACGGGCACAGGTTGCGAGACGAACCGCTGTAATTTTGGATATATAGATCGAGGTCGAACTTGGGCAGCTCTACATTGCAGGACGCGTTAGCGAGAGGTGCAGACGAGATGGGAGTGTAGCTGAAGTGTACCAGTGACGAGAACCTGATTAGGCACGGCGGTCTGCGCGAGCGCATCCACAGGGGCGCCGGAAGATGCCATCAATGTAGAACAGCACTGTGATAGTCGGTGATATATGGTGTTTGATGCGGAAAGGGTGTGTGAGCTCTTCTAGTAGAAAGTAATAGTGACAGATGGTGTTCGTGGGAGAAGCTTCACGTGGTGAATGGCGGGGTGCGTTGTTGCCTGGTGGAGCTGCACTGCGGAGGGGCGCTGAGGCAGGGTGGACCAGCCGTGTTGGTTGAAATTGCCCTGAATACTAGGCGGAATTATATTGCTAAATAGAATACATCTATTTCTTCTGTATTGTCGTAATTAGAAGATGTAAATCCATTTTAGAAATACGGATGGCGGCTGCCCCCTATTAAAAGCCCAATACCACTTTGGTAGTTACAAACAAAGTCTATCAATAACTGTCTCGATATAGTTACGGCGGGCTTCAATACGCTCACATTTTCACATTTCTCGGAAATTAGGACCAAAAATCCCATATGTTTGGCGGAACATTCGCTCCCCAACTCATACGCCAGTCCCCAAGTAGGCCGAGTCCACGTGAAAGGCTTTCAACGGCAAAGCTTTCGAGGCCAGCGAGATCGCACTACTGACAGAGAGTATGGTTTTCTAATTACGAACTATTCTTTTACTTTTATTTTATCTTAATATACTACTCAAACTCTTAACTCTTAACTATTTTTCTTGCATTTATAGCCGAGCGAGAGTTGAACTGGAGATTGAGTGGTGGGTAGACGAGGCAGCCATTCCTCAATTTACATGGATGGCAACTTGCCAAACAGCAGAATGAAGACATGATAGCGCTGGGCAAGCGCCAAAAAAAAATGTCAACCGTCCAGCCTACGTCATCACCAGCAGATCATTGGGGGACGGTGGTTTTGACAGTTTCCCAGCCCCGGGTAGTGTTTATCAACTGTCTACTTGCACCAAGGTTTGTGGCAGGACAAAAGCCAAGCTTGCCTGCGTATCGCCCGGGCATGTTGCACGATGGTCAAGCCTGCATATCGCCCGGACACGTTGAGAAAAGGCCAAAGTATTCCGTTTTAGATTCCAGTCCAAGACTCTTACGCGCGCGTGTAAGTGCACCTCACATATCCGGTAGTACAAGAGCATGTTTGTTGGCTTGGGCAGGCCGAATCTGGAATCAAGAAGGAGTGTGAAACATGGGGAAATAGAAGCGCCCACCCACTCGTCAATATGGGTTACATACCTACGCCTAAAAGAGAAGAAAAAAGAGAAGACGTCTACTCGCAGTTGAGAGGCGGACGTAACTAGCCGTCCCCCACTACTCAATTGGTGATTGTCATAGCTTCCACCTACCTTGAATGTTCACCCAAGCTTCGTCCTCGAGACACGCACAGAGCAACCGGAGAGGAACCGGAGAGCTGGGCTGAGTTTCCTTTCGCAAGCCATATTTCCACCAATTCGCATAGAACTGGCCGTAAAACTGGCCGTACCCCATACTAAGCTTACAGCGGCAAGAGTGATCGGCCAATGCCAAACCAGCGTGCCCGAGTCCCTAATTCGTGAACAAGACAGGCCCGAAACTCGGCACGCTACCAAAACCCCATTGTTACATTCGATAGTGCCTGGCATAAAGGCAGAATTACTCGTGGGAGTGGTTTCGTGCCGCGTGGCCATGGTCACGTTCGGGAGCTGGGAGACGTGAGATTTTGGTTCCTGAGCGCTAATCGCACCCTACCTTGGCGTATCGCCGAGTTTGGGAAGTCAACGTTGCGATGCTGTTACCAAACGGGCTGGAGCGCTGAGAAATCGAAAGGGAGAAAGATCAAAGAACTGAGATTCAAAAAATCTATATAAGAGTCTGTTGAGCTGCTGAAGAAACATATTCTACGTCTTCTACATCCTTTCAAAGAAACCCATCTACGATACTCAAATCAAAATGCTTTACACTGCTATTGCCGCTGTTGCCTTCGCAGCCACAGTTGCTGCGGCCCCCAGCGCCGAGACTAAGAAGCGTGCTTCCGGTAGCGACCAAAACATCTCCATCTATCGCTTTGGCGACCCCGCTGGGTGTCACGACGTTCTGCGCGTTTCGGGCGCCTGCGGCATCAGCACCTACTTCAAAAACGTCGACCAGGCGGCCTCGTTCGTTGCCATTCCCTCCAAGCTCTTTGACAAGTTCACGCCCAACGACCCCAAATCCCCCACCACCAAAGCCGCACCGCAGACCAACACACTCTGCGGCAAGACCATCACCATCACCCACAACGGCGTCACCAAGACGGCCATTGTTGCCGACCGCAACTTCAGTAACGACAACTCCATTGACACCTGCATGGATATCTGGTCGGCATTTGGTGGCAAGGACGGTGACGGCACGGTCATCCACGGCGCCACCTGGTCCGTCGATGGTGTGTAAGCGCGATCGTGGATGCTTGTGCGATATGGATAAATATCAAAAAATGGCTGAGTTATTTTTTTTTAGGATAGAACTAAATAAATTGAAACACAGTTCAAATTACATACCACGTGTGTTCCTCTCATTCTGTCAAGTTTTCAATGAGTGAATGTGCTAGTGTCGTGTAAGTGGCGGGGCAATACACCATAAACAACTTTGTTCTCATATTACTGCCAAAAGGACGACTAAGATAACTAAATAGAACAGGAAAACAAAGAATAAGAAGACTGGAAGTCAAGTACTTAGCCTAATAAGTAGGAGAATAGAACAACACAATGACCACCGATTCTGCATAAGCATCGACCAACCCTCGACTATTAGGGAATTGGGCAAAAACCTGCACAAATTGCAGGTGTTTTTTGATTACATGTGCCATGGGCATAGAAGTAACAGAGGAGAGAAGTAAAAAAAAAGAACGTACAACACCTGGCGTTCGCTGGTCGTCACCGAACCAGCTACTACTCAAGCGCTCGAGTGGTTATCGCTCGGAGATCAGACGGGATCCAGATTTATCACTCGGCTATGGTCGTACATGATGAGAAGACTGTATGTTGGTGTCTATATAGAAATACTGCGCAATTGTAGAACGGCGCGAGACATGCAGTCAGGTGTGGTATGATCTCCACCTCTGCTGATGCGAGCTACACTACAATGCCTTGCCATCATTGACCCGTGGAATGGTCATTTTAACACATATGCCAGTTGTTCTAGGAGGAGTTTCGACACCATTTTCATACTTTCTGCCAGAATATGGAATATGCCTGAGCGGTGACGGAAGAGCTAGTTAGTTATAGAAGAACTGTGACGTGTGCAAATGCTCGCTCGTCTGCCAGTTGGGGTCTGGACGGAGCCGAAGAGGAAAAAGATGAACCAATATTCATCACTTTTCTTACAGCAATCCTATACCGCTCAAGTGCCTCTCGCACATTCTAGTTATCTGCGCTCGAATCGGCGGGGATGGCTATAGCCGCTGCAGTTGACCACGAGAGAACGCTGACACATGACACGTGAAAATGAGTCACAACACAGGGCAAAGTTGAGGGGAGAATTCCACTACAATACCTTAGGTGTCTGATATCGTGGAAATAAGAGATACGTACGGGGTAGATTTGGCGCAAGGCAATGCAAAGCACACCCGCGGTTCCGACCAGCGTCTTCCCCGAGAACCCTGACCCTGTGCATATAACTATATGTAGGGCACATTGCAAGGGGAAGCGCTTTCCGCAACCACTTTACAGCAAGAAATCACTTCTCACAACGGCCTTTGTTCCCATTCGCAGGCGAGAACCTGGTCGTGGGGGGCAAGGAACTAGTTCTGGCGTACCTCTACTCTGACCCCCCAAGCATCGGGAACAGGCAGTTACGGACGGATATACCATTATCTTTTACCAGACTCGGGGATGCAGAAAGCACACAATGATGTCAACGGCGCTGGGGCAAGAATTGCATCTCCGCGCCGGCCGGGCCACGGGACCGAAACGTGGACGGGCTGGAGCGGGGGAACGCGCATGGAACGACGCCACATTATGTTGGGTAACGTACAAGGAGAGTAAACTAAACCGTAAATTTCTAAAATATTGATAGACATGGATACCTTGCGATAGGCTTGATCTTTTGCATGAGACCGGCCGAGATGAGGGCATCGTCGTCGTGCCTCGGCACATGACGCAATTTCTCAGGTTTCATACTTCAGTTACATTTGCTTGAAACAGATGGGACTGGCGGAGGAAATGGTGCAAAAAAGAAAGTCGAGGCCAAAAAAGTTGGAACAAGATTATTCTTAGTCAAATAGAGGGACGTTATCGTTTAATATGGTAGTGCAATTACGACAGGTGCATTATTAGCACCTTGGCGGAGGGCAAAACAGGGCTGTTATAGCGGCTTTAGCAAGGATCTGAGAGTGTGGGCCCTGTTTTTTATGCGTAATAGCCATCTGTTGATAAGTCGGACGTGAAACGTGGAGTTGGGCCATCAAGTTTTGAGCGGAAATACGATGGGGTCTTTAGAGTGGCGTCGCTTTGAAGTTGAAGCTTGACGATGGGCGTTGCTCCTGCCAACAGCTACTTACTTATAACGGGTTCCTGCCTTTTATACCCGGTTGGGCATAGGCGCTGATATGGCCAAAGTGGCGCACTATTAGTCGAAACTTACTACGAAGATGAGCCTTTCTTTTCGCTAGCCCAGTTTCTTGGGCATGCCATCGTTTATGACGAAGCGAGCGAGCTGGAAACCGATGAGGGCTCGCCGCCCGATATGACCTCGGCTGGGATGGATGAGATGTGCGAACCAGCATGATTTGCCAAGATGCGGGTACGTCATTGTGCGGGTTGGGGATCCGGAAGACAGGTGTCAAGAGATGTCAATGGGGACAGCCAAGGGATTCCGAATCTAGTTCTAGGAAGAAACAGAAACAAGCGAGCTGTCACTGCACTCTAGAAAAGTAGACGTGATTTACTATAGATCAGCCGACATCGAGCGGAGGGGGCCAAACAAGTAGCCAGAGAAGACCGAGCATCCGTCAACGTAGCCGCGAAAACCTTGCGCACGGCAGCACAGTGGCGGGCGGCGACCCCGCCGATATACAAATAGTCGGCGGCGCATGAGTGGCCTAGCCTGACTCGCTGGCAAGTTCCGAGGTTGCTGAGCGCAAGCGAGATGCGAGATGCGACATGGACCAAGGACAGACGCACTCGGTGAAGCAAAAAGGATAGGTAAACATGGGTCTTCGATGCAGATGACAGTGTAGACGGCGACACAAGATGCCTTGTGCACTAATAGACGAAACCTCTGGTTCGCAGGGAGCCGTCTGTTGCGCCGACGATAGTTTGGGTCGGCGGCCGGCGCCGCTACCGACTCGGCCATTTGGGCATTGAGTGCCGCCGACAGTTCTCGTCGCAGTGGATGCTTTTTGTACCCGGGATTTGGGGCATTCAGCACCGGTGCATTGCGCATCATCAGACAAGATTATGGGCTTCCGGGAAGGGAAGTGGGCGGAGACGACAACACCCACGAAGGTAATACATATTATTATTATTATTATTAGAGAGAAAGTGACGTTTTAGGGTCCCCGCTCTGGCCCCTTCTCTCCTGTCTGCCAGCCACGATTTGTAGAAACAATGACATCGCCTCCTCCTATTTCACGCAGTTGCGTGGGTTGCCCTCTTTCACCGTCGGCCGCTGTTGCTCTCGGATCACGGCATCTTGGCCAAGACGTGCTAGCGGCCGAAGAGCAAGAGAATCGGCACCTGTGGGCCGAATTGGGGGATGCGAGTTCTTTTTTTCTTGCCAGTCGGTTTTGCGGCTGTGAGGCTGTGCAAGATTTGGTTGCGACGCTATGCATGGGGGGGGAACAGCGAATCGCCAAAGACGCCGAGTTCTAGATGTTGAAGAGGACAGGGAAGCGAAGGGAAAAGGACGCTAATGCGTGGCAACAATTGATCGAGTTACCAGTAGCGGCGGCAAATGAGCGCGATGGAGCAGAGCAAGAGCAGCAGCCGACCGGTTTGACCGAACCGTACCATCGGGATGTTTTCTATTCATGTGCTATTGTGCTATTGTGTTATAGTAATACTATCATCTCTTGAGGGCTTTCTGTCTTGTTAGTTCCAAAGGAAAATGAGGAGGCATTGCTGAGGCGTGTGAGACGTCGCCCGTTGCTAACGTGCCTGTGGCTGTTCCAACTGGTCGGTGTTTGGATGCTCACTGGCTGCATCTTGCCTAGGCATGTTTCACTAAGGTAGATTCCCTGTGCCTTCTTTACTGGACGTGGGCATGACGGGCTAGTGGCCTAAAATATCTGCCGAACCTCCACGGATAATCGCCAAATAAAAAAGTGGGTTACTATAGCTTAACGCTAATACCGTAAAACACACTAAATTTTAATGTATTCTATAGGGTTAACGTCCTAGGAATAGTAGAGCACTTTTACCTATAACTATAATTTTATAATAGTTATATTTAATTATAAAAAAATTAGAAAATTACTTTAATTTCTCCTTTAGCCTTAATATTCTTTTATTAATTATATTTATATACTCTATAGCTTTAAATATAATATTTAGTATACCCTATATATCTTAATTATTAATACCTTTAGTATCCTTATTACCTTTATTACTACCTAGTATAAGGCTATTATCTTTATTATTATTAGAAATACCTTTATAATTTTTAATATTAAAATTTATATACTAATAGGCTTATAAAGCTATTATTCTAGGCTTATAAAGATCCTTAGGATCTATTAAATCTATAAATACTAATAATAGGTTAATTAGGTTATTTATATTACTAATTTAGGCTATTAAAGAGGCTATTAATATTAGTATAGTAAATACTATACTAGATACTACTAGCTATACCTTTATAGTAAGGAAGGCTTTATAAGCCTTTATAGTAGCTATTAAGAGGTATACCTTAGCTTCTTCTTTAATTAATATATACTTAAATTAGCTCTAAATATACCTATTCTAAAAAGGAAGTATCTTATTAATAGCTATTTATTCCTACTCTATATACTACCTTAACCCCTAATTAATAGGATTAAGAATAATTATAAAGGAAATAAACCTTTCTAAATTAGGCTATACCTAATAAGGGTTAAAATTATTAAGTATAAAGGGTTCTTAGTAGCTTTCTAATAAGGTAATTTAGTACCTATATAGAAGCCTATAGGTTTTAATAATAATATAAGTAAGATAGTATTAACTTAGTAGCTTTACCCTTTTATTAGTAGCTACCTTCTACTTTTTAAGTATAAGCTTAAGGCCTTTTTTTATAATATAATTCCTTACTAAGGAAAAGAGAATTCTACTTATAGATATTAATACCTTACCTTAATTTTTTCTAATCTCTTTAATAATATTATTTTTTTACTAATCTTAGAATATTATAAGGTTATAAAAGGATATTTTAAGGTTACCTTAAGCTAACTAAAAGAACTACTTTAACCTTATATAAAGTAACTTTACTACTAATATTATAATATAATTAAAGTGCTTATATTTATTAACCTAATATTTAATAATATTTTTATAATAAAGATAAAGCTAGGTTTAAATATAATAAAGAATAGCTCTTAGTAGCTATTTTCTAGGTATTATAAACTCTTATAGCCTCTTCTTATAGGTATATATAGTAAGGGAGTTAATAAGCTTTTTCTATATTACTAGGAACTAAATAAACTTAAGATACTAAATACTTATATATATAATAAAGTCTTAGGTTAGTTTAGGAAAAAACTTTTTAGTATATATAAGGATATTTATATAAATATATTATAAATATAATATATATTTTTTTTAGCTAAACTTAGGGTAGTCTTTAAAGGCCTTAATAAAGGTAAGGTTATAATTATAAATAACTACCTTTAGTAACTAGATCTTCTTAACCTTTAGTACCTTTATAAGCTAGTTTAAAACCTATAAAAAATAACTAGTACTTTTTTTAATAATAAAGGCTATAGTAAATTAGAAAGTCTTTTTTATTAATATAGTAGAATATATATTAAAAAGGGGGAGGTTAAAGTAGTTAGTCTTATAAGTATAATTATATATTTATATATTTAAAAAAAGCTATAGAACTTTAAGACTAGTATATAAAATAATAAATAAACTATTTATTTAGCTTTTTTAGTTAATTCTAACTTTATAGATATATTTTTTAAACCTCTAAAGATAGTTATAAAGCTATTAAATTAAGGTATAGCTAGTAAGCTTTACCTTTTTATAATAGTTAAAAAGGTTATTAATATCTATTAGTATAGTCTTTATAATAAAGATATACTTCCTCTTTATTAATAGATTAATAATATTTAATATAAAGATACTAAAATTAGAAAAGAAAATAATTTCCCTTTTATACTTTATAATATTCTTAGTTTAATATAAAAAGTATACTTTAATACCCTTTAGTAGGTAATTATATTAATAGTTAATATTAGCCTTAATATACTTAATTACCTACTAATTTAGGTAATACTTATATAATATATTAACCTTAAAAAGGTACTTATAGCCTTATAATTAAGATTCCCTTTTTTTACCCTTTTATAAGGCTATTAGTAGTACCTAATAATAAATATACTACTTCTTTTATTATATTATAGTATTTATATTAATAATTATAAAATAACCTTTACTTTTAGCTATATCTTTAACTATATTATTAGTATCTTTAAAGGTATAATATATTATTCTATAAAGGGTATTTATATTAAATTTAATAGTAATAGCTTTAATTTTAATTATATAATATAAGAATTAAGTTAGTAGGTAGTAGTATAGGTAGTAGGTAGTAAGGGCTAGATAGTATTTATTACCTTGCTATATAAATTACTATAGAAAAGCCGGCTTTGGCGTCTAGGCACTATACTAGTTACCCTAATAGTCACTAGCTACTTAAAAATTCGGCAATTATCTATTTAGGTTTAGCAAATATTTTAGGCCCGGGCTAGTTAGTTAGCCACCGGGAGGTCGGGGACCAGCTTGCTCTGGAGTCTTGTATGTACCAGACCTCGAAGCCATCGAGAAACAGGGGGTGTAAGACAAGAACGAGACTGATCAGCAACCCAAGTTTCGAAGGTTAACTGCTGATGAGCTGTCTAAACTGTCTTCTCTGGTTGACAATTTGGTTGTGGAGGAAATTTAGCGCAATGCAGGCAAGGCCGTTTGGTTCTGGCTCGCCCCCCTCTAGTTATTCTCCTCGACTTGACAGACGGACAGCAGTCTGCTGTTATTAGTTAGGGCGAAGAAGGGACAATCGAAGGTGGAAATGCAACGGCGGCAATGGTGGCTGGCAGGGAGCGGGCGGTGGTGGATCACCTGCATACGTAGACAGGCGGAACGTGCTCTTGATACTAGATAGTCGTCGCCACGCGTCTCAGATGGCAATGACAAGGGAAGAAATGGAAATGACAATGACAATTGTGTGTACGGAGTACAGATGGTCAATCTTTGCCGTCGCGGAAGAGAAGGCACGAGTGGGCGTCTTACGAGCAGGTTCAGCCGGGCGCAGCTAGGCTCGCTCGCAGTTGCAAGTCAAAGTTAGCTATAATTATCAGCTGCGAAACCTGATGAGATGGAGGGAGGAGGGGGCCCGTTCAGCAAATGAGAATGCTGAATTCAAATAAACTCGGCCATTAACTATGCTGGCGACGTCGGCCCCTCATGCCTGGGGCACCCCTCGGGAGACCCAAGCCGCAGCGTCAGCCAGGTTCAGCCACTTAAAGCTGCCAGGGGAAAAATTCATGTAAGCGAATACCATGCGGGTACCTGGGGGAGTGGGTGATGGGAGGAGGATGACAGAGGTACTGGCGTGGTAACTACTGGTGGCCATGTTCGCGACGGAAGAAGCCATCACAGGCTGAGCAAATCTCGGGTGGTGACCGAGGAACCGGGCAGCGAGCGAGCGGGCAGAAAGAGGTGAAGGCGGAAGGAACAAAGTAGGTGCTTCCGCCGCCACCGAGGCCTTTTCGTTTTGCGATGGAAGATGGAAGCTGGTGACGCATTGAACATGGTAACTAGGTACATAGGTACCTACCTACAACCCCACTGTAGGTCGGTAACCAGGTGTCTATTGCGACGACCATGGTGCAAGGGAAGGGTCTTCTAGGGGCACGGAGTACATACTGCGGGCGCATTAGGTGGTTCCTGCGGTAATCGAGGCTGACCCGCCTTGAAGTCGGCCAACTCGGTTGCCCGTCTTATTATTAACTAGTTCATGACTTGGTCTTACTTGGCAAAAATCACGCAGCGGTGCTCTTAGTTAATAATTATGATGGCGAGTAATACCACGAGATAAGAAAAAGAAATGCCACGGAAACTGTCGGGGAATACTAGAAGCCCAAGCGGCGGCCGACAGTGGACCACCAGCGCTCCGAACCTGTGCGCCTGTATCTGTAGCGCGTACCTAGCGAGGAGCGGCCCTGGAGCTGCGGTGAGGAAGCAGCCTTGCCTCCGAGAGCCGTGGAGGAGGCGGCTGTTGACCGTATTTAGGTGTGTCTTTTTATACGTTTCTTTTTTAAGCAGCTTTTCATTCCTTACATCGCAAGTCTACGGCATGTAGCCTGTGCCTACAATATGTATCCAGGTACCTATGTTAGCAGCCGCGTACCTGTACTCCAACTAACAGCTTGAACACTGTTGTACTCTGAAATTGTCCTTTTGTATCCCATCACAACGCGCTGAAATTCCGCACCCTCTCCATAGGTACTAGTTATTGACTACCAGCGGAAAATGACTCTTTCAAATAAGCAATAACTATCCTTTCCCTGCCACCTCCCTACCTAGGCTGAGATTGACGTGTTTGTGGCTGCAGCCGATAACAGGTACATACCAACAACTGCCCGACTCAACCCCACCAAAATCAGGGCCTTTGGTGTGCCATACTAAGACTTGACCACTAAATTCAATCGACCGGACCACTGATGCGATGCAACGACCGCCAACTCGCGGCGCTAAAAGTAAACTTTGAGTGTACGGACACCTAAACGGATGGCCAGCACGGGCCGATTCAACTTGGCAGGCTAGCAGTCAAGACTATCGTTGGCGACAGTTGGCTGCAGTAAGACAAGGTATCTTTGATAGGAAACTACTATGTACATAGGGTAGGTACTACTATTTACTACCCACATTTCATCGCCTGCGTTGAATCGATTTCACCAGCAATGCAACTGGTACTGGTAGCCTCCCCTCCAAACGCACCTCCAGTCTCCAGTCACACAGACCCTATCCTCCCTCATCCTCCTTCTCCCCCCCCAAAACTCTCCCCCAGAAGCCAGAAGCCCTCCCTGGCTCAGTCCTGCCAGTCGCCAGTCTAGTCCATGCCTGTGAGACAAAAACTAACTCTCGCTCCTCCACCCATTTGCCATCTCGACCACAGCCTTCGCTCCCATCCAGTATCCCCGTCCCCCCCAAGCCGTCATCGCTGCACCGACTTCGCGATTACGGCCTCTTGTCGCTCGACCGACGACCTCCCGTCTTCCCTCAACTCGCCGCCTTGCATCTAATGGCAGATTGCGCCCGTCCAACTCTGGGGTAATTGGGACAAGCGACGCTGCCCGTCTGGCTTCGTCAGTTCCCTGGCAGCGACTGCCGCCCACCATCCGCCTGGCCAGCGACTTGGATCAAGATCAATCTCGCCTTCTCTCGTTGTTCTATCGCCTACATCGCTACATTTTCATCGTACTGAATTTTCATTTGTCGACATTACCATCTTCAGCCGCGCTGTACTTGCATACGCTCGCCAACACCTGCAACCGTTTTTCTTTTGCGCCAAGCGATTACCCCCCTCCCTCCAACTCGCCATAACGACTTACCATCATAATTTATGTCGACCGTGACGCCTGCTTAGCACCCACCGAGTAGGAGAGAGACGATTGGAGAACACAGCTCTCACATTGCATTCGGGCTTTGTCAGAGCCCCTCTAAACATCTTCATCCTGCTCCCCCAATTTTCGCAACTGTCGCGGCGCCTGCGCCACATCTCGACCTAACATGTCCGACGACGAAGCCGGCGCCCTCTCCGTCAGCGACTGGCCCATCCAGGACGCCCCCTCGCCCACCGATAGCATTAAATCTGATATCGAACTCGATGACCGCTCCGGCGTCGGCGGTGCCTCCCAGCCTATTCAGAAGCGACGTCGAGTCACCCGAGCCTGCGACGAGTGTCGTCGCAAGAAGATCAAATGTGATGGCAAGCAACCCTGTACACACTGTTCCGTCTACAGCTATGGTAAGTCGCATCTCGCACCCAAGACACAGCCCGTTGCCGTCTGCCTCATTCTTCAAATCCTTGCTAAAATGTACTTGTGCCTTGCAGACTGCACATATGACAAGCCTTCCAATCGAAGGCGCAATCCCGCGCCTCAATACATCGAGGCTCTAGAAGGTCGGTTGCACCGCGCCGAGACTCTGCTGCGAAAATTCATGCCCGACATCGACCTGGCCGATCCCAACATGGACCCTACTGTCCAAGCCGAATTCCAAAACCGCGAGCAGTCTCGAATACAAGCCGCCAGCAAGATGCAAGGCAACACCCCCATACAGCAGCCATCCGCACCGGATCCTCAGCTTGTATCCATGGTCGACTCCCTCGGCCAACTCGATATTGATGACCGCGGCGACTGTGACTTTCACGGCAACTCCTCCGGTGTCGTTTTCCTCAAAAAGATGAAGGAACACTTTCGCGGTCTACTTGGCACAACATCATCGAGCCCCTTCCTTCCGCGCCCCGACCAGCTCTCCAGCCTTCTCAATCCCGACTCTGCGTCCTTGCACGCCAACTCTCCCTTATCTACCATGTCGACATATCCCGAATTACCCCCAAAGGACGTTGCTCGAAGATTGTGCTTCTATTCGCTCACCTGCGCCACCTGTCTTACGCGTATTGTACATGTTCCCACATTCAACAACCAATTTGAGCGAATATACGAAATTCCACTCGAGAATCTTGGCCCCGAGGATACGCAATTTCTTGGCCTCTTGTTCGCCATTCTTGCCCTTGGCTGCATGTACCATAGCTTCGATGCCTCAGCCGCCCAAGGCGCTGGCTACCGCGCCGCCATGGAAGAGGGGTATTTCATCTCCTGCTGCCCATTGCTTTGGTTTTACTGACACCTCTTAGAACCAAATATTTCAAGACAGCTCGAGCTCTCATCAAGGACATTGGCGATTGCCGTACCCTGACCTCGATACAAGCACTCCTCTTCATGACACTCTTCTTGCAATCGACCTCTAACCTTAGCTCGTGCTACACAATAATTGGCATTGCCATGAGATCATGTCTGCGAATGGGCCTGCATCGCCACCTGCAACATGCGCGACTGAATCCGATAGAAGAACAACTACGCAAGCGAATATTCTACGTTGTGCGACAAATGGATATTTATGTCTCGACAATGTTGGGTCTTCCTCTTCTGCTGAGCGTCGATGATATTGATCAACCGTTTCCAATGGAAGTCGACGATGACTACGTTACGAACCAAGGCGTCATGCGTCCACCGCCCGGATCCTCCTCATTCTTCGAGGCTTTTAATGCGCACACGAGACTCATGGACGTGCTAGCCAAGATATCCAAGCTCATCTACCCGACTAAGATTCAAGGAAGCGTAAAGATTGAAATGGGAGGGGCAGGGAATCCTGTGAGCTACAACCGCATCAAAGAAATCGAGGGCGAATTACAACGATGGTTTGAGCGACTGCCTGAAGCGTGGCGACCAAGCCCCGAGGGGCCTATCGAAGTTGTCAGAGTTCGACATCTACTTCGGTTTTCCTACGCCCATGTTCAGCTCCTCCTATATCGGCCCTTTCTTCATTACATGTCGCCACGTCTCTGCCAAGGTCTCAAAGTTGATGAGCTATCATATGCCTGCGCCGCTGCAGCCATTAGCGTCTCCCGCAATGTTATCCACATCGGCCAAGAGATCCGAAAGCAACGAGTTTTGAGTGGTCCCTATTGGTTTATGCTCTATACAGAGTATTTTGCCGTTCTTTCACTCATCTTCTTCATCCTGGAGAACCCCGGGAAGTCGGGTAGCAGCGAAGTTCTTGCGGACGCTCGCACTGGCCGACAGATGATTGCTGACCTAGCAGAAAAAAGCCTGGTTGCAGACATGCTGACGACGTCTCTGAATGTGAGTACAAGGAAGTCACAGTAAAGGGGGATATGACTAACTGTGATGCAGGCTCTCTTCGAGAAGTTACCCGAAGCCCTGGAACAAGCCCGTGGCAGAGCAATTGCCTCAGCAAAGCGGTCCATCAGTAAACCCAATGGCATGGTTGCGGGACATCCCGGAGTGACGCACATCATGTCGCCCCAACGATCTGAGGATCTACTACGAACCCATAGCGGCCACATGTCGACGAGCGGGTTCTCAATGGATAGCATGGCGCCATCGGAGCAAAGTTTCCATGAGAATGGCTTTGGCGGCGGTATGCACGATATGCTGTCGCTTGACATGTCTTCACGAGCCACTCCTGACTCTGAGAGCACAGCAGCGAGTTCGAGTCGTATGACATTCATGCCGCATTCTGTCGCCGCCCAAAACACGCTCAACCCAGTCCACAAGCTCGACGCGCTCATGTTCCCATCAGACGATCCCTTCGCATATCCCAACCAGCCCATGATGGAGCTCGGCTTCCAGCCCAACAAAGACGGCACGGCAGTCACCATGGCCCAAGATCCTAGCTTCTTCTTCCCCGGCACCTTGGAAGAAATAGGCAATTCATTTGTCAGCCAGCCGCCACCATACATGACGCCACAAAACGGTCGCCAGAGCATTGGGGGTATGAACATGGGCAACATGTACGACAGCAACGGAATCATGGCCATGCAGCATCCGGGAGCGGCGCAGGCTTTGGCGCAGGCGCAGGCTCGGCAACAACAGGCCAGAGCGCAAGCACAAGTACAGGCACAAGCTCGACAGCAGCAAGCTGCTCAACGCGCCCA